GCATTTCCCGAGTCATCGATAAGAAGTGCTGAAGAAGATTTGGGTATAAAATATTCATCGGTTCAAAGAATCTTGCGAAGACATAAAATGCATGATTATAAATTCACCAAAATTCAAGCAATGAAGCCTCAAGATCCTCAACAGAGAGTAGAATTTTGTGAAATGTTGTTGACACGCATTCAAGAAGATCCACTTTTTTTAAATAAAATTATTTGGACTGATGAATCGAAATTTTCGAGAGAAGGGATTTTCAATAGAAAAAATCGTCATTATTGGTCCAGTGAAAATCCTCACGTCACAAAAGAAGCCGGATTTCAAGAAAAATTTAGTTTTAATGTCTTCTGCATGTTGATGGACAACAAATTGAGGGCGATTCTGAAAATTGATAGGATAGATGAAGAACTAATAGAGAATTCAACTGAAATATTTTCATTGATGTGACGTACCCAAGTACCAAGTACCCAAGCACTGTAATCAGATTATCTTCATTGTCAACCACCGTTTTAGTTTTGATAATTTTCCTTTCGAATGATCCAAAGTTCGTAAGATTGAAGATTAATCTTCTAATGATATCTGGAGATGGTTTCGGTTTTTCTGGATACCTTGTAGCCTAAGCATCACATGTTCTTGTTAACACCTTAATGCATTCGCCATAAATCACCAATGAGTTAAAGAAATCGTGACTATTTTAACGAGCACGAGCCATATTGTACCTTCTGAGAGCACGTATCTGACAATAAACAACTTTATTTCATTTGTCACCAAACATTGTGTTGAAAGATGGACAGCAGCCTACTGTAAATATCAACATTTCGGGAAAGTATATAAATATAATGGAGTATCTCCAAAATTATAAATTTTGGTTTGGTTTTAATCTTCCTCTTTGAAGATGATCACTTGGTGATCGAAGGTGTCGAGGTGTTAAAAAAACTCCAGTAATATTCATTACTACACCAAAGGTTCCAAACAGTGCATCATAAGTATAGGGAAGTGTTTCATAACTAGGGCTTATTTTCATAATAGAATTGAACTTTGAGGAAAAATGGGGGTTCCCATTTGAAAAAGTTGAGATTTTCAATTTTTCTCATTCAATTATTGGATCCTAGTTTTTGCGCACCCTGTGGATTATTCAGTGGACGTGAAAATGATGCGTGATCCATTCAACCTTCAATTATCACGATTCACTAGCTGCATATTTTTGAAAAATGTTAATTTACATAAAAATGACGTATGTTCGAGAGGCTGCATCTGTCACTTTTTCTAAAAAAACTCGAATAACTCGAAAACGGTTCATTTTGGATACAGATTATGATACATAAGTGAGAATCTAAATCATGGGAAGAATTAAAAAATGAGGTGAAATACAGGGTATGCCATTAAAAATAACAAAAATGACGTCACTTCCGGTGAAACCCGAAACGTCACCTCAACGATAATATTTCAGTTGAATTCTTCATTTGTTCTTCACCCATTCTACCAATTTTCGGAATCGCTCTACTCTCAGTTTTCTATATATAGATTGCGTTAACTCGTAAAGATATACCCTGTATATAGTAGTATCATTTCAGCACCCATGAATATGGATCAATATAAAATTGAAAATTGGGTCTCCAAATATCTCGATAATATTAAGAAAAAAAGTATTTCATCGATTTATGATTCATACTTAATAAATTGAAAACTGATTTATTTAGAGAATGAACATATGAAAATTCCAGTATACACAGTGAATTGAAACTGAGTAAATATGCAAGCATTACCCTAAAGAAAGCATTTGCTACTGTGGACCATAAAATTATTCAAAAAATAATGGATAATACGAGGGTGGTCCAAGAAGTACCCAGCTTGTCCTAAAGATGGCGGTAGTTGTTTGAAAGAATACAATCTATAAAGCATATGTTTCAAGTTTGAAGACTCTGGGTTGTTTAGTATTTGTCTGGCAGTCATCAATAGCGAAAGTAAATTTGTGAAAATGGAGAAAATTGGTCATCGTTATGTGGTACTTGTGGTACCATCGTTATGTGGTATTTGAAAGGCTTCAGCCCAACCAATATATAAGCTGAACGGGATTCTACTCTGAGTGAGTTTGCTTTTTCGTTTTCAACAGCGAAATATTGAGTAGCAGTTGCCAATTGCACGAATCAATTTAATGCAGAGTGCAACAGACTGTTGGTTGACAATGGAAGTCACAGCATTCTGGAAATGACCTCTGACTTTATGCCTCCAACTGTCAACTACGAACTGATTCATAAAGTACTGTTCCCGAGCAGAGAGGACTGGATCCTATGGGAGACAGAAATATTAAGAGCAAGTAGTTGTTGGTTCACAGATGGATCAAAACCACCTTCCAGTTCTGGTGCAGATGTTTTCAGTCGCAACCCAGAACAGAGATATCAACCTGCCTAGGAACCTATGCAACTGTATTTCAAGCGGAAATTTACGCTATTGATTTGTGAGCGGAGAGATTGGAAGAATCCAACCTCATACACAAGTCAATAAAAATATTCTCGGACAGTCAAGCGGCGTTGGAAGCTCTTGGCTCCTATCGAGCAACGTCTAAATTGGTAGCAAATTGAAAAAAACGACTCTTCTCGATAGGAAGACGTAGCAGATTGTCTCTGGTCTGGATTCCTGGCCATACTGGCCTGGAAGGCAATGAAGCTGCTGACTCCCTTGCAAAGGAAGGTGCTGCAAGCAGCTTCATCGGACCAGAACCTGTCATTGGCATCACATTAGGCTCTGCCAAACAAAGATTGAACACCTGGATGTCAAGAAGGTTTATGAACTTCTGGCAGAATCTTCCAGGATTGACTCACTCCAAGGCGTTTATTCATCCTTCGAAGCTTGATACCAAACGATTGTTAGGATGAACTACGATGTCTAATAGGCCTTCTTACAGGTCACTGCCATTTGAATCATCATATGCAGAGACTCGGACTGTCGAAAGACAGGGTGTGTCGTCTCTGTTTGGAAAATGATGAAACAGCAAAGCACATACTTTGTACCTGCTCCGCAGGGGACCGAACCAGGTTTTTAGAGTTCGACAGAGGCGGATGATTTCCCACGTCAAAAAACCCCGGGTACCAAATTTCGTGCAAATAACTCATTTCAACCTGTATCTCCGAAACGAAGAATTTCCGAATACAATTTTATATAGACTTTTTTATTAAAATTGTCTCAGGATTACGTCACTTGAATATTTCAACGTACTTATATGTTACACTATGTATATATCCTGGGTGTACCTACATTCGTTCGTCTTTGACTTCATCACGATGTTTCGGCAAGTTTCCACTTGCCAAATTCATGTGCTCTGCTTGGTAGCTGATTCTCGCTCTGGATATATGTACCTAACCTACTTGTACAATTGTTCATACAGTTGCAGTTTCGAAAGAATGTATCATCTTTCCCACCAACTGATTTCCTGGAGTCTTTGAAGTCCACTAGATACTCATTAGGACAACAAGAAGATTGCTCCGAATTCTTGGGGTTCTTGTTGAATACCCTTCGTGAGCAAAAAAATAGCAGAATTGATACTCCTGACCGCTCTGGATTGAATGATTCCGTATAGTCTATCTCGTCTTGTGTTTGAAGATCTTTAGCTGGAAAAATCCTCAGTTGTTTACTCTGCAGCAGGGCCGTCGCCATGGGGAGGTGGGGGAGCCTCCCCCCCTGCTTTTTCGACTTGGGAAAAAGTTGGGAAGTGAAGATAGAAAAAAATAATAGCAAAAAAATAAATAAGAATTAATAAAATAAAAATGGGAGAAAAAAAGGGAGAGGTAATAAGGAAAGGGAAAGAACTATCAGGATNGAATGGTAATAAATTGTACTCACATAGAACACTGTCACCCTCACTGGTATACACCGATGTTTCGCCTTAAGACACTTGCCCTAAGGCTCTTCAGTACCTTTAATTCACCCTGTATACCTTCGAATATTCGCCTAGGAAGTATTTCCATTTCCATGGTGACCACTAACAGTGCCAGAGTCCTAGCGACGATATTTGACAGCGCAATCGACAAAACTTCGGTTATCAATGTCAGTTAGTTGGTTTGGAAAAATTTTACGATTATTTTGATGAGATGACGACTCATTTGGGGGATGTTTTGAGGAAGTTGGGTTGGAGCGATGGCTTTCAAATACCCATCGCGAATGTGGAAAATAAAGCCTTGGAGGAGGAGTTGGCGATACTTACTTTGAAGAAAAGTAAGATGAGAACTTCGCTGGACATTGTGTCCGGGAGATTGGAAGCACTGAAAGACCATTTCAAGTTCGTCAATCAGGAAAATGATCAAACTCAGGTATGATTCAGTACTGAAGAAAGTATTTCTATAACATTTTTTTCAAACAAAAGTATGACGCGATTCTTGAAATCGGCACTACTTTTTTATCTATGAACCGATTGAAGTAAGTCAGACATCAAATGTGAAGTGAAGCTTACCACAATATTGTGGTAGGAATCGCAGCCAAAATTGGTTAACACGTTTTTGAGATTAGCAGATATTTCTTTGGAAGATTCATATTTTTTTTGTATAAGGATCGAGAAGTATAAATCCAAAACTTTTGTTTCTTCAAAAAATGTCAGAAATGTATTAATATCTTTTCATTGAAATTCATCATTGACCTTTCAGAAACTGATAACGGCTCACAAGCAACAACTGGAAAATGTAGAAAATCAATATCACGTAATAAAATCCGAGAAAGCAAACACTGTACACGCAATACATGAAATCACTGATCGGCTGAAAGCTTCTGAAGAAAGGCTGAATACCAAAAAGATCAGCCTGCAAAAAGGCGTTACAAAGGCGGAACATCTGAAAACAGAGATGGATTGGGACGCTGAAGCACTGAAAGCTTGGGAGGAATCCCTGAAGAAACGAGACGAAGATATCGAGTTACTGAAAAAGTTTTCGAAAGAGGACGAAAGGCGGTATAACGAGCTTGAAGCCAAGAGACAGCATCTGCAGACGGAAGTAGCTGCTAAAAGGGGGAAGGTTGCTAAAATTGCTGCCACCTTCAATAACTATGAATTAGTTATTGAAAGATCAGGTAAACAATGATAATAATAATACTAATAATAATAATTATTATAATCTGCTGTATCAACTCGACGTAAAGACCCGAAAAATTATGGATCTCTGTAGGAGTTTGTATCCCAAATCGTCCGTTCCACGGTTGTACTTCCTCCGGACAACAGTTAAGCGGTGAACTTTTGAGTCTGAAGTGTCTACATGACAGAATGGTACTGGATGTGGCCTGTAAAGTCGTCAGGAGCAGGAATTGGAGCATTTCTCTTCAGGGCAGCTGCCCGAGCAGCTGATGAACTCGGTTTAGTTGTCGACACTGAACGAGGTGACCACAACTCTGTCACCGAGTTGGAACCCGTTAAGCAAAAAGTTCATATAAAAGCCGCAGAGATCACCTCACTTCTAAGCGCATGAAATTCGCTTTCCTCGTGTCGAGTGGGATGAAGTCGGAAACTGAAGGGTTCATCATGGCCTGCCAAGATGGCGTCTTCAACACCTTAGTCTACCGCAGTCGCATGATGAGTATAGAGGTTCCTGACACAAGGTGCAGGGCCTGCCGCGAGGCGGCCGAGACCCTAATGCACTTGTTGTCAGCATGTCCAGCATATGCGGTCTCGGCCTATATCCATCGACATAACGCGGCCCTAAGAGTGCTTTATTACCACCTACGGCACTCTCACGGTATTAACGAGACACCGGTGTTGCGCTACGCTTCGGAGGATATTGGAGCTGAAAACTCCTGGTGAGACGAATAGCGTCCGAAAAGAGGAGGAAAAACGAATAAAATAACGAGATTTTCTCTTCGAACTCCGCAGACTATTCAGACCACTCTGTCAAGATGGTTGTTCTGATTATTGGAGGCCTTGGTGGAATGATGCCCTTTCTACTCTCAAATCTTAAAATCATACCGGCCTTCCGCACTAAGGTAGAAATGTTAGCCGGACAGATGCAGAAGACTATCATTCTCGTGTTTACTCGGATTTCTTGAAATAAGCGGACTTCGGTATTTTCGGCGATAATAATAATGATGAAGAAAAGAGAATTGAAACTTTCTATGTTTTTTTACCACTTTTATTTGTAACTGACGTTACTGCAGTTTCGTCCTATAAGGACATTTTCAAGCTCATTTAGTTAAATGTATAAGTTTGAAAATTTCCTTATAGGACAAAACTGCAGTAACGTTAGTTACAAATAAAAGTGGTAAAAAAACAGAAAGTTTCAATTCTCTTTTCTTCACTATGATTTCCTACAACGTAGTAACGGCTACATCCATCAATTTATTAATAATAATGATTATTATGGGTAGATTATTGGAAATTTTTTCCAATTTAATTTTTCTAGATGTATCAATGTTTTTTGTAATACATGGCTTTATATACTTTAATAAACAGTTTACAAAAACGCAACACGTGTTTCACTATGCAATAGCTTTTTCAGGCATGTTCAATACTGATTCAGTTTAGTAAAAATCTCACTTTGACGTGTTATTCATGAACGTTATCATAGATTTTCTTCAAATATCAGCCAATTCCATCCATAACAAACATTCTGGATTTTTCTATTCTGATTTTAGGAAAAGTATTGAAACAGCTGATGACAGAAAGGGACGCCTTGATAACACAGTGGAAAGACACCGTAAAAATGTTACAGCAACGTGATAACGACATAATGAAAACTCAAGAGCAAATGTCTACGGTCCAAGAGATGATCCAAAAACAGCAAGAGAAACTTTCAGAAGAAGATATATTTTTGAAAAACGAACAGCGGAACAATCACGAAATCAAATTAGACATTCAAAATCTGAACGCCGTGAACTCACGAATGAGAAGGGATTACCACGAGCTCGTTCAACACACTTTACTAATTAACGGAGAGGTGAATATGAGTACATGTCAGTTAGTGAAATGGTAATAATGTTAATATCATCAATATCAATGTTAATATCATTTTTCTCAGCTTCATGCCTTGAAGCGCCAAGTAGCCGCATCTTCCCTCGATTTGGAAAACGAGAGAATCAGATCTAAACGCCTGGACCAAACGTTTGCAGACAAGGAAATACTTTGCGATAAATACCGACAAGACATTGAGAATCTAGAAAAAAAGTTTGCGGAAGTTAAAGGCTGCACCATGTCTTCGGAGGAGAGAATTAAAAGAATAGAAAAGCTCATAAATTACGAAGAGAGGTTGTACGATATCTACATATCGGACACGGAGAAAATCAACAGTTCCATGTATCGGATCGACAAATTCTTGAAAGACCAGAAATCCATCGGAAAGATTCTGGAGATAGACCTGAATAATGCCAATTGTAATTGTGCACAGCTGAGGAAACATATCCAGTCGAAGAAGAAAGATTTGGAAAAAATCAAGGAGGTCGTTTATGATATGGTAATGAGAGAAAGTCACAATTTTTTCGTAGAATTAACTTCATTTCATGAACGATTAAATAGATTTTTTTTTCTAAATTCCATATTGAATACTTTCCGATTCAAATGTTGAATTTCTTCTGAATTCAAATTATTCAAAATGTTTTATATAGATTATTCTAAAACTTGAGTGACTATTTCCAGTATATTTTTTCATAGTACATATGCGGATTGTTGCAATTATTTTTGTAGGAATATCGAATTGACGATACCGAAAAAAAGCTGTATACGCTCTTGGACGAATCTAAGAAGGACGACTTGACCGACGAAAACGAGAAAAAGATATTAGAACTTGAGAAGGTCTTAGCAAACCATAAAGATGTGAGTATTGAGTACATTTTGATCCCAAAAAACATAGACAATGTTTGTTTAATTTTTGAAAGAAAAAGATGTATCATAATGTTACGTTTTTTCCATGGGTTTGACCTTCACTACAGTCTAGTCCTAGTCTATACGAAGTCAATCTGAACAGCTAACTAAAAGACAAATGGCATCACTTTTCACTACTAATGGAAAAAAAATTGATAACTTTATTTCACTGCTACACTGATAATACACCACAAACACTTCAACTGAACTTCAGAGTAATACTCGAATATCTATCTACTTGTTAGCTCACTTCGTACCGCACTTTCAACTAGACTTGCCTCATTTGCCTGTTGGTAGTGTTTATATATTGTAATGGAAGCCGATAGGGAAGTCTCTCAAAGGGAGCGACATCTAGAACGATCAAAAAGCGCAAGTCAAGTTGAGCGCGACCTTGGCCAAGTCAGAGTCGATTGACGAAACCAGCGGCGGTCGGCATTATTTTGTTTCAGGGGACAATTTACAACAATGATCTCAAAAATGAAGTTTTACCTACACATATAAGAAAGTTTATAAATCCCAGGTGAATGAATGGGAAATTGTATCATTGATGGTATAAATATGACTTTTACTCATTTCCAGTCATTGTACTGCTAGTACGGCCCTAAAAATTATTGGAATGCAGTTACTTATCGTTTGGGCAGAAACGAATTGATGTATTCTTCTTTGTCAATAGAACCACAGAGGATGGCCTTGGTGGCTTATCGAAAGCCTCTTCTTCCGCACGTAGACAATCACATTGCTTTCTGCAAGGCCTTCGTGAAACACAATTGGTTGAGAGTATTGCCTGTCTTTATTCGATACTGGTTCAGATTAGTTCGCTCTACGATTTCTTATATACGCAGTGAACAAATTAACGTATTGTCATGAAATATCTCTCCATTGGATTTTAGCAACATCGTTTTCGCTAGTTTTCGATCCATCCCGCTACACATTCACATAGTCCCAGGAAGATGTTTTTCTTCGGAGCAATTTTGTTTCAGGATTGAACTCAAATGCTTTTTCTGTTCTTCTGGCATACAAGCCATCTTCTTTTCGTTGTTGGAGACCTCTTTGGGACTGAGTCCATCCTTTTCAGTGGGATGGTGCATATGTGTTCAATTATCTTTCAGCGATTCAATTTTTTTTTATTAAGCTCAGATCAGACCTTCGTTAGAGAATTGTTCTCACGTATACTCTAAACATACCCTGAAGCTGCTGGATCAGCCATCCGCCTGATTCGAGACGCGAACATCACTTGCAACCTCGATAGTCTGCAACATCGAAGAAAGGTTGGGGATTTATCTCTCTTCTTTAGTGACTTGGTACATCTGATTTCACGGACTGTGGCTGCTCATCGTTTTGAGGTTCAACTTAGTACACCTCGAACTTCACTGCTTAAGAACTCTTTCATTTGGAGAACTGTGTGTATGTATCTTTTCATTTTCGTTCGGAAATCTTTTTGAACTCGTTTTCAACTTCTCTTGTTATATCCTAGAACCTCATATCTGTCACCTGGCGAGGCACTTATTCACTTTTCTTTCTGTGAAATTCGTTGCCCCAAATTATTTTTATTGAGAGGTTAATTTTGCTATCTCTATAAAGTTGTTTGAGTATTTTCAGTTCTTGATCTGGCTTTCTTCTCTCTCTCTCTCTCTCTCTATTATTGACTATCGTTTCCGTTCAGGCGCAGTAAGTCATGTCTATTCGAGGGGATACAAAGGTCTTGCTTTACGCAATACTGCACCCCTTTTTTATTCTTTGTACGTTTTTGGTAGGCACGTCTTCCAGTGGCGGACACATAGGTACAGTAGCGACATATTAAACTATCATCTTCTTCATAAATGATTAATTGTTGCGATTCTCCTTCCACATGGACACCCGGTCCACCCCAGCCTCCAACCGGCGTGAATAGGAGTAGGTGTTATATATTTATTCCAGTTTAGCACTCCCACGTGGACATCCGGTCCACCCCGGCCTTTAACCGGCGTGAATGAGAGTACTATTTATTTCAAAACACTTGAACAATTTTTATTAACATCAATTTTATTTTAATATTGATGCTGGCACGTTATAAAACGGCGGACATTCACAACACGAAATGAGTTCCATCTCCAACAATGGCGTTCGCGTACTTTCTTAGTGGACGGTCGCTATCGGCACGTCCGTACACCACCATGTCAGAAACGAAACTGATCTGGCTTTCTTTTTCTTTCTTTTGTTTACCTTACATGTTCTTCTTTCGCTGTTTTTCAAAATTTATTGTAGATCTAATTTTTTAGCAACATCCTTATGTGTCCTATTTTTTTCTCATTGATTCCAAGAACTAAAATATATCTGCTGACCTCAATTTTTTATTATGATTATTATGACCGTATGGCATACAATTAATGTCGTGAACTGTGATTGCTCATTGAATGCATTTTCAGGTACAACATGCGCTTCAAAATCAGGTCGATCGCCTGCAAGAAGAAATGAGGCGACTCACACTCGTCATAGCTACTGACAAAGAGTTGGTGGCGATTTTACAAAATAAATGCGAAAACCATTTGTTGGTCTACGAAATAGGCCAAAAACAAATCGCCGCGGCTAAGAAAGCGACTCAGGAGAAACAGGTGGAAGAAAACATGGTGAGGTTGCGCGTCCATCATATCGAAATGGAGAAGAAGAAGGAAGAAAAGGAAATTTTTACTTTGGAAAAGCTGAGACTGAATCTCGACCAAGTAAGTTGGTGATGAAAGATTGAATTGAAAACCGTGTCCAAAGTCTGAAAGTTTTCTACAAGAAATTTGGATTTGCATCAGTTTTATTTTATTTTTTATCTACTTTCGTATTAAATTATGCCATATAATTTTTGTTTACTTCCACATTAAACATGAAATTGCTTGCCTGAGGATGCTGACATTATATGCTATTCCTATAGTTTTTTGATAATTAGCGTTTTTCAAATTATGAATATGGAATCAAAGAGGCAGTGGACATTCAAAAACAAGAGGCAATGAACATTAATAAAATCTGGCTACCTGTCCTTAATTTATTCGGGTCAAACCCGAAACCGGTCGTATAAATGAAATCAACTAGTGGTAATTAGACAAAAGTGTTTTTATTCATTTCATTAAAGTGATTATTAATTACCACAAAATAATCAAGTCATCAATCACACATAATACAATTGAAAACGATTGAAAAAAATCAGTAAATTGGAATATGCCCTCAAGCGATTCATAATTGAAAATTCAATAAATTTGACATTGACTGAAAAAAAAATTAGTTTCATAATTTTTAAGCCACGTTTCACATAATAAAAGAAGATTACGCGCTTGCTGGTTAGATTTTTATAATACTGTCAACAGTGTATGTCTATCGCACACTAAACACTGATTCATGCGAAGAGAGGAGAGAGAAGCGTCTGTCCGACGAGAGAGGAAAAACCTGCCTTCTGCTGACGTATGCGTGAGACAGACTGGCGCTGTAACTCATTACTTAACGAAGCGGTTTACCCTCCCATAAAGATTTATGACTTCAAAAAAAGTCCTACAATGTATAACAGTATCTGTATCTTTTTTTACACAATCATATATATAACTATGTGAGTTGTTTTGATAATTTTTTTGGTAATTATATTACCATATATTATGTCTTAGTACTGTCATATTGTTTCTATTCCATAAAATGTAAATATATGAAGAACTTTCATCTGAGTGAATAATTTAACAAAATACAGGCATTTCAATGCCTAGATAAGTTACTCATTCAACATAATTGAAATCTAATAAATTATTCATGTCATACATGACATGGTCAGTACATGATTATATATTAATATCTATATTTGAGGTGACGAAAGAAAGGCAGCTAGAGATAAACACCCAGAAGACCATAACCCAAATAAAAAAACGAAGCCTTGAAGAGGATCGGGGCAGGCTTCGTGCAGACATTGCCCTCCGCCGTCTGAAAATAGAACAAATCAAGCAGAAATACCATGTGGCCTTGGGAGGTTTAGGAAATGACGAAAACGGCCAACCACTTTCTTTGACGCATTTCAAAATAAAAAACGCTCAAGAAAAATTTATTCTGCAACAGGAAGGTGATGAACTGGATCAGAAAATTAAAACGGCAGAAAAAGACATTATTGCAATGGAAAATACTCTGAAAGTTTTTAATTTAACCAACGCATCATTCAAGAATAGTTTAGCCCCAGTCAAAGAAGAAGGTAATATATATTTTTCAGCAACAGTCTGGGAAAGACCCATTTCCCGGACGCTTTTTCTTTGAGAAAGTAGGTAGCATTTTTCCGGCCTACTCCGGGAAGTACGTATTTCCCGGACTAGACCGGGAAGAACCACATCGTAGTTGACATTGTAAATATGGAAATCTTGAATAAAATGGCTTTTACCACTGCGGGATGAAAAGTTCGCTATTCGTCTCCTGTATACGGGACAAAAGTGCCTCCAATCGTAGCTATTTAACATGAAATTAGTTGACATTTTGATTTTTGAGAGTTTGCGTGGTTTTTCTTCGCAATTATCGCAATAAACTATGGAAAGCAGCAGCGATAGTGAGTTTAAAGATGTACGCAACACGTCAAGTCGTCCAAAAAACAGTATTTTCCGGACATGTTACGTAAATTACAATTATTTTGGTGAAGTACTCTTTTAAATACTTTTTGAATTGATATTGTATTTATGTTTTAAAGATGAAGAAGTTAAAGAAATGAAAATTCTCAATATACAATTCAGGGAAATAAATAATACACTCAAAAGTCACAAGAATGAATTAGCAGTCAAAGAAAAAGAACTGGAAGGTAGTGACTACTTAATTTTGTCACACAATGGTAACTACATTATAGACTTTTTTTTTCTATATTCCAGACTTGAAATGCCAACTGCAAGAAATTCAAACGATCATAGATGAGCGTAACGAAACAGTCACGAATCTAGAAGAAGAAATTAATTTAGTGAGGAAGCAAGAATTTGATAAAGCAGATAAATTGAAAAGAGTCGAGATTCAGCTAAGGAAATTGATGAAGAAGGTCAAGAATAAAGATATATCCAAATATAATGTACGTGAATAGTGAGTTTTGTTTAAAATATTATCTAAGAAAGAAATTGTACAAAAAGGGTTCGAATTTCCCCGACAAGCATCTTCAGTAGTGTAAAGAAGGTTTTTCCTCTTTTCGAGATTATACTTAGATACTTGCTGTTGGCCTAAAATTGACTATGATTGAGCATGTGCTGAAGGATGGCCCCCATTTCAAATTTAAGAGCACCCAAGATTAAACAACTGCAGCTTATTAACAGAACTCACAAGACGGGTTATTCAAAACAATGCTCGTTTAAGAATCCCAGTTTTTCGCTAAGCATGAGTGAGTATATAAAAAAATAATTGTGTCGTACCACAGGGATCCGTTTTGGGACCCCTGTTGTATACACTGATGGTACTATCACTAAGGCAGGCCGGGCTTAAGGAAAGGTATTTCACGTTCGCCGATGACACGGTCCTTTTGTACAGTGGATATGATTTACATTTACTGGAGAACACAGTTAATGAAGATCTCTCTAAATACTCAAATTGGCTTGCGCATGATACACTTGAGGTGAACTCTGCAAAAACCGTTTAAATGCTATTTAAACAAAAAATGTAATTTGTGGAAATATTGAATTAAGAATAAATAACTTACTCCTTAATGAATGTTACAAAAACCAAGTATTTGGGACACATAATAAATGATAAGTTAAACTGGTCAGGACACATAGAACATATTAATGATAAAATTGTACCAATGTTAGGAGCTCTATTAGGTGTTCCAGTTACTTGAGTTTCAGTAATAGATACTTGGTTCACAATGCATATATATTGGCGAATCTTAGGTATCTGTTAATCATATAGGGTAATTGTGGCATTACTAATTAAAAAAAAATCAAACGCTACAAAATAAATCAATAAAAATGTTATTTCAAATTCCATTTCGAACCCACACAAATGATTCATTCTCAGAGGCTGAGCTACACCCAATTAAATATCTACTTAAACTTGAGCAATGCAAGAACATATATAAAATAAAAAACAAAAGAATCAAAAGTAACAACGATCTACTAGTCAACAACCAGTTTTATGAGTATAATACAAGGAGTAGAAATGACTCACACCTGAGCATGGTAAGAACAAACAAAGGATTATACAATCCTTTTACACAGGCCAATGAATTAACTGATCATATATGTGAGTTGCCTAGTTCATTCATCAATATTTTAAAAGAACATCTGAGCTTCGAGGCACATGTCTTATGCATTACTACTATGAGCTTTTTTGTGGTTTTCTAGTTTTTGTGTTTCACTTGTCATGTTGAATGTTTGTGAATCCCGAGACCAGCATTTTTGCTGATTAGGAAGAATAACAACATATTTTATATTTATAGTGTCTTAACTGTGTTGAACTGGACGCTGTTCTATTTTTAATAAAAAAAATATACCCATGATTCTTCACCAGTTATGACCCTCTTAAGCAAATCTGGATGGCCATTGACATCATTCAACAATGGAGTAGTAGAAAGCGAAAACCATAAAATAATTATGTATTTGTCCCTTTTCAAATTGTGAATTTTTTGTATTATCATTTATATATGTGTGTGTATATACTTATGTATGTGTATATATACTACGTATATATACACACATCAAGTACCGAAAATGGTTAATAAAAATTATTATTACCATATTCATTCAGAGTATTTATAAACAATAAATAAAATGGAATTATCGCATAACTGTTTCTACCCTTAGACATTTTCCTTGTCACTGTATATATAAAAATATCACTCATCAAAATATTACAGGTTTATTATCAAACGTTACTAATTTTTGTTTTTTAGAGAGATTTTGAGATCAGACAGCTACAGGACGTGAACAAGAGTGTAATAAAGAGAATCACAGAACTTGCTGCATCACATCAGGAAATGTCTCCGCTAATCAATCGATACATAATGGAGTACAACATTCAAATACCGGAAAGCCGAATAACTCCAAGTACATATTCGTCGTTCTCTAGCTCTCGTTCATTTTCAACAGCTCAAAACACGGAAAGATCTGACAAGTCTCATAAAGAATCGATTCCAGTGAATAAAGTTCAGCTGTCATTTGATTTTTAGTTTATTATATTTGTCGTACCTTATTTCATACATTTTTTTTTTCTATGTGTAACAAAGAAAACATGATATAATACACACCTGATATACATATATACCAAGTGTTCATTAAAATGAAAATATGAAGTTGTTTAATGTCTTCAATCCATTCCGGGAGGTAATGGTTCAGATTGAGGAGGGGGCATCGTAACGATGGGCTGCTCTTCTACCATCTGAAAAATTATCGCAAATTGTAATTCAAATAAAAAGTAGGTGAGAAGGTTATGAAAATCAAAGTTAATTTCAATCGTGAAAAGAATACAATTTGAGATACTTGAATTTGCAATAAATTCAACTGAACAAGATGTCAAACAGTTTCCTGCATAGTACCAAGATAAGCACTAAAACACAATTCCTCATAGTAGGCTACGTTTCATACATTTTCATTATTATATTTATAGCCATTAACATGTCATTTTCAGATATAAATTAAATTCAGACATTAATTAAATTCGAAAGTAATTTGTGTATATTGGGTCAAATGTCTATTTGTTTTAAATCAGGATCCATTTGTTGTATTAATTTTCGTATTTTTTTCAAAGGGATAAATTGGAAGTGGACATAAAAAATCTAGATAGCATATGTAGAGAAATGGTAGTCACTATCGACACCCTTGAAAAAGAAAATGCAATGCTTGAAAAGGAGCTAAAACTGTTAAAATTGAACTGTGAAAATCTGGATCAACTCAGACATGAAGATGCCTGTAAAATTGCTTATACAAAAAAGGATGGGGTGGGTTTCGACATTACAGATAATAGATCTGTTACGAATATCAAACACCATACTGGAGCCTCACAAACTAGAACAATGAGTGACAATTTTAGTCCAGTCAATATCAATGAGACATAAACAAACTAGTCCGCCATCTTAAACGGTCCGCCATATCGGATTCATGGTGATGTCTTATAACTGGTGTACCATCTTGGGTCGTCTGCCATATTGGATTTATAGAGATGATATTTTTTTTTCTTAATCAATCAAAGTAGTCCACCATCTTGGGTCGTCAGCAATATTGGATATAGAGTGATGACATTTTATTTTTTGTAACCTTTCCAGCAAACCTAATAAATCATTAGCAGACCGCCATATTTGATTTGGAGTGACATCAAGTAATTTTCAAGAAATCCCTTAATTTGATAGTTATATCATGGGGATGCATAAAAAAAGCTACTCCGCCATCTTGGGCGGTCCGCCATATTGGATGTAGGCTAATCAGGCACTGTCATTCAAATTGCACATCTATGCAAAATTTCAGCAATCTGTTGATGATAATTACTTCAAAATTCATTTGCAAGATCAACGAACTGAATTCAAACATCGCAAGTTGAAAAATAAAAGCTTGTAAATCGTATTTGCTCGTTAATTATTTGGTCCTTACACAGTCTTACTGTGTATTTTCATTTATTTGTCATGGTTGACTGAAATGATCAACTTACCACCACATCAGGCTGCGGTAAAATAACGGGGGGCGGCACCATCGCTACAGGAGGGGGCACAGTAACTGATCCTAAAACAACTTCCTGGACGGCTTGGGGAATATGGGAGCGCTGAGCTTCAGTAAAAGTCAATAAATGTTCTCGAAGTGGTCCTTGCAAGTCAGCACAAATTGTCAACGCTTCCTCTAATTGCTGAGGGGGTAACTGCATTAGAACAGCAAAACTTTGAGGTTTGGTTCTCTGACAGCATTTGACGAATCCTTCCCATACCACTTTTTGTTTCCATACCTGCAAAAGTCGTATTGAATTAGTAATGTAACTTTTGGTAAGAGAGATTTTCATATTTGAAAATCATAATTGATGGAAAATGGTTGACAAGATCTAGGATATATGCAAAAAAATCAATGAACATTTTTTTGTAGTAGTACAAAAATTCTGACTGTCAAAGTATCTCAAAAATACAACAAAAATTCTTTTTTTATGAAAAGTAGTACAATATTTATGAACAGCTATAGACTTATAGCTTCAGTTGAAACATTTCAAGATTTTTGAAAAAGTTCTTCCATTGACAATCTGCAGGAAACTGCTTCACTCATTATACAAAATTACAAAGTGAACTTAAGCATAAACAACCAAGAAATTTCAAGGCATTTTTGAAGGAAAACATTTTCAATAAATCGTTTAGTTGGTGAGAAAGGAAATGTTCTCAAAATTCTTCAGAGTAGTTCAAACTTGATACATTTTTTATACTTCAATTTGTAAGTTATTATATAAGTACTTTTATCATGTATATAAGTATGTGTATATATGTATACAAGTATACAGTGCATTTCTTTAATGTCCTCCTCCTTTTATTTTTTGAATGAGTCAACTCAAAAAATTGAAATTTGGGATAATGAAATTAATGCATGAATACTTTATTTTGAAGTGAAATTGACAGATGAAACTTTCAAGATGGCGACTGGGCTCCATCTGGGAAAAAAATTGAATGGAAAGGGAGGTCTTGTTACACATAATTTTGAAGCTCCTGACAAATACTTCACAACCCTAGAATATGAAGTCAATATCTTCACCTACTACAAAATGACAGAACATTTAATAATTTCCTGAAGACAAACACATTAATATCGATGTTTCTGGAAATATTACTTTTTATCTGCCATATATGACATTTTCAACATCCCGATAAGGTTTGTTATTTTTTGTTTATAAAAACGTCAAAAAATGTCAGTACGAAAATGAACATCATTGTTCAGTTAGAATATTCTCATTCGGCTTAATTTTTTGGGGTGCATCTGTGAACGTTAAAAAAATTTTTTCACTTCAAAAACGTTGCCTTAGAATTATTTATAAATCCAAACAAACTGATAGCTGTAAACCTTTATTCATAGAAAAGAAAGTACTGACCCTATACAGTCAGTATATTCTTGACAGCATAATGTTTATTAAAAGCAATCCAAAGCTTTTTAACGACTTTGATAAAGCACACATCTACCCAACAAGAAATAAAGCAGATTTGGTTACTAATATTCCTAATTTTACTTATATTCAGAAAAATATACCGTATACTCTAATAAAAATCTATAACAAACTTCCAAATGCACTAAAAAGCCTCTCTAAAACAACACTCAAAAATAAACTTAAAAACTTTCTTCTAAATAGAGCATACTACTCAACTGATGAATATTTTAAAGATACCATCCCTTCAGATTTTNGAGGAGGGTTGGTAGAGGTGATTGATCCATCAATTGTTGCAGGACAACAGCCAAAACTTCTTGAGTAAACACCTGTAAATAAACCATTTATAAAAAAAATGACAGTTTTTGTAGATTATTACATTCAATCATTTCGTGTTAGGAATCACACGTTAAAAGGTAAGACCTCGTTAATCCTTAGCTCGCACAAGTTTCGACTTCTGAGGGTTGTCGTTCGTAGAGGTGCGACAGCTGGTTAATGGAAAAACAGATTTTTTAAACAGACAGAATCTTTGTCCGAAAATATGATTACCTGTCTCTCCTGTAGGCACATAGATGTCGCCTTGATAACAGTCTTCAAGTCTGCCTTCGTGGAGTCTATGAGATGCAGCGAAACCAATAATTCAGTAGGGCTGATTGGACTATCTCCGTGCAGCCCCAGAAGCCTGTTGAAAACTTCTCGCACAACTACAGGATTCAATTTTATGAGTTTAGGTAAAGCTGATATTATCTGAAACATATAAACACATATATGAAGTTACTGTATCCTATTTTCCTGAAAAATATCACCTCTTGTTTAGATAGACCGTTGAGCACAGGGATAAGGAACCTGACATCGGAAATTCTGCTGTTGTACAAATCTCGTACTCTGTTGACGAGATCAGGGGTCGGATTAGCTTTGTCAGTCAAAATGTGTATCACTCTTGTAACTAAAGTTTCAGAGCCCTTTGGACACTCTTCAACCAGCTTCAGTAATTCCGCAGAACCCATTCCCATTGTTTTTATGGGCACTTCTATGAGCCTTAGTATTATCCGTTTGATATCAGCACTTGTTTGTACATAAACCTAGGAAATGTTAAACCACAATATGTTATAATATTATACAGGGTACCCTAACAAGAATGAAAATAATTTTCTCAAGTGCAGAAAAATCATTTGGACTGTCAATTTTCTATATGCTCAGACTTGTTCACTAAGTTTTTGTGTAAGCTATTAAAATATACAGTGAAAGAGGTTCACAACGTTTCATGGTAAATTTTACTAGTTAGGACTTCCATTGTCTAATATGATTCAAAATCTATGCAAGACCAAATAGAATCAGAATGAATAGCTAAAATATCAATTATATATCAATTAATCAATACTTTATTATCATAAGGAACATTGAGTTCTTATTGACAAAGCACTCGATAAATAAAAACACTAAATACTAAACGTCTTCGGGTGATGACTGGACTGATTCCTCCGAGAGATGACTATTTTATAGGTCGTTGAAAACCCATCATCAAACGAAAAATGACCAACTCCCGCCAAAACGGTCATCTCTCACGGAATCAGTGAAGCGGAAAATGGAAAGTAGAGAAAGTGAAAGTATTTCATGACGTTTCAATTGTTAATATTCACAATCGTCTTCGGTTGGTGACTGGACTATTCCTAGAAGAGATGAATATTTATAGGTCATTAGAGTGCTTTCACCTATCCCTTTTTAGCTCTCTCTTTCCATATGTTGCGTATCTCTACGCTAGCTTAGCTGAATGCGTCGTTGGACAACATATATACAGCATCTTTGAACTACCTCTTAAACCAGTATTCCTACCTGCAGATGATCTCAGCTTGGGACCACTTGGTGTTATATTGATGATTCCAAACATCGTCTGCTATTTCAGATTTGCCGGTTTTTCCTCACTGTGTGTTTCTCTTGTGCTCGGCAATGCGGGCTTTCAATGGCCTCTTACTTTCACCGATATAGGATTTGCCACACATCTGTATACTGAAAACCCACTCACACGGGACAGTATCTGAATCACAGAGCCAATCAATATCAATCTACCAAAGAGGAATCATCAATACTCTGGTGGATCATGGTTTCGGGCTCTGTAATAAGAAGGAAGGTCTTAAGAAGGAACTAGGCATCATGAAAAAGGTTTTTCAACAGAATGGTTACTCCTATATGATGGTGGAATAGACTTTGGCTAAAGACACCAAGAGCCTCGCAAGGAAGAGAAGCCATCACAACCAGTGCTTGCCCTTCCCTACCTCAGAGGATTGTCGGAAAGGATAATAGGAATTGGTTCCAAGTACAACATCAGAACCTGCTTCAGATCTCAAGAAACCCTATATCGGTGAAGCTAAGAGTCTATTGAAAGTCTGCATTGCCTAGCATAAGATAAACATACAGCAAAGAGAAATCAGCAAATCAGGAATGGCAGAACACGTCTGGGTTCATCAACATAACATCAACATCATCCACAGGGAGGAACACTGGTTTGAGAGGAAGTTCAAAGAAGCTGCATATATGTTTCTAAATTTATTTATTTTTTACATAGGTTTCGAATCATATTAGACAATGGAAGTCAGAACTAGTAAAATACATATTATATATCCCGAACAAACTATGAGTGTCTGTCAAAAAGTATGCACCACCATTCAAAAAACTTTTTTCATACAAGTTAGATCAATGTATATGAATCAAAATGCAATAGTTACATTATATATTTTTTACTGCACACGAAATCCATAAAAAAATGTAAATATTATACAAGAGAAAAGTACCTTTACCTTGTAAATATTGGACAATTTCACCTTGAAGTGTTTATTCATAAAAACAAAATATACTCAAATTTGCAACTGAAGCCATGCACACTATTGAGTTTTGAATTATAGACTTTTGAATTACCAGACTATGAAAAAACATTTTTTGAGGTCAGAAAAGTTTACAGCCCTTCACATACTCGTATGTAGGGAATTTCTTCAACAAATACCTCTCCATTCTATAACAACCTGTCGGGCCAAAGAATATATCCAATTTCAGAAAAAAACTGTTCTAAGGATTGTCTAATCAGTTTAAAAAAACAATCTAAAATACCTTTGCCAAATCATGAATGAGACTTTCATTAACGGGCAGCAACGACACATAAGGGAGTAAACACGCTTTGATGAAATCATCTCCCCAACTCTCACTTTTCAACCGTCCTTGATTGATCCCACACAAGCTTTCTGGTGGTTTGGGCAGTTTCAGGAATTCCATATTCATCCTAGCAAACTCCTCAATAACCAATCTCAAGTCGAATCTTTTGTGGAGTTCCAGAACGTGTCCAATAGCGGAATCTCGTACAGCATTGGACTCGTATGTAGTGTATGACAGAAGAGCATTGAGGAAGACCAACTGCTTCGGAGGTTTTCTCACGGTCAAGTCACGCAGCAGTCCAAGAGCCCAGCCTGTAGAGTGAAATTCAGTAAAAGTTATTTCTTATTCAGAGACGAATCTCTTTGGTTCAAAAACTAACCTGAACGTCTCTCATCTCTGCACACAGCTCTTACTTCTTCCAGGGCATCATCAGTTATGGAAGGGGCTTCGAGCAGTAGCCTCGATAAAATCAGGGCATCTGTTGCAGATACATTAATGAAGCTGCATAGAAGGAAATTATAACTATCATCTAGTTTCACGTCTCTTCTAAGAGGTGGTATTCTGGAAAATCCCTATAGGAAAGTAAGTTGATTAGTAATGGAGTTATGAAAAAATGTTTTGTAGTTTTAGATACCAATGTATTGAGTTTTTTTTAGAAATATTGTATAATAATGGGTGATTAGGGATTTGAAAACATGTTTTTTTTTTTTAAATTCATATATTTTTTTTGAGGATGTCATTTCTTCTCGAAGAAATATACAATACATAGTTATGCATATATAAATAATTTATATACGTATATACTTTTACAGTACATCATGTATTATAATTTAATATATTCTAATAAGTTGTTGAATATTTTTAATACATTTTCATGTTATATTTCATCAGGTAACTTATTGAATCTATCTAGACCTTTAAAGACTAATGAATTCATTCCACTCTTATAGTTTGTTCGGGATATATAAAATGTATTACATGTTCTGGTATTATACGAATGAAGGTCACTATTTCGAACTAAATATCTGCTAAGATAGGCTGGTTGTATCCCACTCGTAATTTTGAAAATAAAAATCATACTCAAATAATACAGTTTTTTATGTACCGCCTGCCACTGTAGAGTATTTAACATAGATTCAATAGGGGTATACTGGTTGCATCTCAAAATAATTCTCATACCTAAAGTCTATCCAAATCCAAGATAGAGTAAAACAAAACAAAACCGAAGCGTGATGTTCACGTGATCGCCCAGTGTCAGATGGAAAGGGCAGCGTTCATTGGTGAATTCGCCTTCTTGGTACGAGTTCGGTACCAGCACAGGGTTGTAATCAATCGTTTGCGTGTTTCTGTGGCGTGCGTTGTAGTATATTGTTTAAAACTGTCCAGTACAGACACTGCTGATGACACTGTGAGCTATCCTCTGAGTCCAGCCAGGAAACGATCCAAAAAAAGACATTTGAGTGTTGAGATGAAAGAAGTGATTTTAAATGTGTTCAAGAANACTTGTAGATATAATTCAATGTTCTTTAAATATATATTGATATTTTGTACAGCTTCTTTTAAATCACAGTTTTTTGTATATACAAGGGTATCAACAGCAAATAAATTATTGTGCTGTGAACCAAGTACATAGTTGATATCATTTATATAAATAATGAATAGCAGTGGTCCCAAAACACTGCTTTGTGGTACGCCTACATCATTTATAATTTGATCTGACATTACATCACAAATTTTAGTCCTTTGACTTCTTTGCTCAAGATAACTATCTAACCAGTTTAAAGCTTTTTCACTTACACCATAATACTTCAGTTTATTGATTCAAGTTTTCCTTTTGATTGTTTCAAAGGCACGTTTGAAATCTAGAAATATAGCAACAATATATTCTTTCCTATCAATACTTTTTTTTCCACTCTGTAACTGTTAGTTGTAACGCTGTTTCCCATGAGTGATTCTTGCGAAAACCAGACTGATTTTCGATGAATAAGTTATTATTTTCATCAAAGTATGTAACTAGTTGTTCATATACTGCAAATTCCAGTACTTTTTCAAGTGCTGAAAGACTGTTAATTGAATGAAAATTATTGCATCACTTGTATTATTTATTTTCGGAATTGGAGTGACTGTACTAACTTTGTACTGGTTTGGAAACAGTCCTATGTATAAGAAAGTATTTATAAAGTTCAATATTATATGCCCAAACACATCGAAAGTTTCTTTTAAGAATGTACTATTGATCATTTTACTTTTATTTACTTTAGCAAGAGAAAAAATTATCTTACATAAAGTTATCATGTTTATTTTTTTGAATTGACTCAACCTACTGTTTATGGGTTCGTAGCTATTCTGTGTCCATATCTCATCACAATACATACTATTTTCTATTTCAATTACACTGTTCACAAAATATTCACTGAAATTATGGGCAAACTAATTTCACAAACTACACCTAAACGATTTGATCTTCACAAACTTTATTGAAAAAATATATCACAACATGTTTCGCTAAACATTAGCTTTTTCAAGTGATTAATCACTTGAAAACATTAGCTTTTTCAAGTGATTAATCACTTGAAAAAGCAAATGTTTAGCGAAACATGTTGTGATATATTTTTTCAATAAAGTTTGTGGAGATCAAATCGTTTAGGTGTAGTTTGTGAAATTACTATGGATCTTCATCAAGTAACGGCCGAATCAATCAGAAAAAAAAATATATCAATGTCATTAGTATCAATCTTTCTTTGATTCGAATTTGATGTAACAATCATTGCCTTAGATTTGAAAAAAAAAGTTTTATATATTTATAATTGAAGGGATTACCTGCATAATGCTGTATTCTTCAAAGAGCCAAGACAGAGCAATATCGACGTATGACCTGAGATCATTAAGAAGGAATTTCAAAACTGTGTCTCGTACACCTAAGTTGAAACAAGTGGCCATAGTTGTGATAATCTTCTGATGCAGTTGTTTATTAGCAGATCTATGAGGAGTCAGGAGTCTTTCTACAGCTTTCAGCATCAGTCTTTCTTTCACATCTTTTTCCAGAGGTTTTGTTATTTCCGCAAGTTTCAGAGTCTTGATTCTCAGTACTTTAACTTTTTCTTTCTTGGGTGGTGGCTGAAAAATGAATGAAATATTTATGTTTTGACATTAACTGATACAATCTACTGTGGAATTCTAGAGAATAAACATTCTTGTTTTAAGAAGCTATTGTAGAGCAAAACACATGTCACGGTCTTTGTAAAAACTGTTATAGATAATTGTATCAGTGGTAATATAGATTTTTACCACGTATTGGCTATTTCTATTCAATCACCCTGAAAGTTTGGTAAAATTAAAAGAATATGTTAACATGGTATTTTTTTTGGGTGTCATAGGCATCGACTACATTGGTATTAGCCTCATGTCCTGGGTAGGCAATGTTATTAAATTCCCGAGCCACCTAAGAAGCATCATGACTATTCGCAGTCTGTCAGCCATGTAACATTGCAGAACCATCCAAATTTCAACTAGATAAATTTTCCCGAGAAAAATATATGATCGAGGTTGAGATCGAATTCACAACGGATGCACTACCACTGCGTTGTAAATGGGTATTATTTCTAATTTCGTTACTGACAACTTAATTTTAGATTATCTATTATGTTTTACAATCATGACATGAACATATTCAATATTTGTGTACTATTTAGGAAAATGTGTTTCCTTTCGTAAACACTGTACTCCAGAGTTGACCTGTTATTGAATAAAGATATAATATAAATGATTAATAATTTTAGTGTTTGACTTCAAAAACTGCTTTCCTACCTTTTCTCTCTCATCTTTATTATCTTCAGATTCTCTTGTCCTTTTTTTGCTTTGTTCCAGGCTTTTCAATTTTTCCGCAATTTTTTTACCAGGGCCAACATTTGCCAGAGTGAATTGCTTTGCCAACACATTTGCCAAATGTATTTTACCAATATTTCCCAGGTTGACAAACTCAGCATAGTCCTTGATAAAGTCTGTGGGCACAGTATTAGGCAGTTTAGGAATATTGGTGAAAATGAGATAAACTGCTTTTTCAAGAGTGAGATTTTCTAAAATGAACTGTTCATTTGCTTCTAAAGGTGTCAGTTGAGAATCTGTGGACTCGTCAATGTCAAATGAGTTATGATCTAGACGTGCTCTCTTTACACTCTTTTGAACCAGCGATTCCGAAGATAGAGTTCGCTTTTTGTACTTTTTCCTTTCATCAGATTTAGGAATCAACTTATTTATTTCAGACTGGGAACACCCTAAAAAATTGACAATAATGACATGTAAAAAAAATATACTTCCACTTACCCAACTCTGATAATATGGGAGAGATTTGGTCTACATATTCATAGGCTGCGGGGTGTTTCAAAAGACTGCACAGCTCTGTTTTCAGTTTCTTTTTCACAGAGCTCACTTGTGTAGTTGTCAAAGTGGGGGGTAAGTTATTAAACAAAGATTCAAGAGCATTCACTACTCTAACCATGAATTCAGCCCTACTTTTAGCTATATTCGTAAGTGCACCTATACAAGCTAACAAGTTTGCACTACTAATATGAGGAGATCCATGGAATTTCACTAATACTTCAAACAAATTACTGAAATTTGTAATGGAGAAATATTTAGATAATAATAATGAAATAAAAAAATGAGTAGTTATACAAATGTTCCTATATGAATCCAAATGATTGGAAACATATGATGGATAAACACATATAAATTGTAATGCATTTTTGTAATGTTTAAAATGACTTTCACAAGATGAATAAACACATTTTCTGTTTGGGTCTACATCGAAATGAAATTGGGTAACAAGTGCCACAAATTCACAAATTCAAACAAATAACTTACGTGATAATGAAAGAAAAAATTCTATTCTTTTAGCGAAGTTTTCGAAAAGAAATATTAATTAAGAACTTTCAATGAGTGTTATTGCAGCAAAAACAGTTCCATTTATTTATTTTTTTATTCATTCATTCATTAACACTTTGGTATACAAAAAATAAATATAAAATGAAAAATTTTGGATCATCAGAAAAAATATTAGTTTAAATCACATGAACTAAACATCCAAATAAACGGAAATTAATATCATTCATATAAATGTGCCCCATCAGTATAGTGAACCCGTGAGTGAAGCTTCAGCAAGATTAATTTTTTCACCTCAGTATGAAAAACATACGATGTCAATCTGTTGTTACAGTTCATTGCATCAAATGATAGCGAGCACCTGAAATGAGCTGGTTCACGTAAGTAAATGAAGCTGTTATGAATAAATGAAAAAAATATGAAAATGCTAATTAATTTTGGTTGTTCATCAATTAAGTTTTCCAATTGTAATGCAGCTCAAATCATTGACAGTTATATACTAATATAGATGAAACAGGTGATGCATACAAAATTAAATATATGTTAACGTAATTGAACAAACAGGTTGAGTCAATGAAGAAAGAGCCACCAAATAAAAATACCTTGCTTCCTCTTCTAAATGTCTTCGTCGAGCAACTTTTAGTGTTAAAGGTACATCATCCAGTGAAAAATCATTGGGACGTCTGCTCTCAGTTTCATCAGGATAAGTTTGAAGAAGTACAACACACTCAAGAAACTTTACTGAACTAGTCCTTATACCATCATTATCACTATCTATCATATTGGCGATTTCCAACTTGATAGCACTCAATTGCTTCCAGGCTTCCTCCATTTCATCGGTAGTGATCGAGGCCATGCAAAGCCATGACAAAGTTCGGCGATAAATTGTGATTGCAGCTTGTATTACACGTTTCTGAACCGCTACAGATTCATCACAAAGCAGCATATGTAAATGAAGCATAACCTTTGGTATGTAAGATTCACGAACTTTACTGAAAAAATATTGTGTTCAAAATGTTGTTTTTTTGGTGTGTGTACTATATATGTATATATGTACTATATACTGTAAAAACATTGATTCCTCACGTTCAACAAGTTACACTTACATCAATTCTTCGATGAAACCAACTAAGGCTTTTTTAATATCCGGATTTCTTTCTGTTGTAAAATTCAAAATATTCTGTAGAAATTTTGGCAGTAATATTGGGGTTTTCCTCAGTAAAATTTCTTGAATTTTGAAGAAATAAGAGACTTTCTCGGAAGCTTCTTGTGCAAGAGCACAACAATTAAGATACTGTGTGACCTGTTCATCATCAGAAATATTATCAACAAATTCCATTTTATTCAATCTCCTGTATAACAATAACCTATTTCAATACAAATGCCAAGCAGTAACCAAAATTGATTCCTGATATGAAAAATATTACATCCTATGATTGTTGTGAAAAGCTATATGAAGAATAATTTAAAACAATCAGGAGAAAATATCAATAATCAATATGGAAAAATTCATAACCAAGAATATTAGTGACAAAACCACCGACATAAGTTACGTCTATTGACAAAACAGACAAAATGACAGATGACAGGATGAAGTGACAGGTTTAATTTGCTTCACAATTCAAAGATATGTTCCAAAAATAACCACTTCTTGAGTGCTACCATAGATATCTATGACCGCTATTATGAATTGTGATAATCAAAAGGGACCCAAAAATTTTTTTCGAGATTTTGGGTCAAATAAAGTTGTATGTTTTCTAAGGGTGCGTTTTTAATCATTTGAACCCTTTCCCCATGTAAAATATTTGTCACAAATACAGAGATTTTCTTGGTCTACTGCGCCGAAGGGAAGCAAAGACCATAAAAAAAATTTGAAGAGATTTTCAAAAAAGTTTTTACTGATTCACTTTACAATATTTTTCTTGTTTTGACTTCTCAAAATGTTGATATTTTTTTTGGTAATTCATGAACATACCTGTTTATTTTGTGAATATAGGCAACTATGAACTGAATCTGAACAATATACTTCCATTCTTTTATTTTTTACTGATTTTCGACTCACAAAAGACAATTTTTCATTTTTTAGAGCTGATCCAGTATTGCTGCACATTTGTCGATTCATCACAAAAAATATTCAAAATAAAAATTATGGACTTGATCACATCAGAATTATATGATTTTTACACAAGTTAGCAGAATTAACATCTATTTACTAGTTATATATCTATACTATACCTAGTTATATAAATATTCAATTTTAAAATTGCAAGTAGAAATATGCCAAGAATAAAGGAAAATATTCCTATACTACATGAATATGTATGTTTTTTCCTTTAACCAGCTGTCCCACATCTACGAACGACAACCTTCAGAAGTTGAAATTTGTGCGACCTAAGGACTAACGAGGTCTTACCTTTTAACGTGTGATTCCTAAAATCATAATGAGCTACCTAAATCATGAATAAAACAGTTTATCTGTTGGTACACTCAACGAGGTCGTAATCATGATGGTCGCAACCATATTGCTGCTAACCACCGCTGAAGGTACCCCTTGTAGTTATTTGCAAAACTTTCGGAGCTAATCTCTTCAAATGGACCACGGCTACCCTTTACAGATAACCAAAGTTAAAATTCCACTTCCAACTTTAGCTGACGTCTCTCTACAATCCTTTATTTTTTTCGTGACGATCCGTCCAGGGAATCGAACAAAAATTTTTTTTTCAGTAATAAGGGTAAGGAAGCAAAGGGAAGGAGACAAACTTGTTTTTCTATTGAGTAACGTGTTCACACAGGTAATGTTAGTTTTACGAAATGTGTCAGAAAAAGAAAATATTCCGAGAGCTTCTTTATTGATTATGAGTAGAAGCTTCTACATACATTGTATCAAGTGTATCATTCATCAAGTCAACAAAAACAAATAAATCACAATATCATTAAAGTAACTTATCCTACATTTCAGAAATGCTCATTCCAATAAAATTAAACAAACATCAACGCCAATAAATTAAATAAAACTAAAACGTATAACAAAGTATTTTTCCTCCTGAACTCCTTTCGATGAAAATAATTCTGCTGCAGCCTCCTAGACAAAAAATAAAAAGAGCTGATGAAGATCTTCTTGGGGCCCTTTTCGGCAGAATCTCCTGCTATGCCTAGTTATTTCTTTTTCTGTGCCTTCTCGGCGGCCTTCGTTACTTTGCCCGCCGTATCTTTGAAAATTACAGACTTGATGACTCCGACAGCAACAGTCTGTCTCATGTCGCGGACCGCAAAACGACCCAGCGGCGGAAACTCCTGGAACGACTCTACACACATTGGTTTAGACGGAACCAAATTAACGATGGCGGCATCGCCCGATTTTATAGCCTTCGGATTTTCCTCTGTGGTCTTTCCAGTACGACGATCGCACTTCTCTTTTATCTCCGCAAATTTGCAAGCAATGTGAGCGGTGTGGCAGTCGAGGACTGGAGTGTACCCGTTGGCGATTTGGCCGGGATGGTTTAGGACAATGACTTGAGCGATAAAGTCGGAAGCGCCTCTAGGGGGATTGTTTTTAGAATCTCCGGCGACGTAGCCTCTTCTCAATTCCTTGACAGATACGTTCTTAACGTTGAAGCCAACGTTATCGCCTGGCACAGCCTCTTGAAGAGCTTCGTGGTGCATTTCCACAGACTTCACTTCGGTGGTTAATCCTACAGGGGCAAAAGTGACAACCATGCCTGGTTTCAAGACTCCAGTTTCTACTCTGCCCACCGGCACTGTCCCAATGCCGCCTATTTTGTAAACGTCCTGTAAAAAATTGGTAGCTTTAGAAGATGCTTAATAGCAACAAATTTTAAACGGGTACAACTATGAACTGCTTCAAGGACTGAATAGAGGATGCTAATGCTTTAAAACAAGAAGTTCATGAAATTACTTAGTTTCATGAATGAATCGAGTTGGCTGAAGAGCCAACAAGGAAATGCCTTACCGCGAAACATCAAGATGTCTACCAGTGAGGATGACAGTGTTCCACGTAAGTGAAAATTGCTTCTTTTATTGATTATATTGTGTAGGAATCTGGTGAATGATATCTGATTCAATTTCATTTCAAAAGTTTGGAATTCAAACAGAATGGAAAGAATGTTTTTCGTATTATAATTCAGTGTTCATATAAAAGTAGTTGTATGAAAGTATTTACCTTTCGTGTAATTCAATGTTTATGTAAAAATGTCTGTTTTGAGGGTTTTTTTCAGTTTGTTCATGAAAATTACTTTTTTGCATGATCTATATATCTTTATATAGAGTTGATTTTTGAAACTGCCTGCGCCCTCTCTTTCTTCGGAAGATTGCCACATTTTTTGTATCAAGATGGAGAAGTAGAAAGCCAAAACTTTTCTTTCACAATAATTTTGATGTTGTCAACAGATTCAACACTTATTGTTTGTTTGCAGATCCTCAAAACGAATATAAAACTGCTAATTACTCAGGAAAGAGTGATCTGATTTCCGAGAATTAAGGACAGAAAATTGAAATCCCCATCAAAGGAGTTATCACAAGACAACTAGTGTCCGACCGAAAGTTGGGTTTCGGTCGAGTTTCGACAAAAAAACGGGTTTCGGTGGCAAACCTGCCGAAACTACGACCGAAACCGTAATTTCACACAAGCGACGAAGACATTTTGCCGCGTCCACGTGCCTAATCATGTCGTGACTCATGATTTACTTTGTTTATTACATAAATATTAAGTACCTATTGTGATATTAGGTAACAACTCAAGTAATATGATTAATATTTTTGAAAAACCATTACTAATATTCAAAAGAAGAATCTACACCTACTCAAATAAACACATCACCTATTTTAAGTTAAGGTGCAATTATTATTTTTTCCTAAATAATGGGTTATGTTGATTATTAATAAGTGAAAATGTCGAAGACTTCGGCCGAAACTGAGACCGTTGCCGAAATTTGGTTTCGGTCGTAAAAACCAGTTTCGGTCGGACATTAAAGACAATCTTTTCCATTTGAAAAAAAAAAAAAAACTGGAAATGCCCTCTTGGCAATGAGTGTCAAAACTCTATCTTTCTTACGAAAAAGTACTAAAATTATACTTTTCTGAGTTAAGTTTATCTGACCTTGACATGTTGTTCCTCTCAAAAAAAGGCGACTAATAATATTCGCACTGTAAAGGAAAAAACATTATGCAATATAAAAATGTACTTGACAACCAAATATGTAACTCAAGATCGATTATAATGAATCACAAAATGAGATGTGAATTTTTTTCCGAGACGACGGAAAACGGCCGGATGGTATGACACTTGTTCTATGGAAAAATGGTAAATCTATTGTTTGGGACTTTACTTGTGTAGATACATNTTTTTTTCAACTTCTCATTTTTGTAAATATAGTGCATATGAATTTAAATTTGCATTAAAGAATTCTTTCTTGTGGTAATTAAATTTCTTGGGAGTATCTCATTTGTTCACGAGTTCCTACGCGGATGAATAATTTTGGACATATTCCCTTGTATTTTATGAAATAAAAAAAAACTGTTTTGAAATGTTCACTCACTTGGAGAGGAAGTCTCAGCGGCTTCTCAGTTGGACGTGACGGAGGCAAAATAGCATCTAAAGCCTCAATAAGGGTTTTTCCGTCAGCTTTTCCTTCTTTGCGCTCAACAGTCCATCCCTTGAACCATGGCATTTTGTCAGAGGATTCCAACATGTTATCACCATTCCACCCAGAAATAGGAACGAATGCAACCGCTGCTGGATTGTACCCAATCTTTTTGATGTATGACGAAACTTCCTTCTTGATTTCCTCAAATCGAGTTTCCGAATAAGGAGGTTCAGTAGAATCCATCTTGTTGACACCAACAATGAGCTGCTTCACGCCCAAGGTGAAAGCCAGAAGGGCATGTTCACGAGTTTGCCCATTTTTGGAGATGCCAGCTTCAAATTCGCCCGTTCCTGCTGCAACTATGAGCACAGCGCAATCCGCCTGAGAAGTCCCTGTGATCATGTTCTTGATGAAATCTCTATGGCCAGGAGCATCAATGATTGTCACATAATACTTGGCAGTTTCAAATTTCCACAAAGCAATATCGATTGTGATACCTCGTTCACGTTCAGCTTTGAGTTTGTCCAATACCCAAGCATACTTGAAGGAACCCTTGCCCATTTCCTGAGCTTCTTTCTCGAATTTTTCGATGGTACGCTTATCAATACCACCACATTTGTAAATCAAGTGACCAGTAGATGTAGATTTACCAGAATCTACGTGTCCGATAACGACAATGTTGATGTGAATCTTTTCTTTACCCATTTTGCTTGTTCCTGTAACAGAACCAACTACTTTTGAATTTTCAAGATTCATATGAAACTTGTTTTGATTACACCATATTTAGCAAGTAGAATAAAAATCATGAAATTTTCTTCATATTCATAGTAATTTAGCCTGAATTGTTTTCTAAACAGAAGTTAATGGAACCATACGCAGGTGATTCAAATGATTTTCTAGTAAACACGAAACTTATTTTATCAAAATGAAAATGTATAGCTGGAGATTTTAATATATCCACGAATTATGAAAATAATAGAGTGTAATTTTCTGTCACTCTTGTAATATTACACTCGGCAACTAATGTATCTAAAATATCGATACAATACTAGAAAAATGTGTCAACAAAATACTTGTTTTCTTCAACATCATAGGTAGGTAGGTAATAGATTGAACCATTTATTCTGAGATCAAAAATATCTCGACACACACACGTGCGCGCGCCCGTACCCACACACAAACGCGGCCGAACCGCTCTCACACGCGTGTCCGTACCACACAAGCACAACAAAAAGGTAGGTAATAAATTGAACCATATATTCCGAGGTCAAATATATCTTGACCCACACACGCGCGCGCGCCCGCACCCACACACACGCGCGCCCATACTCTTACACAAACGCGCCCGTACCACCCACACGCGCCCCCGTACAACCCACAGACAAACGCAAGCGCGCGCCCGTTCAACCCACCCTCGCACAAACGCACGCGTGCCTTTACCCACCCACCCACATACGCGCCCGTACAACCCCCACACACACACCCACAAACGTACGCGCGCCCTCACCTACCCACACGCGCCCCCTTATAACCCACACAAACAAACGCACGTGCTCTTTCACCCACCCACACACAAACGCCTCCACGCACCTAAACGCGCGCACATACAACCCACCCACACACACACGCGCCCTCACCCACCTACCCTTACCCACCCAAGCACACACGCGCCCTTACCCACCAACACACGCGCCCGTACCCACCAATACACACACACGCGCGCCCGTACAACCCACAAAAACAAACGTACGCGCGCCCTCACCCACCCACACGCGCCCCCGTATAACCCACACACACAAACGCACGCGCTCCTAAACGCGCGCACATACAACCCACCCACACACACACGCGCCCTCACCCACCTACCCTTACCCACCCAAGAACACACGCGCCCGTACCCACCAACACACACGCGTGCCCGTACCCACCAACACACACGCGCGCCCGTACAACCAACAAAAACAAACGTACGCGCGCCCTCACCCACCCACACGCGCCCCCGCATAACCCACACAAACAAACGCACGCGCTCCTTCACCCACCCACACACAAACGCCCCCACCCACCTAAACGCGCGCCCATACAACCCACCCACACACACACACGCGCCCTCACCCACCCAAGCACACACGCGCCCGTACCCACCAACACACACGCGCGCCCGTACAACCCACACAATCAAACGCACGCGCACCCGTACCCACCCACACACGCGCACCCGTACCCACCCACACACGCGCGCCCGTACCATCCACACTCAAACGCACGCGCGCACGTACCACCCAAAACCTGCTGAATCTTTATTATTCTTAAAAATATGTAGTCGTTTGAACTTTGCATCTGTTGTTTGTAGTTCGCAATATACGATATACCAAAAGAAAATTTCACTCCAGTAAAAAAAAATCCTGTTATCTCTACAGATAGGAGAAAAATGTCGGATACATCAATGTTGTACAAAATATTCAATAATCGTGTCAATTGTCTAAATTTGATAACAAAAATTTCATTGAATACACCATGCAGAAACTTGCGAAACAATATCTTTGCTATCCTATTTTGAAAAACCAATTCAGGTAAAAACTCTCTTTTATGTAGAATTGTCAGATCTTTCTATGTAAAATGAGGACATTTTTTGGATTCATTCTATTTGTATCCCTAGTCGTGCAATAAATAAATAAAAACATTTATTTATTTTGTAAATAAAAACATTTATTTATTTATTTAACGGCAACGCCAATTTAAAAAAACATATTCAACAAAGTGTGAGGAACTACGAAGTATTTTTGAATGCTCATGTCTGATGTCTACATTACAAAACATTTAGCGACATGTGAAAGATAAATACATATTAATAAATCCTTACGTCTAGTGACTACATTTCACCGGTAAATTGACCCCCAGCACTTTTGAATGTGTCTGGTTTGATATTGTCAAACTGATAAATTTTTCACTGGAGTTGATAATGTGTTATCAGCATATTTAACATGTTTCTATAATAAGTATTGAGTAATGTCACTGACTATATAATGAATAGTATTGGTTCTATCCTAGGATTGATCTTTGGGAACCCCCCATGTAATATGTCTCTTGAATGATACATTTCCACTTAATGAGAAACAGTGAAACTTGTCAAGTGTCTCGGAATGAAAGAAAAAGCTTTTCCTCTGATATCATAACTTTTCAATACCATTAGAAGAATTTTATCTGACACCCAATCAAGGGAAAGTATGAAATATTAGTCTGCAATTTGTAATCAACGTAGAACATTCGGTAAAATTTTTCCAGTCACCCTTATATCTCATGAAATTGATTTTTATAATTCATTAGCTTTTTACTTTGCCTTTTATCAGGAAAAACATTACAAAACACATATTTTTCCAACCACTACTCCTTTTACAAAATCAACCAAGAGATACACTAGACTGACAAAGTCTACCTGGATCACAAAAGATTTCATCCGGATTTTTTTTTATCTAAGAAAAAAAAACATCTTTGGGTCAAATGACTCCTTGTTTTCTGTTCACAGGAATGTCATCAATTTCTTCAGAAATAAGTCATTTAAGACGATTGTCCGTATGTCAGTTCTTTTATTGATATGTATTTGCAAAATACGACATAAAAACGCATATCAACTTTACTCAAAAAAAGTTACGATAGCTCCCGGACTAACTGCAGATTTAGAAACGTCTACAAAAATTGCAGTATTTACTTACAAATGAACTGACTCATTTGATGATTCATCCTTTGAAACTTCGATTGGTAGGTACATTCCCAATCATAATTGTTTTGATGCATTACGAATTCAATGTACCAAATTTATTTGAAAATTGCTGCAATGCATTTCCGCGATTTAAAGGAGGCGTAGTTATTTTAATTATTTTGACCTTGACACACACGGCTGTGTGCACTATTATTTGCCTTGAGGATGTTATTATTCTGTGATGGAACGGTCCACAATGGTATGAATGAACTTTCGATTTAGCAGGGGGTGGGTCAAATAGAACAAGAATGTGTACTTAATCAATATCAAAGGTGATACATCTGAACTGTGTATAAGAAGCCATGTTGTGATGCAACACGACCTAAGATAAATGAAATAATGAGATGCAAGAATGATATTGATTTTCCACAGCTTTTGTTAACGAAAAATAAATTTTGTTGGGCAGCCATCATTGCCATAGGTCATAGGTCTCAGAACTGTTTCAGCATACGGGATTGAAGGAAAAAAATTTGATAGAATAGATATTTAATTTACACACTACCAAAACGATTTATTGAAAGGGCGTAAATGCAGGGAAAAAAATTAATTCAATTTTAAAAGACCTATTTTACAAATATCTACTAAAAATAGGCTGGTGTTGAGCATTATCAAGTTTTACCAAGTAGAATTCACTTATAGTTCAGATAAAACTAAATTTTGTGCCGGCAACCGGCCGTCATTTTCGCTAATGTCAAATCCGATAAAAATACACTTTTTACAAAAATAGCCGATATTTATCGAATGAACTCGATCTTTTTATGAAATACGATGGCAATTCCTTATGAGAGATACTATTTGAAAGGAAGGAAATATTAAAAGCACCACTCACCTGCCCAAAACACAGCAAGAGGACGACAAAATCGACGGGATCTGAGAAGCGCAAGCAGGCGGAAGTTTCAGGAGAATCTAGTTGGTGGGGAGACGAATTGTATTGATTGACGGATTATTCCAGGGCGATTCAATTAATTTTTGCGCAACTTCGGGTAATGTTGGCAAGTTTTGAGTAATATATGATACACTCTTGGATTATAAAATGATCAGAAAATTCCGTTACTCCGTCTTCGGCTAATAAAACTGGCAAGGAATAAAGGGGAAGATCAGAAAAAAGTTGACCAATGAAAATCGCCACAATATTGCAGGGTGTGACGTCCGGGGATGATTAATTAGCGGGAATATTTGAACAAAAGGCGAGAATGTTTTTATGATGTCCCATGGAAATGTGATGGATTATTTATTTCTACAGCTGGTGCTTGTGTTAAAAGTACTTCATGACAGGAGAGTCCTCCCTGCCAAATATCAGCGTTCTGGGATCTATAAAAACTCAAAAAAAAATGTAATGACTCCCTCAATGAGCATTTATTTTGGATAAATTATTGCTTTGAAAACCTTTCTGACTTTTTCTTCATTTCAATTTAGATTGTTTGCCAAAAACAGATTCACTTTTCAGAATCCAGATTTAGTAGACTCTGCTAGTTATTTTTATATTTTAACAAGCTTGAGCAAGGATCAAAAATGAAATAAAAACTGGAAAGCATAATACTTTATTTATAAACATATATTAGAATCTAAGTATAATTTATATTATATACACTTATATTGCATTAAGTAGATTGCTGAATAATATTTACAAATAGGCTAAAATGTCGGACCCAGCACCTGAACGGGACAACTTTCTATTATTGTCCTTACATGTACTGCAGTTCTTTCACTGGGGTTTATTGGATGAAGACCACACTGGTAAGTAGTTGGTCCATCCTTTCGAACTGGCCTCTCCCTTTGCTACCATAGTCAACTGCCTCGCTTCCTCGGGACTCAACTTGAGTATTGTATTTAACACAGGGACTAGCCTCGTTCGTTCATCTCCACTGTTGAGTGTGACAAACTGAAAGACAAAATATCGCATTAGAATAGATAGATACAACAGAAAACAATTTAGTCCCCACGACCGATATCAATATTAGGTATATTTTGAATTCCCCAATGAAAGAGGAGTCAAAAAGTATATAGCCATAACTACCGATAACGAAAAAGTTAACCACGTGTAGTTGAGAACGAAACACGCTCAGCCTAAGCTAACCTAACCTAACCAGAATTTGACTCAAACCTAACCTAACCTGAATTCGACTCAAACCTAACCTAATCTCTAATCATCCTCACAACCATTGCTCAGATTCTTTCACTGAGCTGAATCCCACTCAAACCTTACCCAATCTAACCCCCATCTCATTTTCACATTCGAGATTTCCTTCTACAGACTCAATATGTAACCTTAAATTTCGTAGGACTTTGTTTTATGTTCGTCCTCGTTGACTCTATAATAGACCTTTTATTTTATTTTAAGCTGGGGAATTCAAAAATATAATTATCATAATTAGTCGTGGCAACATTTTTCAAGTCCAAAACAAAATAAACCTGAATTAAACACATCAGGAGTGCAACACTCTTCTCGACGCGCATTTCATCAACCAAGTTGGCGTCATCAGGAGATGAACTATTGCAATCAGGTCATACATCAATGATATCTTGAGTACAAACACTTTACTCTTGCCAGAATTTCCGAAGTATTAAAAATATGATGTGTACTGGTCTTAACAATTTAAATCAATGCTCATTTATTCTATAGTCATTCTTGAAGGCGTGTTCTTTGACACACATTTTAATAACTCCTTTGGTCTGACCAATATACTTCTACAGAGATCAAAACGTGTCTGAAGACTGCATCGAGGAGAGATACATACGTATGAGAAAATAAATATTTCAAAACAAAATTGCAAACCACTCGTTTCTCCCAACTACCTACACAGTAGGTTCTGATAAATGCCTGCCGGAAAGCAACTACTTTCCCGGCTAATATCACGCAAACAGATATTAGTTTTCTCGTTCATCCTGCTGTTGTATGTATGACTTCACTAACAATTTTTAAGCGTTTCTGAATGGATACTTTTTTTACTATCATCATATGTACAATTAGTTACCTTGAATACTACATTCTTAAGATATTCCAGATTCTCAGCATGCTTCTCTCTCTCCTCCGACCTCTGCTGCCTTCTTATTTCTTCCTTCAGTAGCTTGTTCATCTGAACGTGCTTCACCAGATCTTGTTCAGTATCAGATAACAGCGCTGTCAGATGTACCACTTTGGATTCCTCCTCCCCCAATTTTTTCCTCATTCTATCGATCTCATGTTCAGAATCTGACCCCAAAAGTCTTTCCAACGGTATGGGGTGTACTGTTGGAGCTAGGTTGCTTTCTATGCTTTCTGACCCCTCACCTTCTTCTCTCGTCATTGTGGGCAGTACGAGTGGCGACTCTGTAGGCGAAGGGGCTTTTTCTAGACGGCTTTGGAGTTCAATGATCTCTCGATTGTGTCGAACTTCTTGTTCGGATATTTGCTGACGGTAACATTGAGAAAGAGTATCTGCGTGAACCTGGAAAGGAAGATTTCTGATATAATTTGGACACTAAGATTTTCAAAAAATGTGTTGACTCATAAAAGATAGCATTTCAACAATGACCATCTCAAACTCTAAATTGCAGCACGTTGAAAAACGTGCATATGCATGTGTGGATTTTACTCACTTTATATTTACCAACAGTAACCTAAACTTAAACTTGTGGTTTTTCAGTGAACAGAACATCTCTTAAATTAGACGATTGTCTCACCTCCAACATCCTGTAAAAAACTGNTTTGTATGATTCAGTGTTCATATGAAAGTTTGTTTTATGTTCAAGAATGCGGCTTTTGAAATTTCTAAAAGTTCTACCGACATTTATTTTAGAACAATCCCTACATTTTAATTTGTAAACCCCAGAATTTAGTGACTTTTTGGTTTTAGTTTTATTGTTTTTAATGAATTTGCTCAAATTATTACCCTCACTCTTGAACATAAAAGAATCTTTGATAACCATAGGATATTCTCCAAATTTTGAAATTTTACATTCGAAAAGAAAAGGCTTGAAACTTAATTCAGAAGCATTTGAGATCAACAAAAGAAAACAATAATTTACGGGGTACAAACTGCGTAGGAAAAAACGTTTTTTGTATGATTCAATGGTCATATAAATGTACATATTTGTTTCGAAATGTGTTTTTTCTATCGTGTATTTCAATGTTTATTTGAGAGAAGTTGTTTTGGGAGGGCTTTTTTTTGCTATTACATGAAAGTTTGCCCTTTATACATCTGTGTGAAGATCTCTATTAAAAACAGTTTTTTTTTGGAAGGGAAAAATCCGCAAACCGATTGATGGAAAATCCAATTATATTTGTTATTCACCCAAGTTTATAAACTTATCTAACAACTTTTATTGGCGTTCAAACATATACTCACCTATTTTGTTCCAAGTGACTTTTCAATGATGAATTCTCAGCTGTAAGAGAAGCTACTTCTTCTGACATTTTTTCTTCTAAACCAATGTCTCTACTTTGATTCTGCCTAAGAACACTCTGAGCTCGAACCTTGTACCCGTCATACTCATTTTGAATCAGTGCCAATTCATCAGTCTTGAGTTTGAGACCATCTTGAGCTTCTCTCAAGCTCTGCTGGAGCCCTAGAATTTGGCTACGAAGATGGTCTCGCTCAATTTTCAATGTGTTATTGGTTTTTTGATGTTCAGCAATTACCTTGGACAATTCCGTTGAGAGCTCTTCAGTCTCCGAACGATTTGTTTCGAGAAGCTGTGTGAGGTTTTGTATTTTGTCCAGTTTTTGCGAGACTTCATCTTCTAAAGCAGATATTTTTTTCTTATAGGCAGTGATTTCAGTGGAAATAGTAGTGATGTTTTGTTCTTCATCTGCCAGTCTTTCTTCCAGCAGTTTATTCTGTTCTCTCAGGGCCGTTATTGTAGTTTTCTGTGACTCTACCTGCCCCTTCAAGTTTGATATTTCCTCCAGCTGTTTCTCCAGTTTCTTGGCAGTTTCCTTAACACTTCTTTCGTAATCTTGCATTTCTAAACTGAGTACAGAGTTCTTTTTGCATTCATTATTCGACTGATCTAGTAAGGTTTTTGTGTGTTTGTGACTTTCGATTTCAGTTTTCAACAACTGTTCTTGAGCCTCCAATTCACTGGTGAGTTTTGATATTCTAGTTTCGAAATCCTTTTTCATTAGATTGTTGGCTTCGAGTTCTTTCCTCAATGTATGTACTTTAGCGCTTACTTGCTTTTTCCATTTCTCTGTATCCTGTTTTTCGTTCTTATAACTTTCCACTTCCTGCTTTAAAGCACTTATGATTTCTTCTTTCTCAGCTAAAGCCTGCTTGTCCTTTGATATATCGTTTGCAACGCTGTTGAGTCGATTCAAGAACTGCTTAGATTCTTTTCGAGAGTTCTCCAGTTCATCCTGCAACTTATCCATTTCACTTTGGAGATTCTGTATAGTTTTGATGTTGATTGACAGCTTTTTCTGCAAATCTTCATTTTCTTCCTGCTGCTTGTTCACAGTCTGGGTGAGTTCACGAATTTTTCCTTTCAGTTTCACAGCAAGGTTTCTCAACTTTCCATACCTCTCTTCCCAAGATCCCTCCAAATCTTTCAGTCTGCTAATTTCCTCAGTCTTTGAAATGGTTGAAGTGGACATGGTGTCATTTTCGATATAACTGGCTTCTAAGTTTGCATTGAGTTTTTCTTTCAGAGTTTCTATCTCACTTTTCAGCTCATTTATTTCTTCCTTAGCTGATAGATCAGAACCATTATTTGACCGAAGATCTTCTATTTCCCTAGTGAGGTCCTCAATCACTTTTTCTTTTTCCGCTATACTGTCTACATTTTTATTGGCTTGAACTTCGTAGATCTGAAGCTTTTTCAAAACCTCCTCACAATGGGCCTGTAGTATGGATATGTTTTCCCCCCTTTCTTTGATAGCCTGATTCATTTCATTCATTTCTGAAAGCAATTCTGTATTTTCCCTTTTTAGATCAGTAATTTGTTCTTCTAAATCTGTGGTTGATGTGGACATCTCATCGGTTTGACTGGACGAGTGGGTGACATTTAAGCGAGAACGATCTACTTGATTCAGTTTCTCCTGAATTGTTTCATTGATGAAGGAAAGTTGTTTGTTTTCTTCTGCGAGGTTCTTTATTTCCTCTCCTGATTGTTTACCTAGCTCTTCTAGTGATATAATCTGATTTTGAAGGTCAGATATGAGAATTTCGCTCTGTTGAATTTTCTTCGAATTTTCTTCCAGTTTCTTATCAGACTCATTGTTTCTTTCCTTGAGCTCCTTTTTCAAACTTTTCTTTTCATTATTTGAGAGATCAAGTTCTGCCATGAGGTCATCTTTTACTTTTATCAGGCTGCTATTTTCTTTTTGAATGATTTTTATTTCATTTTGCAGCTCCTCTTTCAGTTTTTCTTTTTCCACCTGTAAGTTTTCCAAATTGTTTTGGTACTTGTTCGCAAGTACGTCAGCTTTTTGTTGTAGCTGTTCCATTTCACTCAATTTTGACTGTGCTTCCTCCAATTTACTTTGCAGTAACATTTTCTCTTTCTTCACCTCTTCAATTTCGTTTTCATATTCCATTTCTTTCTGCTTCAAGATTTGCTTTTCCTCTTTTAAACTCTCGAGTATTTTTTTATAATCCTGTTCATTTTTGTTTATCCTGTTCTCTAACAAATTTTTTTCATTCTCTGATTGATCTTTCAGAATTTTGAATTCATTTTCATGGTTTGTTAGGATCTGTTTCAATTCATTCTCAAGCCTGATATTCTCTTCTAGAATTTTGTTATTAGTTTCATCAGAATGCTCTTTTGAATTTTGTTCGGCTAGCCTCAAATTTTTATTTTCTTCTNTGTCACAGGGATAGTCTTCCAAATTCGTTTTTTTCGCAGAATCGTTGGTAAGTAATTGTTCCATTTTGTGATTCTGATAATGTGGACCGAATCGTTTAAATAACTCCTGTTTAATTTACATATTTGGTTTTTATTACTAGTTACACTGACACGTATCTGTTGTTTGTTGTTGTTGCTGCAAGTTGTCACTATGACATTACATCACTTATCATTTGTCAAATTGCCAAAAGTCAAATCATAGGTATGATCCGAAACTAACCGAAATCTTGGCTATACGTTTCAAATTAACTTTTGCTGTCATATTCATGAAAAAATGATAATATTCGTAACGTGGTTTCCTGAAATAGGTGAACCAACGACAATCAAGTCACCGGCAAATATTATACAATGAAGCAATGAAGATTGCACTAATGCTGAAAGAATTTTTGTCTGCCAAAAACGCATCCTGAGGCTTTTGTTCAGTATGAAATCCGAAGATAGCTGCAAGACTATATTGAAACAAAATATTGACTTTTCCTTGCATATATATCTATAAAACATTAAGTTACGTAAAAGGAAACATAGATTCATTCAAGATAAACTTATCCTTTCATAATTATCCAACAAGAACTGCAAATGAATTAAGCGTAACTCAACATAAATTAACAAAATTTGAAAAAAGTCCAGGATATGTCGAAACAATTGAGAAAATGATGTTGGCAAAAGCATATATTATATTATTCGGTTAGAGGATTCCTCAATGACTCGTTAGAATGAATCAGTCACAACGACCATTTACATTTACCGTTAGATATTATATTTTTTATTTTTAACCACCTGTTTCTAAGTGTATTGTCAATTTGTGTGTGAGTGTAAAACATGATGTGTATATCCATCTTATAGATGGCTGCTGTTGCAATTACGAATAAATAAATTTGAATTTGAATTTGAACGCAAGAATTTTCCCCAATTTGCTTATTTCGTAATCCAACAAGATGACTTGCCGACATGACATGACTTCAAATGTCGAATGTAAAGGCGAATTCTTGAAAATATGTTTCAAAAGTAACCAGAAATGTCATTTGTTAATTCTAAAATAACCACTATTGTAGTGATATGAAACCACTGAGTTAATTCACTGTTCGAGATCAGTGTATGAAACTAGAATTCTTGAAAACTGATGACCCAAACAAACGTCACTAACCGATGATTTTGTTGTGATGAGAGTGACAATTGGCAGATGACGAGTTTGAATTTGGAGTATATGAACGGGTGAATTTCACTAGTTCGGACTTCCATTGTCTACTATATAAAATGATATGAAATCCCCGAAACAACTAAAAAAGAAGAATTAAAAATGAGATAGCTAAGCGATTAGAAGACCTTATCCGAGCAAATATTCTGCTGTCTCTAGATGACAATGAACTGAACAGTTTCCTTCGCTTTCTTTACTGCTTAATCCCATTTTACTCCTGATTCTTGATTGTCTGATGAAATAAAGGAAGTCTTCATTAATTAAACTGGGTTTTAATTATGTGGCCCAAACCGGGAAGATTGAAAATCGTTTATCATAAATAAAGATTTTAATGTGAATTTTATTCAACTTAATACTGATTAACACGTGATTAAAAACATTTTCTGTGGACAATAACCGGACCTGCCTCTTCATATTCCAACTTCGAAATCCACATTTGCTGGAATGTGGTCAAACTAGCGAGGATACTACCCCCAATCCATACAGAGTACTTTCTTTCAGGAGGCGCTATAATTTTTATTTTCATGGAAGCCGGAGCCAGGGCTGCGATTTCCCTCTGGATGCGATCCGCGATTGCCGGAAACATGGTGCTCCCTCCAGAGAGAACGGTATTCGCGTAAAGATCTTTTCTGATGTCCATGTCCGATCTCATGATGGAGAGGTAAGTTGTTTCAGCGATGCCCGGTGTCTCCATACCTGCGAAATTAAACGTAAATACTTTCTATTGATAACTAGTTGTTACCGCGGCTTCGCCCGTGCAGAATTTAATTTGTCACATTGAGTTTTGTGACAGACCATTTCAAACAAATAGTTACATTATTTTTTATGAATCCAAAACTTCAGGTTTCCAATTTCAAAACTGATGAAATTCAATACAATCTTTGAACCCCTATTTTTCCCTCTTGGGGGTGGAAACTCCAACGGCAAAACCTGTGTAAATTGTAGCCTATTTGTTATTCTAATGTATAAGCTGTGTTAATGTAAAGTTTCATCTAAATCCGTTCAGTCGTTTAGGCGTGAAAGAGCCATAAACATACGTACATACATTTATCGATCCTCACAAACTTCCACATTTATAATATTATATTTATAATAGATGTAGATATTAGCATGTACATAGATTCATGATTTTGCGTCTGAATTAGGTATGCTAAAGAAGAAAAATATTATCAGGATTTCAAGTCTCAAATTTTAAAAAGTATGCTTTGAAGTATGGAATCCTATTTTGATGACATAAGTCGAAAAAAGCTATGACTTGTTGATTCTGTCTCGGAGAAGCCTATTTATGATAAACAGTTTTTGCGACTTTTCATTAAAAATCACATACGAACCCGTCATTCTTACCTATTAAAGATGGTTGGAACATCGCTTCCGGACACCTAAACCTTTCATTACCCAAAGTGATAATTTGGCCGTCGGGAAGTTCGTAAGATTTTTCGAAACAAGTCGTATTTTGAGCTATCGCGAGGTCTTGTTCGAAATCTAGAGCCACGAAGCAGATTTTCTCTTTCAGATCCCTAATGATTTCCCTTTCTGCAGTAGTGGTGAAACTGTATCCTCGTTCAGTAAGGAGTTTCATTAGATAATCAGTGAGATCTCGTCCTGCGAGGTCCATTCGGAGAATAGCGTGTGGAAGAGCATAACCTAAAATTAAAAATGTTAATAAATATTTATTCAATATTTGATGTATCAGTAGATGAACAAGGTGGATACGAGCCCACTTCAAGGTCGCGCGTCATTGGTGTTTTAGAGAGAGATTTTAGTGAGTGGAAGAGAGAAACGTGTGACGTAATCGATGCAGAGAAGGATGGAATGAGTATCGGAGAGATTCAAATAGCGTGTGACCCCTTGGGACTCCGCCTCACCCCTCGGGTCTTCTTAGGCCTTCAGCCTGAGCTCCTTTGTCGCGCACCAATCACATGCTTCTAGTGATCATAGACAGCTGAGTGAAATTAAATTAAAAAAACTTTTCAATATGAAATTTGAACGCAGAACGTCGGCGTGATATACATTGTCCTTAGCTTCGACACCAACGTAAGATGTTTAATATGATTGCGAATTTTTGAAATTTATAGCGGTTGTTTTGTCGAGACCGAAATTGAATCATTGACTTGAACCCATTTTTTGATTTCCGTAGAATGTTAGGGATATTGTAACGTCGTTTCTTTGTAGAAGATAGAAAAATATACTTCAACACGGCGCTAAATGTGTTAATCGATCCTGATGTAAATCTGTGCCTAAAAGTGAACTGAAGTATATCAATTGTGGTGTTGTGTCTCACGTGACCTGCTCGAAACATTTGAAAAACACAGTTAAATGCTGTGTAAGCATACATATCGAAAGAAATAATGACGATACATTTTGTAATGACCTTGGTAGTGCGAAGGACTATAATAGACCTTTACCCTTTCTGAAAAAAAAGAGTAAATCAATATTGTTCACAGTTCTACACGAAAATGGTTCACTCAATAGGAAATAACTCCAGAATTTTTCTATTTCGGAGTAAAATTGAAGTTTCAAAAATGATTGTGACGCCACTATAATTAAGTCTCCCCCTTTCAAACCACGTTCCCTAATGCATCTGCTTTTTGTGAAGTAGAAAAAAGTACATGAATGAATGTACGATATAACTATTCGAATCGTACTTCTCAACACATAACTCTTTGTCCCATGCGGTTATTTCAATATCAGTGTAAATGTTCATATCTATGTGTATCTGTAGAGTAAGGAGGGTGAGTGTAAGCCCACAGTAATTAGGCCACATGTGACCCATTTTAAATCCTCCCAAGGAGTTGTCCTCATAGGTCATCGTCCTTCTTGTTATTTCCAGTAAGGTGGACAGATCACTGGGATACATCTCCTTTATATCGGCAGGTGTAGGCCACGACTCGCCGAACACACACTCTTTTATTGACGATAACTCCGGGCACTCGCATAGGACATGCCTGACAGTCTCATCTTTCTGTTCACACATCCTGCACAGTCCAAATAACTCGGTGTGAAAGATAAATTTTATCTATATTGAATACTCAAAACGACAATTGTATCAATTATGTCATCGGAACTATCGATGAACATCAAAGTTCAGATTTCAAACATGCTCGCCTTTCAGATCTTACTCGAGATCAAACCGATTTGAAGACCCAACAGTGCATCTCCATAGGAGTTTGCTTCCTGAATCGTCCGTCACATGGTTATGCTTCCTTTGAAAACAAGAAGGCTGTAGAATTTTTTGGTGAGCCTCCTTTGAAACATTTCTTTGAGACAACTTCAATATCGACTGCAGAATGAGATGAACGATATTTGTCCTCTGTTTTCTTGCAGCTTTCTCTGACAACTGGTTGAAACAAGAGCTCAAAAAACCGAAGCAATCGTGATACAATACCAGAAGTAATATCACAAAGTGGGAAAAATTCAACTGCATCAACTCACCCTCATATATAGGTACTGTATGCGACACTCCGTCCCCAGAATCCATCACTATCCCCGTAGTTCTGCCACTCGCGTACAAAGACAGCACCGCCTGGATGGCTACATACATGGCGGGGCAATTGAAAGTTTCGAACATTATCTGCGTCATCTTCTCCCTGTTGATTTTCGGGTTGAGGGGCGCCTCGGTCAGCAGTACTGGGTGCTCTTCCGGTGAAATCCTCAGTTCGTTGTAGAAGGTGTGATGCCAGATTTTCTCCATGTCGTCCCAGTTGGTGATTATGCCATGCTCGATGGGATACTTGACAGTCAGCACGCCTCGCTTGGTTTGGGCCTCGTCTCCGACATAAGAGTCCTTCTGGCCCATGCCCACCATCACACCCTGTGAGATGAATTGAGCGAAGTGAGATTATATAATTTATGTTATACAAGTCGGAACCTGAGCGCAAAAAAATGGAGCATTTGTACTCTAAACCAGACAACGCTTGTTGAATAAGCCATAGGTATGGTCAGTATGGTACTAGGCTGAACTACAAATGCATTCGATTGATTTTCCAATAATGTAGAAAACTTTTCAAGTACCTGATATCGCGGTCTTCCCACTACACTGGCAAAAACTGCCCGTGGTGCGTCATCTCCTGCGAAACCTGCCTTGCACATTCCCGAACCGTTGTCTACTACAAGAGCTGAAACGTCGTCGTCACACATTTTACACCCTGAAATGAAAATCAGAAAAAAACAAGTTTTGGCTTTCTGCTTGTCTATTTTTATATAAAAAAGTAGAGATCTTTCAATTTAATGTTATCCAGATTGATGCTGAAGGGGCAGTAAGGCAAGTGTTTTATTCCAAAACATCGGATATCCGTAAGTGAAGCTGACAGTGTTCCATGTAAGTGAAACTTTTCCTCTTTCATATACCATATTGTGTAGCAATCCTATGAATGATATCAGATTCAATTACATAACGAATGTTTGGAATACAAACTGAATAGAAAAAAAGGTGTTTTATATGTATAACGAAGTTCACATATAAATATAATCCCTCCTGAAATATACCCCTTTTAATTCAAACTAGAGTCCTATGGCTGAGATTCAATCAAATGAGCGAATGAATACCATTACGTATTGCCATCATGTTTGGAATACAAACTGAATAGAGAAAAGTTTTTTTTGTATAATTCAAGGATCATATATAAATATAATCCCTCCTAAATTATACCCCTTTCAATGCAAACAAGATTCCTATGATTATTTTGTGATTGTACATATATTATATCTACCATATGCCAATTGGTACTTTTGTAGGATTATACAGTGCGGTCCATATGTATGGAATAAATTCATTTTTAGCGTTATTATGTACTATGTGAAAAAAATCTGAAACAGGTCGATTTTTATTCTTAAATTGACAATTAACAGTATGAAAATATTATCCCCCTTCAGCAACCCTTCTGAATTATAAGCACCCCCTCGAAAATTTTAAATAGCAAAGGGGGTCGTGTGGCACCTTGTTGGAAAGGGATTTTAGTCCTCTGTTCAGCAATATAGAGTTTTTTAAGTTTGGCGCAATCATAACTGAAAAAATTAAATTTTACAATTAAATCAAATGTTCAAAATGACCACCTTTATTCACTTCTTGACAATAACCTGATCTGTTGAACAGACCATCCCTGCAACACGCTCCTTACTAACCTTGAATCCTGGAAAAAATCTTTGAAGATACTAAAATATTAGACAAAAAGCCAAATAAACAATTGATATGAATCTAGTAGACGATATAAAGGAGATGTCTCCCAGCGACCTGTCCACCTTCCTGGAAAGGAAAGGATGGACGATGACCTAGGAGGACAACTCCTCGGGAGGATGTACAATGGGTCACATGTGGCCTAAGTGCGTGGGCTTACACTCACCCTCCCTACTCTACAGATACAGATCCAAACAATATTGCTGATTTGAAAGTTAGGATAACGGAATCAATTAACAAAATAACCCCCGAAGTCATACAAAATGTTGTATGAGAATTCCAAAATCGCCTCTGTTATTGTCAAGAAGTTAATGGTGGTTATTTTGAACATTTAATTCAATTGTAAAGTACATTAAAAAATACATTCTAAATATTATGTGGCATTATTATCTTCATTCTACGTAAAGTTTTGTGATACCTAGAGGAATTATCAAAATTTTACATCCTAAACATCAATTTTCTCAGTTATGATTGCACCAAACTTAAAAAACTTCATATTGCTGAATACTAGCCTAATAGATTGTTATCAATTGTTTATTTGGCTTTTTGTCTAATATTTTTGTATCTTCAAAGATTTTTTCCAGGATTCAAGGTTAGTAAGGAGCGTGTCACAGGGATGGTATGTTCAATAGATCAGGTTATTGTCAAGAAGTGAATAATGGTGGTCATTTTGAACATTTAATTCAATTGTAAAAATTAATTTTCTCAGTTATGATTGCGCCAAACTTAAAAAACTCTATATTGCTGAACAGAGGACTAAAATCCCTTTCCAACAAGGTGCCACACGACCCCCTTTGCTATTCAAAATTTTCGAGAGGGTGCTTATAATTCAGAAGGGGTGCTGGAGAGGGATAATATTTTCATACTGTAAATTGTCAATTTAAGGATAAAAATCGACTTGTTTCAGATTTTTTCACATAGTACATAATAACGCTAAAAATGAATTTATTCCATATTTATTCCATAATGAATTAGTATCATCATTTTCAAGCTACGTTTCACATAATGAAAGAATATTACATGTTTGCTGGCTGTCAACAGTATATGTCTAACGCACACTAAACACTGAGCGTCTGTCCGACGAGAGAGGAGGAGCCTGCCTTCCGCTGATGTATGCGCGAGAGAAGGAGAAGCCAGAGAAACTGGTGCCGTTACGTGTTAGGTAACGAAGCGGCTCACTCTCCCACAAGAAGTTATCACTTCAGAAAGTTTTCATTATGTAAACATTATGTCTCAATAAGTATGATCCATAGGGAGACATTTTTTCATTCTCCATAAAATATTCAGCAAGGGCTGAAACCTACAATTTAACCATAGGTTATCAAATTTTTTCAGTCGTATAAGTTTCAGCTTTGTCAAAAGAAAATAATGTGTTGTTATTATTTTTCTTTCTTTTATTTGATATATTCAAATCCGGTAGTGAGTGATTGTGGTTGAATAATTTGTAGTGCTATGTTCGTATCTGAGGCATAAAGTTAAGTCACCGTGGATATTGATTAAATCGTGTTTCGATTCATGCAATGAATAATGAGACTAATTAGAAGAGTGACTTTACAATTTTCACGGATAGAGAGCCTAGCTTTGCGTTCGAACACAAAATTTACATATTAACAGTAAAACTGAATACATAGTAAGTTCGCTCTTCTTTTTGATTTCTTTCATTTAAGACAGAGTAAAACAAAATGATTTCAATGCTTGGTCCAGGAAATATTGTAATTACAGTGGTGAAATGTATGTGAAAAAATTAACCCCCCACCATGCGAAAGTAACGAAAGTAATAAGATTCGTTCTGCACCAGACTACGGACGAATGGCTTAATATTTTCACCTGGTTTTCACTAATTCTAATGGCGATCGTAAAATTTGTTCATTCACGGTTCCATGAAGATGGTGATATCATTCTTTCACTCGAAAAAAATTGTCGAAGATTGTTTAGTCCTAGAGAGGATTTCATTTATATTCGTATATTCTAGTTAATTGGTGTTATTTTGGGTTGATGAATTCATTACAATACATATTTGAGATGGTGTAATTAGCAATGCCTCGGAAATTGCCGTTTCAAACTAACATGAGTATTGCGTTGAAGAAATTGTGAAGAATTCCACTCTGTATTATGGTACAATGCAGATAAGTTTTGAAAATACAAATTCGACTCGTCATGAATATCGAGCAGTTTAAACAACAACGACAAGGGATCCAAAGGTGATAAATATTTACCTTTCGTAACATTTTATGGTATGAGGAATCTAACTGTTCCAATTTTGGAGTATGCAATAAAAATACCAGTATTACTGGTAACGAGAAAATCTATTTCAAAAACATCCAAGAGGACCTACTGATAACTGTAAATGAAAATACCAGGTTCTGGTGTCATTATTCAAATTTTAAATGGATATAGGAACGCATGATCCAATGCAATGACCTCCCGGGCTTCCTGACCCCGCTCCTCTTGATTTTTTGTGGGATCATTTGAAGAATACAATGTTTAGGGAAGGTAACTCGGTTGTATCATTTAAAAATAGATAATAAAACTGCCAATGCGCTACTCAATGGTAGTACAAAATTATACAATTTAGTATCTCCGATAATAAAGCGCATTGGTAGTAAAGTTACCAATGATGGGTAATCAAATCAAATTAAACTTTATTATAGCACAAACGTACACTTTCAACTGCCAAGCATCCCATCTGAACAGCGTGTTTCAATTCAATTTTCGAGCAAATTGAATTGGGTGATGTTGATGTTGAAAATTTCATTTTCATTCGTCAAAAATTCTAAAAGTAGTTATAGAGCTTTTATTTTCAGGCTCATACTGAAGAGGCAGTTATGCATTATTTAAAGATCATCTCAAACTATCATTAAGGGGGAGAAAACTTTTTGGTTTTTCTGGGATACTTTCGAAGAATAGAAGAAAGTTTCCTTCAGATTCCAACTGGAAGTAAAAGCCCACCTAAAATAACTACTTCATACACGGAAATCACTTATTCGTGTTCAGTTTGCACTCCGAACAGATATCATTAATAGGAATGCTATACAACGTAATATAAGGAAACATATTGATCTTATATGGGAAACTATCATCCCTAGGTACACCTAGGGTACACCTAGGGTACACCTAGGGATGATAGTTTTCCTGAATTTTCCTGAGTTTTTCTGAAGTTCCTGAGTTTTTCTGAATTTCTAGAAATTCAGGACTTCATCTGTATTTTTTGGATAACTTTGAAAGACGAAAAAAATAATTCTATTCTTGTTACTGTGACAGTTCGGTAAAAAAATTGTTTTGCGGTTAATCAGCTGTCGATACCTTACGAATGATAAACTTCAGAAGTCGAAGTGGCACGAAATTTCTTACATGTTCCATGAAAGTAAAATTTTACGTTTGATTAGAAATGCAATACTCTTTTCGCCAACCAAATTAGCGTCTTCAAAAGTATTGTATTTTTGATGATTGGGTTCCATAACGAATGTTTGAAGTAGAACCTGAATAGAAATGAGTGATTTCAGTGTAATTCAATGTAGATATCTTCGAAAGTAGTTGTTCCGGATAGACTTTTTCTTCCAGTTTGTAAGTGAAAAACCTTAAATACTTCTGTACATCATCTTTGTGATGAGTTTACTTTGGAATTGATCACTAATTAACCTGTGGATTCTGTAGAATATGAATTTGTTCCCTTTTGAACGAAAATCGTCTGGGTTCAACCACTTAGTCAGAGTAAAGGCCTAAAGTAACAAAAATTGCATTGTTACGGAGTACAGGAAGCAAATATAATTCAAGATAAAATGTTTAGGGCAGAGGGGAACGTTACTGACAGGATCATTCTGCAATGGCAGTATTTCATAAACCGGAAACACTATTTTGAGCTAGAGATTTGTACATACCTCAGCAATTTTTTAAACTGATAAATCTCAAGTTAGAACATTGGACTATTGTTCACATGTATGAAATTTCACTCTAAATCATACTTCGAAACTAGTAGATTCTATCCGGAAAGTTCACTTGATCTAGATGGAGATCAAAACACCATATACTTAAAGGTATAGAACATTGATCAAAATGTTATGAGAATCCGTTCCAAGCGGATGCCTCATCTAAAATCACTTGGAAACTCCGTCCTCAAAAGTCTATAGCTTTCTGTTTTGGAGGATGCATAACAGAGGAACATTTGGAATACAGTTTATTATTTTCATTGTAATTCCTACCACAGCTAGTAGAAATTGAATATATTGATCCTAACGATCCCGATATTTGGTTTGAAGAATGGGTGATTAATAAAAGACTAACTGTTGGGAAATGTGGTGATGTTAAGAAAAATACTTAATGAGATTATAAGTGTAAAGCCTTATCACCAAGTTAGAAGTAGATCAGGAAATGAGTGAAAAAAATATGTACTGATGAAATATATTTGTGAAGTGATCGAAAAAAGACCAGAGTGCTTCAAAAGAGTGGAAAGGGCTCATAATAATTGCAGAGTTATTTACTGGACACTGTCCACATCTGAAAAAAATAGGACTGTAAGACAAAGACACTAGCTGCAGACAGTACAAGGTTATTCAGAGACATCCTCGTATTCAAGAGAATGTGAGACGCTGGATTACAGTTACCAAGCAATTCATGGAAAATCCATATCTATAAAAACATGGCAAGTATCCAACAAAGAGAATGTACAAACTACAAACAAGTACAGGTAACAAGATTTTGGAATTGTTGTTATATGAACATTGAAGGAAAAATGCATGAAGTCCATGAGGCTTCATTGTTTTCCATAGACCTGGAAAAGATGGACATGCCAGAGAAAAAAACGTTTTGAATTCAAGATCAATATATTCTCAAAATTATCGGTGGAAGAATTTTCAAACTTCGAAATAAATTCAATATGACTATGAAACTAACTGAGGACTTGAATATTTTTTGAGATATTTCAGCACACAAATTTTCAATTGGAAATCATTCACTTACTTTAATTTATCCTGGCAATAAAAAAACGTTCCGAACTCACCGAGCAACAAGAACCTAACTGAAGATTTTAACAATAACGTTATGGTGAATTTAGATGCTGCTCTGATTAATCAGAATACATTGGAAACGTTCGTTGGTTTTAACACCGTTAAATGAAATTATTTATATAGTAATTAAACACATCTGAATGTGTAATTTTCAACAGACTAGTTTTAGTAACTCAATTTAACTTCTTTATATAGAATTTAATACCCCTCTAATAGGCATGTATGAGTATACATTTTCTTTTAGAAAATGTATCGATTTTGCATATCTCTTGGCACGAATGGGCAAGTGAATGTAAACTTCAAAACCACGGAAAAAAGTATTATGATTATTCATTCATGAAACTTTTATAAAATTGAATTGGTGAGATGTATGGAATTTTTATGAAAAAACATCGTTTTGAAAGATGCAAATATTATCTTGATTATTGTAATTTTCAACATTATATTTATTATTGAAGATGATTTTTATTCTTGGGAAAGAAAGATTTTGGCTTTCTACTACTCCATCTTGATACAAAAAAAACTTTCTTTCCCAAAAATTAATCACTCTCAAAAATATAACCCTTCAATTCAAATTTTTATTCTCGTTCGGGTACATGCATATCCGAGGTGACTTTGACGTAATTTGGAAAACACAGTGATTCGAATTTGGAAAAGTCAAGACGAGAAGAAATTACATTGACTCCTTCATTTGAATTGTTTCAAAATCCCTAACGCCGTAGCTGACTACAGTCACCCAATTCGACGAAGGGACCTCTACCTGAGCATGACGTCACACGCGCGTTGCCTCCCTAGGCGGTAACTGGAAAAGTCTCGAAAAGAATTCCAACGTCGATCCTGAGAGCGAAACATCACGATGGATATGGAATTTCTAGAAATTCTAGATGCATCGATCGTACTATAAAAGAGCGAGTTCCTTCGGCAGAGGGGAGTAGTAGTAAGAGAGTGTTCGAAGTCTCAAGCAAGCGAGTATTTTAAGTGAATTATAATCAGTGCAGCAGTTGTGTATTCAAGTAAATAAAAGTTGTCCAAGTATTATTAGTGTTGTTGTTTTAAAAACGAACCCCAAGTAAATATCGTAACAGAATATTTTCAACTCAACAAGAAATTCTAGATGCATCGATCTTACTATAAAAGAGCGAGTTCCTTCGGCAGAGGGGAGTAGTAGTAAGAGAGTGTTCGAAGTCTCAAGCAAGCGAGTATTCTAAGTGAATTATAATCAGTGCAGAAGTTGTGTATTTAAGTAAATAAAAGTTGTCTAAGTATTATTAGTGTTGTTGTTTTGAAAACGAACCCCAAGTAAATATCGTAACAGAATATTTTCAACTCAACGTCATTCCTGGAAATTGGCAATACAAACAGAAAACCTGCAGATTTGTTGATTTTTGAATTCCATTCAAATCGTAATCTGAGTTTATCCCGGATGTGTCTATTTCGTACCGTTTTTGATATATTTATATACAGGGGGAGTCAACAGGATTTTCTCAGTCTATTTCTCCGAGATAACACAATATTTTTCCAACGAGGAAATTAGAAAGGCAAAACTGGAGTCTTGGAAGAAGTTCTATGAGAGTATATCTTTGATTTACCTCGCAGCACAAGAATTCGCAAGATCCTCTTTAGAGAGCCGACTGCTGAAATTGGGTCGCCTAAACGACCCGCTGGAACATTCACGACCTCTAGTGGAGAAACGTTAGAGCTTTTGATAGAAAACCACTTTCCTGGAAATCTGACTCTTGTTAACAACAGACCTCCCATCTTTGAGGGCGGTAAATGCCTAAAAAAGAACGATTGTGAGGTCGTCAAGAAGGTTATCATAGCACCGGTAGTTGAATGGGTTATTGAGTCGTTTCAGGCCTTCAAATCTCCTGGTGAGGATGGTATATTTTTTCTTCAAAACGGACTGGAAATAGATTTACGTATCCTCATGGAATTGTACAGAGCTAGTTTGCCATGAAACTATATACCACCCAGTTGGTTGGCAGCAAGGGTATGTATACCTGAAGTGGGTCGGAGTGACCCACATCCTAATTTGGAACGACTAATCAGCCTTACATCCTTCCTGTTGGAAGGACTTGAGATGAAACTGGACGGCATTATATGCATCCTCCCTGAATAACCACCAGTAAGCTTACCAAACCGGCAAATCGACAGATTCAGCATTGAACAACCTTGTAGAGAAAATTTTCCAATCCCCTGACGATAAGGAGATTGCCGTTGCCGTATTTCTCGATATTGAAGGAGCATTTGACAATGCACTACCTTTATCTATATGATCATTTCTGGCTGGGGAAGGTATAGAATCGATCATAACTGACTGGATCTATGCCATGCTGGTGAACAGAACTGCAACTACGACTCTTCAAGGCGAGGCCATTAGGTTTAGGGTCAAGAGAGGCTGCCCTCAATGTACTATCTCCCCTTCTGTGGTCGCTCCTGATGGATAGTCTGCTTGATGCCCTCGACAGAAGAAAGGTATATCTGCAAGCTTATGCAGATGACCTCGTCATCTTGGCAAGGTCCACGTCGAGAAGGGTAGCTTGTAATATCCTCCAAAGCGCGTTGGGAGACACAGTTGGTGCCTGAGGGAGCAAATGTCTGTCAAACCCAGCAAAACTGGGTTAATCCCCTTCTCCAATAGAAGAAAATTGGACGATCTAACGCCGCTTTCTCTCAATGGTGAGGGATATATTTATATACAGGGGAAGTCAACAGGATTTTCTCAGTCTATAGATCCGAGAACACAATATTTTGAACTGTCCTTTTTTTGTATTCATTGAAACCATCTTTTAGTAGGTAGTCACTTTCTGGATGGTTATGAATAACCACCAGTAAGCTTACCAAACCGGCAAATCGACAGATTCAGCATTGAACAACCTTGTAGAGAAAATTTTCCAATCCCCTGACGATAAGGAGATTGCCGTTGCCGTATTTCTCGATATTGAAGGAGCATTTGACAATGCACTACCTTTATCTATATGATCATTTCTGGCTGGGAAAGGTATAGAATCGATCATAACTGACTGGATCTATGCCATGCTGGTAAACAGAACTGCAACTACGACTCTTCAAGGCGAGGCCATTAGGTTTAGGGTCAACAGAGGCTGCCCTCAATGTACTATCTCCCCTTCTGTGATCGCTCCTGATGGATAGTCTGCTTGATGCCCTCGACAGAAGAAAGATATATCTGCAAGCTTATGCAGATGACCTCGTCATCTTGGCAAGGTCCACGTTGAGAAGGGTAGCTTGTAATATCCTCCAAAGCGCGTTGGGAGACACAGTTGGTGCCTGAGGGAGCAAATGTCTGTCAAACCCAGCAAAACTGGGTTAATCCCCTTCTCCAATAGAAGAAAATTGGACGATCTAACGCCACTTTCTCTCAATGGTGAGGGATATATTTATATACAGGGGAAGTCAACAGGATTTTCTCAGTCTATAGATCCGAGAACACAATATTTTGAACTGTCCTTTTTTTGTATTCATTGAAACCATCTTTTAGTAGGTAGTCACTTTCTGGATGGTTCTTCTTTGAGAATTCAAAACAATCAGTTTGGCTGACATGAAGTCATCGAGAGTAAAGACACGTCTGAGGAAGGTATTGTATATCGAAACATGTGTTGCGTTTTTGTAAAACTGATTAATGAAAATCTCACCATAGAGTGTTTCTTGAATACTTTATGGATTCTCCTCAAGTACCGGCTGATTCCATCATATATCATCGACATACCCTAAAATGATGATGAAGATATCTTTCTGAGGATGATTCATTATTATATATTTATCTTCCTAAAGCATTTTGTCCAATCATCAAAGTGAATTTCATTAGTTCGGACTTCCATCATCTAATACTAGGATGCTGTGTACGAAAACTGCCGTTTCCAACTGAAGGACGAACTCTAAGTGGAAAACATTGTATACCGAAAACCCACTCACACGGGACACCATCTGAATCACGAATCCAAGCACTATCAATCCACAAAAAGAGGAACCATCAAGACTCTAGTAGACCGTACTTTCGGGCTCTGCAATATGAAGGAAGGTCTCGAGAAGGAACTGGGCTTCATTAAAAAAATCTTCAATGAAATGGTTACTCCAAAGTGATGGTAAAACCTCGCAAGGAAAAGTCGCCATCAAAACTAGTGCTTGCACTTTCCTGCATCAGAGAATTGTCGGCAAGGATAAGAAGAATTGGGTCCAAGTACAACATCAGAACCTGCTTCACGAAAACAAGGCCATCAAACGCGGACTACAATTCCAATAATTGCATTTACCGGATACCCTGTGAGTGAGGCAAATCTAACATCGGTGAAATTAAGGGGCCATTGAAAGTTCGCATTGCCAAACACAAGAAACACACACAGCGAGGAGGATCTGACGGCTGAATACTATAGTAAATTGTTTGGTACATCACACGTTTGTTCTCTCTCTCTCTATCTCTCAATCCCAGGTAACAAAAATATATAAAAATAGAAAATGTACTGAGACAGTAGTCGGAATCCTAGTGATGTTTCTACAGGAATCTGCCCCAAACCATTCTTTGGCTACATATGACTCTCAGATATGATGAAGTAGCAGAATATCACCATTGAGGTCCAAGAGGAATGTAATGGATCCAAATGTACAATGATCTTTCGGCACTAGATGCTAGAAAAATTACTTTATACATTATTAAGTAATAGCTCTCTCTGCCTCAGGTGTTTCCCACGGGAGTCTCAAAACGGCTAATGAGTCGGTGGAAATATAGATAAGCAGGCTGCAGGGCCATACCATTCTTTGGACTATATAGGACTCTTAGATATGATGAATTCGCATTTATACCTATGTTATTATATTGTTGCACCAGACTAAAACTAGATCCTTTTTTGTACTCTTTTAACAAAATATCACCACAGAGCTCCATGGGGAACGTAATGGACCCAAATGTACAATGATCCTTTCAGCACTATATGCTAAAAGAATGACTCTAAACATTATCAAGTAATAGCTCCCAAAACGGAGCCCAAAAACGGCTAATGAGTCGGTGAAAATATGAATATGCAGTCTGCAGGGCCAAACCATTCTTTGGGCTAAAAGGACTCTTAAATAAGTTCCAATTTATGTTGTACCAGACTATAGCTAGAGCTCTTTTTGTACAGACTATCACCACAGAGCTCCATGGGGGATGTAATTGACCTAACTGTACAATGATCTCGTAGCACTAGATGCCAAGAGAATGACTTATAACGTTTTAAAAATCTGCTAAAAATCTATTTTTCCGTTCAGCTGTCGCCTCCATACGAGGCGAGCTAAGGACTAACGAGGTCTTACCTTTTAACGTGTGATTCCTAACACGGTTACTTTGAATAATAGGAGAGCCCCCCAGGAGAGCTCCAAACTGGCTAATGAGCCGGTGAAGATAATGATATACAGGTATAGGAATAGGTTTGTATCGCTACGGAGTCTCGATATCCCCAATGAATGACTCCACAATGTTAATATAAAATATTTATTTCGAATTTCGTATTACAAAAGTTTATTTTATTGCCTAGTAAATACTCACAAAGAATCGAAGTTATTACGAAATAGCACCTTGTAAAATGATATCATACATTTCTTGGATACTGAAGGAAATGTAGAGATAGTTGAGATTGAAGTAAAAAGTATAATAGAAAAATAATAGCCCTTAACCCAACACCTAAGGAGCAAATTGAGCGAATTAGAAAGGCTATTGTTCCACCACGGTTTCAATAATGAAACCATAGAAAAACAGTGCCGTAGCGATATTGAGAATAAACTTATATAAAAATACCCAATTCTACAGTCGTCCATTATAAAAAAACAGGACGAGTGGAAAACCGGGTGAAACCTTTCGAATCAGTAAAATTCGAAAAAGATTGAACCAGTACACCTTACAATGTTATCACAGCATTCTAGTCACAAAAAAGTTTATTACAATTGGGAACATTAATAGAAAACACGTATCCTTATATGCCACAAACACGAACATATCGAAGTGATTTCACTGCTTAGTGATTTCACTGCTTCCAGTGAAATCACTAAGCAGGATAAATTCAGTTTTTGTTTCATTTTTATGAAAACAAATATTTTTCAATGCAAATAAGATTTTTCTTTGAGGCAGTGAAGGATCTTATATTATTTTTCCATGAAATACACACTCCGAAAAGTGAGTGCTATTTCAATTCGAAATACTTGATTAATGGTTAGTTCTCAGTATGTACACAATGACTACTGTTTTTGATCTGGATTCTGGTAACGTAAATAAGAAAACTGAAGTTAGCCAGTCTAGTAGCATTAGAAAAATATGCAAATACTTCAAGAAAGCGTGGCATCAGCAGTTAGCAGCTCCGCAACATTGAAAAAACTAGTTACTGTCGATTATATCAAGAGAGAGATTATCTGATCGTGCTCTAATTAATATTTACAAAGACAAAAAAATCAATGCGGAAGTGGAGAAATTCATAAACAAATCAGAAATATTTCCTTATGAGCAATCATTTGGATCCAACTGCTACCACTGCCACCAAAGAAATCTGAAGAAATCAAGGCATGAAAGGGTACATGAATTCCGTGATTGTTTTCCATAATAGGATAACATTATTCAAAAATATTTTTTTATAAAAAGGCAGTATCATTACCGGTTTCATTTAACTTAATATTAGCACGTTAGTAGGAATGTCAACATTTTTCAATTATTTATAACTAGCTTCGCTGTCATTATCTGCAAACCAGCCATGGCCCGTGGGTCGTGGACCGTGACCCATGAAGCTGGTAGAAGTTTCACTTCTGAACTGTTGAGTAACCACTTGTGAAGAAACGAGTGGCCCTTGAACTGAGCTACTAGCCTGGCTGGCTTGCCACATCGTTCTCTGTCCTCCTCCACCTCTTTGCAGATCTAGAGGCTGAATCCTTGTGCTCCTCTGAGACTTTGGAGTTACTTCGGGAGAAGTGAATTCGCTAGCTGTATCGTATCTAGATGGAGCAACCCATCTCTCCGTGAACTCGCTAGCAGATCGAGCCAAACTCGGTTGACTCAGTGACCTCGCCAAGGAAGGATGACCTGTTTCGGAGTCATCGTAATATCTCTTATCGGGATAGTAGCTGGACGTTTCCGAAAAGTTGTCTGGACGGCCGAAGTCGACAGTCATTTCTGACATGGACCTCAGATCAGCTTCGCTGCGATAGCTCGATCTGGAATTCTTTCTGGATCTCTGCGAGTGTAGAGGAAGTACAAGAGGTTCCCTCGTTAGAGTTTTTACTGAACTTCCCCCATCGGAATCGTACTCGTAGAGGGTTGGCAAGCTGCTGCGGCGGCTTCTGTTGTCCCAGTCGTTTCTCTTTTTGCGGTTCTTCGGTGGTTTGTCTGGGGGCGAAAGTATTTTGATGATGACGTCCCACTTTGGAGGTTCGAAAAGGTTCACGTATCTGGAGTCGCTTCTGACGCGCTCGTAATCTTCACGAACGACACATTCCGTTAGGAGAGTGCGAAGTGTTGATTCTGTCGTTATTATCTGACGCCACTTCATTTTATCGGACGTAGTCAATTGGGAATTGAATGTTTCGGCGCTTTCGATCACTGGGCCCTCTTCATGCTCAGTGGGATGGAAAACTCTGATGAGCACGTTCCAGTTGGGGACATCAGGATTTTCGATGGGGATATTGAAAGTTGACAAGAAACTCTGCTCACTGGGAGGAATGTCCAAAGAAGCGGAGTATCTGGGCGGCTGCTGTCCTATATTGGCTACAATCTCTGGTGCATTCAATGGTAACTTATCGTCGATGATTGTATTTTGAGGCGGTAAACTCATAGTAGCTCTTTCGAGTCGTGGAGTGAGGGTCAATCCGGAAGCTGAGGATATATCGGAAAAGTTTTCCCATTCTGGCGGTTCAGGCATTTCCACCGGGTAGTTTTTAATGGTCACATCCCATTTCTGATCTTCCACAGGTTTGGGTTTCGGTCTGGTATGGTATTCAGTTACCAATCGTCTGTGTCTCTCAATGTCTTCGATGGTTTTCTTTTCGGTGATTGTTCTTAGGAATACGTCATCGACAACATGGGAAGTAACTTCAGGTTTGTGCACGACTGCAATGGGAGGCTCCAAAGAAGTTGGTTCTTCCTGATATCGGATATATTCTTGTTTCGGTACTATAGGAGGTGGAGGCGGAGGAGTGGGAGCCAGGAACTTGTGATGGGAATCATCCATTATTTCCGTCATGGAGTGGGTATCGGTCATTTCAGTATCGAGCGAGGCTATAGATCTTGGAGGCGCCACCCTCATTGGTTCTTCTTGCATCTCCAGCTGCCTTCTGAGAATTCTATTGTACGTCGGCGCGGGTTGAATATGTTTAGGAGGATGATGAAGCTCGGGAATGTACGTGAAGTGAGTTCTTTCCAAAGGAAGAGGCGAGTCGAGAGATCTGACGCTTTCTTCTCGTTGCTCTGGGATTGTCGAAAGATTTCTATCAGTTCTTGTGCTTTCCGTATCGGACATTGAAATACTCGGAGGCGAAGGAGGAGCTTTCTTCACTCGGACTTGAACGTCGAACCTCGGTTGATCTTTGACGGCCAAAGGTAGCCTGGGTACTGTTGCTGAAGAAGTGATTGCGTTTTGAACTTGCTGTTCTTGGGTTTGGCCGTATCCTTCGCTATAAAAGCTACTGTTATCGTGAAGGTATGCTTGATTTTCGTAACTTCCTGCCGAAGACACTGGTAAAGATCCGGTGTCTACGTCGATTTCGGAATGGGACTCTGAGGGGTAGTCGGAAGGAAGGTTGTCGCTCATCAGTGGACCTTCGCTTCCCGCACTGCTTCCTGGTGCTCCCATTACGGGAGGGACGTTCGCTCGCGGGATTTTCACTCCCTCAAACATTGAGAGATTACCTGAAAATATAGATAGATTAATAAATACGTAGGAGGAATTTGCAAATTACAACAGTCATACCTAGAGAGCTTCCAGATAATTTGGTGATTTCCGATCCACTTCCAATAGATGAAAATGGCTGTCTGATGATGGTGACTGGACGTCTTCTCAAGCAGTAATAGGAGCATCCTAGACCAAGTAGAAGCAGGGACAGAAATAGTATGCCACATATTATTAGAAGAATTTGGAAACCTTTCAGTGGAGGCGCAATTGCTGCTGCTGGAGTTTCTTGCCTGCGAATGATAATTCCATAATAGTTCAAACTTAATGTAATGTATTTCAGCAAACTGAAATTAGTTCTATCATTATTCATATATAGATGGTTATTAGCAAACCAATCAAGAAATTACATCTGCGTATCTTAACTGATTCACCACTATGTACATGATATTGTTATTGGAATTATCAGCAATTATATCAGTCAAGTGTGAATATCATACTTGAACAAATTGATTGATTCAAAATAATTTCTTCTCGTTCCAGAACTTTTTAAAGAATAATAGTAAACGGTATCAAATTATTGCAATCATTATGTGAGCTATTATTATGTTGTGTTACATTTCGGAAATACCGAAAACTCGATTTGGGTTTAGATTATTTCGCTTTTCCATATTATTCCTTCACCTGAAAACACCATATAGCTCCGGATTAAATTGTACTTCTTTCTTCTGAAATGTCCTATTTCAACGATAATTTGAATTGTCCTATTTGCATTTTTATTTCACGTTAACAACGGTACTATCTATTGTGTATCATTTATATTGTGTTTTGAATAACTCCAGCAAACAATAAAATCTTTTACTATTCTCATCTATCAACATCTAAAAGAATAATGGTTATCATGAAAAGGACCTGGGCTTTTGTGTTAGGTTATCTATTTGACACTAGAAAGAAAGTTGTTGAAGCTATTTTCCGTGGTCTACAGTTTGTTAAACCTGACGTTTCTTCTACGATTGCGGTATAAAATCAGGTACCGGACGATCTGCTCTAGTTGTTCTGAAAGCAGTGGTGGGCATGGCTTCATTGTTATTGGTTGGATTGAATGGTATCATTTGTGTGCAATTCAGGATAGGGGGCACAAAGACAATTTCAGTAGAAAGGAAGAGGGAATTAATATTAATGAAATCCAACCAATACCAATAATGTAGTATCTGATGGGAGAACAACTAAAGCACTTCGTCCGTTGCTTCAACTTTGATAATATCTACCGCAGTTGTGGATGAAACGTCAAATAGAAAAACCTGTAGGCTTAGCATTAATTACTTCTTTCATATACATAGTATACTTACAAAAGGCTTGGTAGAGCGGCAGGGGTGGTGCTATTGGTGGGGGGTAACGACAAACAATCGTAATTATTTCGTCTCCATCTATTTCCAGTCCAGGATGAAACCTCACGACGATGTTGTTGGTGAAAACACGCTGAGGATCCTGAAATTATTGAATTTCTTTAATAAATATTTTACACTGTCAAAGTTAACTTTAAATACCGAATTATGACCAACGTGCAATATTTTGCTGCTTGGGAGCTATTTCTTGAATGTTTGTTATATTTTTCTGAACCCAATTTTGGTTATCCATAAATTTACATTCTCAAGAGATGGTACGAGGTGCCTTCGTCTATAACTCGTTGTATAGACCTATTTTGTTCAGGTATCCTCTGAATGAAAACTGTCTAGTTAATACCCTGAAACTATTCTAAGCTAATCTCTGCCTTGTTATTCGATTCTTTTGTCAGCGATGTAGAGGATCACCCGGAAGTAAAATAAACCAGTATTTGCCTAGCTATCGTTTCATTCACATAGCGCAGTCGGTAGGATCGAACCTACGCTTTCACATTCAAAGAGAAACATATTTGGATTCTGACTTGACAAAAATACGAATTTTTTTGTAAAGAGAGTGGTCACAAAATCTTAATAAATATAATGATTACATCGAATGATTTTTTCGAAATGAAATTGATCTGCTAGAATTCAACGATATGCTTTATGATGGCAAAAGAATTATTATTCCTTGAAAATTAGTGAATGCAACTTTGCATAAATTGCATTACAGTCATCAGGGCCGGGAAAACAACAAACAATTATGCAGTAGTATGTGTTTTTTGGCCAACACTGAGTAGGGATATCAACCACTTCATAGTTAATTGTTCTATATGTATGAGATACAGAAAATCTCAAATCAAAGAACCATTATGTCCACATGAAGTATTATCATAGCCATGGGAAAAATTATGGGGGATTTTTTGAACTGGACAAAAAGCAGTGTTTGATTGTCATAGACTATTTTTCAAAATACGCAGAATTGATTTGTCTAAACATAAATACAACTGCTGTAAATGTAATAATGCATTTGAAGAGCGTTTTTGCTCGTCACGGCATAGCAAAAACTTTATTTTCTGATAGTGCTCCACAATTTTCCTCTGAATTATTCAAGTCATTTACTAAGACGTGGGAATTTGACCACCAAACTTCTTCACCATTATATCCACAAAGTAATGGTATGGTAGAACGCGCTGTGCAAACTTTAAAAAACATTCTTAGAAAAAATTGGGATGATCAAAAAGATATATATTTAGCCCTTTTAATGTCGAGAAGATTAAGAGGCATAATTCCTATGGAAGATAGTATGTTAAAACCAAGTTTAAGAAACGTAGAACAAACTAGAAAAAAATTATATAACCGTCAGTAAGTACAAATGTACTATTATAATAAAACAACCCATAAAAGTTTACCAGAGCTGAAAAAGGATACAAAAATAATGAATCAAGGTACTAATTCTAGATGGCAACCGGGATAAGTTATATATAAGGTTTGATATAGGTCATATAAAGTTAGGTTGGATAATGGATCAGTTAGCTATCATTCCAGAAGAAAAACCAAATAATAATTCTGTAGTTAAAGAAACGAAAGTTTTGGAAGGTAGCAATGATTATGTTATATTTGTTGAAAATCAGAGTAGTAGTTGGTGTATAATTTTGAAAAAGGGGAAGATGTAGAGGATCACCCGGTATATTTATTTGAAATGAATATACTTTGAATGTTACCAACTTGTAGCTGTGCTGCCCTTTTCCGAACACCTTGCACGCAGAATTCCTGTCGAACTGCGCATACGCTATTCCGTAGAACTTGTCGTTGAATCAGAGTAGTAGTTGGTGTATAATTTTGAAAAAGGGGAAGATGTAGAGGATCACCCGGTATATTTATTTGAAATGAATATACTTTGAATGTTGTAGAGGAAGTAAAATGAACCAGTATTTGCTTAGCTATCGTTTCATTCACAGGCGGGATCCTATAAAGATGGTAACTGTGTACTTATTACCTTATTGACGTTCTTTTCTGAAAACTTCGAACGAATTCATTGCTACCATGACAAATCTACTGGGAACCAATCTTCCATACTTTGTATACTTCTATTTTCTTCATTTCCGTAATATACGAGGATGATTTGAAAAGTATCCCACCTCAACATGAAAAAAGCAGCACTCGTAAATAAAAGTTAGTGAATTTCGTCGTTCATCTGTTGACAGTTAATCACCAAAGTTTCAGCCATTTTGGACGCGCAGTTGTTATGTAACAGTCGTTTGAGTTAGTTTGAGTGTTTTTACGAAAATAGACCAAATCGAGTATGCATTAAACATTTGTTTTTAAAAGGCAATACGTCTACGGAAATGGAAAATGGGTTGGATTCTTTATACGGGGACTCTGCACCATTATTTACCACAGTGAAATTTTGGGCAGCTGAATTTAAACGTGGCCTTAAGAGCTTTGGAGATGATGGACATTCCAGAAGTCCAAAAACTGCACCTACCGACTGGAACATCACCAAAGTTCACCAAATGGCGCTAGACGACTGTCGAATTAAAGTGAGAGAGATAACAGAGGTCATGAACATGTCAATAGCACGTGTTTGTCAATAAAAATTAACATTTAGGCATGAGAAAATTTTCCGCGTGTTGGGTGCCGCGTTTGCTCACGTTAGACCAAAAACATGTTCAAATGAACATTCATAACGCCATTACAGGAGCATGGCAGAGTTGAAGGTAAAACTTGCAGAAAAAGAAAATCCTGTTTCACCAAGACCACGCACCGTCTTACACCTCAGCGATTTCCACGGCGAAAATCCACGAATCACGGTATGAACTGCTTGACCATTCGCCTTACTCACCAAATCTAGTCCCAAGCGACTTATTTTTGTTCCCTCATCCTAAATTGCGCTCGGAGGACGGAGACTTTCGTCAAATGAAGAGGAAATCTCCTTTTGCAGAGAAAAACACGGAGTACTATTTGGACGGTTTATATAGATGGGTAAAATAAAAAAAAACTGAAAAAATGATGATGATGATGATGAAAATGTCTTCAGATGGTTTCTATTTCCTCAAAAATATCTAGTAGATATTCGTCCTCTTCACATATTGGGACTTACATAAGAAACCCAATAAGAAAGTTTTGGGTTATCAATTACCAAATTCAATTGTACTATGTAAATCCACAACCACGTAAATTTATTAAGATTATGAATATTCATCTCTCGCAACTTTCCTGATATCAACTCGAATGATCGAACGCAGAACTTTTTCACAATATTACTTCTCATCAATATAACATCATATTGTATATATCTGTCTTATTCTCGAAATGACAGAATGAAGGTTTTAATGGTGTATGTGATACTATACCTAGCATTTTCCTAATATTTATGTTTATTAGTGGATATCTATTGCAACATTGGAAATCGATTACACCGAGGCTACCACTTTGGTAGCTTCAAATTTGTGTAATAGTAGGCGCTCTTCAGTTGTTAAATTTGGCCGTATTTGTGAAAAGACTTGTTTTTTCTAGAGTGTATTCCAAATTTTCAGGAGTTGCTCACAAACATTTCTGGGCAACCTTTCCAGAAGATCCCTGGAATGTTGTCTGCTACATGAGAGAAGTTCTTGATATTCCAGCAGAAATTCTTTAAATTTAAGTTAATGGTTAAAAGTGTCATCATTTTATTAGTTTTCGGCAGAGTTCTGTTCTATTCATTGGCACTGTAGCATATTACTCAAATTGATCTTGAAGGTCAGGACTTCCTCTCCGACCCCGACAAAGGACAGTTGTGCCGATAACGACCGCCCTCTAAGATGGCATGTGATGTTGTGGCCGGAGTAGAGTCCAAAAGAGAAGTGTAGTTAAGATACATAATGTCACGATCTCATAAATATCGAAGTAAAGGCCAGTTGAGAGGACCGGCGGTCTCATACGCCAGTAACCAGCCCGGATGCCGACGGAATCGACGATGACGTCAGTTGTATAAGAAAAGTGGAAAATGTGAAGTGTATGTTTATGTCGAAGAAAAAACCAGAAGGTCTCACGATGAGGAGACGACTATTATACAATTTTTCTTTCGTTTTTTTTAACAAAGAAGTATGAAAAAGTAAGTAGGGTATAAGGTATTGTATAAGGCAAGACTGCTGCGCCCTCCGACGAAGCTCCTGTTAATCATTAACAAGAGGAGCCTGGTCAAATGCGCCCGAGTTGTAAGCAACGGTCATCAAAAATAGAGAGATCTCAGAGATTCAAGGCATTTTCTATTTTTAATAGAAACATATGGATGATGCTGTTGTACGATGAATAATAGAGTTTCTATGGAACTTCTGATTCAAGAGATATGATGTGTGTGCTGCTTTTTATTTGCCATTAGTAGCATCTCAAGTGTCTTGATGTGGATTTCAAGAATGAACATTTCATCTCTTTTACGTATCTGAATTATACTCACTTGTATGGTACCGCACCCCTTCAATGGCAACTCCAACTTGTAGCTGTGCTGCCCTTTTCCGAACACCTTGCACGCAGAATTCCTGTCGAACTGCGCATACGCTATTCCGTAGAACTTGTCGTTGAATTTCAGTTCGATTTGCATGGAGCCGGCGGCGCAGTTCAGAGCTGCCTTCGTTCGATTGAGGAAAATCACGGGGCTAAGGTCGTCCAGTTTGGTGACCTTTCCGTCTAGAGTGGCCTGTTCGGGGAGACCTTCCCCTCGGTACTCGATGTTGTTGGCCTGATCCGCATAGTTGGATTGGGCGGCTGTTGGTGACGTCCAAGTCAGGCAAATGAAGCAGCATATGGTTGCGGCTGTCACCACCGCGTTCTGGGACATCTGAAAGAAGAAACGGTGACGTTAATTGGGTGCTGGTACGCATCGGATGGATTTGCGACGAGAAAGTTGCAATATAATTATAATGAATCTTTCATTGATTACCAGATGTACGAATGGCAAGTAAATGTCTGCTGGTTCAGAAGTGAGATGTATTCTGTTTCTGTTCTTACATCAGAAGTCACATATATATAAAAATGTAATCTTTATTGCGGGTATACTAAAGATAAGTTTGATCTTTTGACTATAGAAAAATACAAGAAAGGAAAAGAAATGATGAACATTGAAGACAGATGAAAAGATAGTAGTAGAGAGTAAAAAAAGTAGATTGAATATAGCCATTCGTGATTATTAAATAGATGACGTTTGTATACATTTTTGAATGATGGTGTGACATATCGAATGGGGATGGCAAGGTCGTCACGATGTTGTTGATGGTGGTTGCAATACAATAGCTTAAGGAAGGTTTGTTTTGCGTGTGTGTCACAGTGAAGAGTGATTTTCTTCGAATTTGGATATTATGTACATCAGTTCGGAACAGAGCTTACGGAGAAGTAAGGGAGGTGTCCACTTTTGAGGAATATCTTCCTGACATATCAAGTAATGCATTCAAATATGGGTTCAACTGATGAATATAGTTGAAATACTTTGCGTTGGATGATATGCCAGTTGGTTTTTTCAAAAATGATCTTGGTAACCGTAGGCGAAAGGTTGTTGTTGGATATGAAGTGTCTAGCTTTGAAATGAAATCCAGAGGAGTTCCCCAAGAGAGAATACTGGGTCCATTATTATTTTCAATTCAAATTGCAGATTTTGCTTCTTTTTGAAATACTGTTAGTTCCATCAATATGCAGACGATACTAAAATATATTTTTCATTTTCAACTCCTGCTTGTATGAAAATCAACGAAGAACTCAGAATGACTGCTTTGGTGTCGCACAAATTAATGCTCAACAAAAATAAAACTGAATTGATTTAATTTGGTGATTTCAATATGAATCTAAATGAAAACATTCTAATATTAGTAGTCAATATAACATTCTGGGAAACTTTCAAAGGGAGGAAAAAAGTAAGTTCGAAATAAAGCTGTTTGATTTATTTAAAATCTGTTTTTTCCGTTAACCAGCTGTCGCACCCCTACGAACGACAACCCTCAGAAGTCTAAACTTGTGCGAGCCAAGGATTAACGAGGTCTTACCTTTTAACGTGTGATTCCTAACACGGGTTGGACGATAGAAAGTGAAGATCGATCGTTCAGACTAGGGCTTGAACCACCGAACAACACGGCAGTCAATTCGAGTGAGTGAACAAAGCACCCACACCGAACCGCTTGGCTACCGACCTCCAAGTAATAAAAATAAAAATAATAATGTACAAATCATCCGTCCCGTGACAATAGGGAAGCCGTGGACTTTTGAGTTTGGAGTGTCTACACGACAGAATGGTACTGGATATAGCCTGTAAAGTCGTCAGGAGTGGGGATCCCCTCTATGCATGATACGCGACCACGAGACAGCAGGGATTGGAGCATTTCTCTTTAGGGAAGCTTCCCGAACAGCTAATGTACGAATGATTTATTCGGACTGAAGAGAAAAGGTGATCACAAATTAAAATCTGTTTTTTCCGTTAACCAGCCATCGCACCCCTACGAACGACAACCCTCAGAAGTCGAAACTTGTGCGAGCCGAAGATTATCGAGGTATTACCTTTCAACGTGTGATTCCTAACACGGGTTGGACGATAGCAGGTGAAAATCGATCGTTCAAACTAGGGCTCGAACCACCGACCAACACGGCAGTCAATTTGAGTGAGAGAACAAAGCACCCACGTCGAACCGCCTGGCTACCGACCTCCAAGTAATAAAAATAATAATGTACAAATCATCCGTCCCGTGACAATAGGGAGGCCGTGGACTTTTGAGTTTGGAGTGTCTACACGACAGAATGGTACTGGATATAGCCTGTAAAGTCGTCAGGAGTGGGGATCCCCTTCTATGCATGATCCGCGACCACGTGACAGCAGGGATTGGAGCATTTCTCTTTAGGGAAGCTTCCCGAACAGCTAATGTACGAATGATTTATTCGGACTGAAGAGAAAAGGTGATCACAACTCTGTCACCGAGTTGGAACCCGTTCAGCAAAAGGCGCACATAAAAGCCGCAGAGATCTCCTTCCTTCTGGGGCTACACAAGAATAAGCCAATGCAAGGGGTCTTCTTCAATAACATTGAAGACCTTGGTTTATCAAAGCGTCTGACTTTCGCTTTTCTCAGGTCAAGAGAACTGAGGGGTTCATCATGGCCTGCCAGGACGGTGTCTTCAACACCTTAGTCTACGCAGTCGCGTGATGGGTATAGAGGTTCCTGACACAAGGTGCAGGGCCTGCCGCGAGACGTCGGAGACCCTAACGCACTTGCTGTCAGCATGTCCAGCATATGCGGTCTCGACCTGTTTCCATCGACATTGCGCGGCCGTAAGAGTGCTTTATTACCACATACGGCACTCTTACGGTATTGACGAGACACCGGTTTCGCCCTATGTACCGGGGGATATTGAATCCGTTGAGGAGAATGAGGGAGGGTGGAGAACTATTTGTTCCCCATCCTCAGGCTACAAGCTGATAAGCCTGTTGTAGTCCTTCTCGACCACCAGAGCAAGACGATATTTGTCGTGGAGTTTTCAGCTCTTGGCGGGACGAATATCATCCGAAAAGAGGAGGAAGAACGGAAAAAATATCGAGATTTTCTCTTCGAACTCCGCAGACTATTCAGATCACTCTGTCAAGATGGTTGTTCTGATTATATTGGAGTCCTTGGTGGAACGGTGCTCTCTCTACTTTCGAATCGACTAAGGCAGAAATATTAGCCGGATAGATGCAGAAGGCTATCATTCTTGGCTCACTGCGCTTGCTTAGGACCCATGATTCTCAGATCCCATGATCCTTTTTTTTGTATGAATATGAAGGAGATACAGTCAGAAATTTTTTTCTACTGATGCGATTGTTGTGGTGTATAAAAGTCATGTCTATTTGTCTATTTAGTAAAGATAACTTTCATAAGAAAGTCTTACGACCTCCTGCCCATTCAGCTTCTAATAATAATTAATTGACATACTCGAACTAGGTCATTTATAGATCTCAATAAGGTGAGAGATTGTTGAAAAAGGTTTGCAATATTTTTTGAGTGAATGGCTGTAAATCAAATTAAATAACGAAAAGGAAACATTACCTGTCAGAGAAATCGAAAGTGATCATTCCAAGTCAGTTGAATTAAGGTCGATCGTTTGTCCGGCCACACAAACTTTCGCTTTTAATCATAGTATGGAATCCATTATGTAATAATTTAAAGACGGCGGTATTAGCATATTGAGGTTATACAATTGCACCACAACGTATCAGTCAACATAATATGCGATAAGGATATCGGCTGGGCCAAAACTGTGTCTGTTTGTTTTCTAGGCATATAAGGCGCAGGAAATGCAAGGAATTTTATATACGAGGGTTACCACTGAAGTAGGTGATATTTTAGTAAGAATGGTATTAACTAAGTAATTAAGATATCAATGGAAGGTTAGATTGACCAAGTAGACACTCGAGATCGGAAAACTGAGTTTATTATTGGATAACAGACGATATTATCTATTGTAGTATCTAGAGCACGGACTGGAAAACCTTCATGAAGAATTGTCAACTTCGGGACTCCCAGTCCCGATATTAAGAATTTGAATTTCTTATGGTTCGTGCTGAAAATCGCACGTAGAAAGGTAGGACCTAACTAATCCTTAGCTCGAACAAGTTTCCAGTTTTGTTTTAAGTCATTGGTAGGTTTGTTAAGGAAAAAATCAACAGACAACCAGATCTGAAGATCTAAAATGACAATAGTCATTATTAACTCGTGAATGGCATCATGAGCTTGATGGAAAACCACGTTCAATAGATGCTCGAACATGGATTGTTAGACATAATTTGATTTTGATGTTTCTCTTGTGATCAACTTTGTTGTTTCAAATCAGAATTGTTGTTTTTGAAGATGTAGATGGAGATATCTTTCAAATATCTACTAATTTTTTTTTATTAGAAACTTTAGAGTGAAGGGGCCAAATTTTTAATAAAATATTAACATTTTTTGTATAACGTCAGGGAAATAGAAAGTCAACACCTTCCTTTGACAAAAACTAACCTGTCCCAATTTAAACAAGATGGCTGTGATTTAGGGAAATAAGTGAATGAATGTCATTAAGTAGTGTCATTGATGAATCATTCCTATCATAAAGTCGTAATTTTATCAATAAGTTAAGTGCTTCATCTTATAATGTTATCCAGATCTGATGCTGAAGAGGCAATACGGCAAGCGTTTTATGCCAAAACATCAGATGACCACCAGTGAGGATGACAGTGTTCCATGTAAGTGAAATCTTACCTCTTTCATTTACTATATTGTGTAGCAATGCTGTGAACGATCTCGGATTCAATTCCATAACGAATGTTCGGAATACAAACTGAATATAGACAAAAGTGTTTTTTGTATTGGTCAGTGTTCATATAAAAGTATTTGTTTGGAAAGTATTCTTTCATGTAACTCAATGTTTATATAAAAATAACTGTTTCATGAAGGTTTTTCTTTCAGTTCGTGTCTGAAAGTTACGTCTTTGCAAAATATTTCACGGAAATATATTTTGTAGGGCATTTTCTATATAAGTGATTTAATTTTTTCAATTTTGTTTGCAGAAATTCACTTTTTGGAGTTCATTTCAGGGTAAGCTTTGTTAAGTTGTGTAAAATGAAAACAATGTTCATGTTTTTCTGTGTTAAAGTCATAAATTTTTGTTTCACCATACCGGCCTATATTCAATGTATTAATTGATTATATAAGTAGTAGATATATTAGATGTGTGAAACAGTTAGTGTTTACGGTTATGTGTACTATATATGTATGTATATATTTGTTTGTTTGTTCTAGCATCATCACATACAAGTATCTTGAAATCTTCTGTGATGTTTTCAATTATTATTCATTATTATTCAAGAAACACTGTTTTCTTTATGAACTATTTCCTTGAATAGACATTATTATTATCAGGAATCCCATTGACATTGTGTCCTAAATAATCATCTCAATTTCCACAAGCTATTGGAATATTTTGAAAATTTGAGGTATTTTTTACTGGATTTGTCTTGAAAAATGGAAGAAAAACGCTTGATTTTCAAAGTGCGCAACTCCTAATTATCATTCGGTTAAAAGAGAAGAGCCATATCTGTTCCGTGGAAAATATTACCTACAATGTTAAAACAAGTAAATTCCAGAAGGCTTGAGAATATTTGTTTTGGTTCTGGTTCCCTATCACTTGAAAAGCTTCATGAAGCAAGAGCCGAATCGATCCCTCTACGTAACCCTTTATCACTTGGAAGGATCGATTGCAGCTTGAGAAATGGCTCTAATGCAGATTCTATGAATCATGTTCTTCCTTACGAATCAGTAGAGAGTTTTCTTGAAAATCTTGAGAAGAAAATGAGATTAGATAACTTAGGAAACGCTTGCTACATGAATAGCATTTTACAAGTGTTGAAAAAAACGAAGAATTTCAAGAACGAGTTTTAACGATGAACGAGAACGAAAATGTTTCCTACTTATCCACCAAACTCAAATACCTGTTCATGCAGCTGAAGTTTCGTAAAAATGTATCATGTATCAGAATCAATACTCCTGACCGCTCTGGATTAAATAACTCGTCTTGTGTTTGTAAATTTTCTGCTGAAAAAATCCTCACTTGTTTACTTTGTAGTAAATGTTCAAGAGGTAGCAAAAACGTATGTGAATTTCTAGAACTAGCGTTTCTTAATATGACTAATAACCAGTCCGGGCAAAGCTTATTGTTAAATCATCTGAAAACGGTACTTTTAACAGGTGATGATCGACTGTATTGCCAAATATGCGCCAAACTAACTTACTGTTGAAAGAAAAAAAGTATAGTTGAGGCAGCAGTCAATCTAATAATAATACTGATGATCTTCAAACATGAGTCAACCTCTGACAGAAGCACCAAACTCTTACGAAGGTTCGAAATAGATGACTACTTCAATCTAGCAGACCACTACTATAGTCTCCATGCAGTAATTGTTCACTATGGTTCTGGCGTTGAATCTGGTCATTATTAACGCCTTGGTCAAAGACGAAACGGACTGGTTTAAGTTTGATGATTTTCGTGTCACTAAGTGTTCTGGCGATGTACTGAATTTATATTAGAGCTTCTGGAGATACCCTACATTCTGTTTTATGGAAGAGAGGACATTGGCAGATCAAGATCTTCAGATGATGTGGTGCTGCAGGTTTTTCTGCAGCTGAACAAGCAAATGCGCCACTGGAATCAATGAAGTCGCCTCGGAGCTCCAATCAATTTTTGTTGTTGTTTCATACTTTCATAAACGTTGAAATATAGAAATTTTCATATTTGTGTTTTTTTCAAAAAAAAGATCGTATTGCTTCACTTTCAAAGGATGACAAGAAATTAGTCTGACTTCAGTGTGGTATATTTCGAACCATTCTTCATTAAGGTTGGTTTTGAGTAGGATCATTTTGTCATCACATATTAAAGTATCTAAAATAGAGTTTTATATTAATATACCTACCAGTTGCTTCTATACGAATATATTGAAATTATTCCTGTCTGATTTCAGTGAATTGTTTCAATTATAAACCAGTTGCTGTAAATGGTATGAAGGTTTACAACATAAAGTAACAGTAGTTATCCTTGGATATGATTTATAAAGACTTGCGACATTTTTTACCCGATGTGGGTTTTGTGTGCCGAGTTAAGGTTTCAATAAAAACGATACAAGGAATTTGCATTACAACAAAGCACAGTTATCAACTCTCAGTTAATGTTACTTTTGAATTCGAGATTGAAAGGTGATACAATAGTGTGTGAAGTAGGTTAACACGAAGAAAAAAATCGATATCGTGGCTCGACGTTTCTTTGATTGTTCAACGCGACAACTTTCACTTTGATAGAATATTTTAAGTGCCTCAAGGATTTACTCATCATGATACGGTTCATATGTAGAGTGTGTTAGGAAATTTGTGCCTTGTGAAAAGTGGTTGCAATTCAATTATAAATCTACCAGTAAAAAAATGAAATAAATCCGGAAACGAATCAAATCATTCAATGTTGACAGCAAATATCCAACCAACTGTAAATGAAAGAAGATGAGAGATAGAAAAAGAGAATGAAAAGGAAACTCAGTATATTAGAAAAGGAGAAATCCACAAAAACACTAGAGGAAACATAAGATATCAAGCAAATCACAAGATATTTCTCGCAGAAGAAAGTTCAGAAGAATTCAAGAAAACTTACGATGGAACAAAAATATTAGGAACTCAGTAGAACAAAGAGGGAAAGTTCAAAATATAGAATCGAATTCCCGAATGAACAAAGGAGCAAGGGAGGTATATAGAAAACAATAGAAGTTAAAAAAACGGATCCAATATAGGTGCAGCCTAAAGCGGAGCCATGAGCAACATTTGCATGGAATCATCTTCAAACACCAAATTATTTTGATCGTTCTGTCGATTCCAATAAATATTTCATCAATTTTTTCAAATTTTTTGTGTTGTTTTGAAAATAAAATCCTATACCTCTTAAAAATCATCCGATAGTTGCTGAACTAATAAAGCAGTTGGATGAAAGATGCATAAGATGATCAAGCAACATATTGCATGATTTTTCTTTTTACAAAGACATTGTTTTGTTTCAATATGCGGCATTAAGTAGAACTGGTCCAGAGTCATAATATAGAGAAGATGTTTGCGATGAATCACTGAAGAAATACACCGTTGAAAAAACCCCCGATGCTTCGTCTATTCTATATTAGTCGATAACCTTTGCGATTGAGGTTGAGAAGATAGTCCATCAGTTGTTTCGCTCGCGGTCAGCACTTGGTGCAAATGATGTTTCGCGTTCTGGTTTTCTTGTTTACGGTTTTAGTGAAATATGTGTATACCGGGTGTGTCACAGCAAACTTCAATGCCGAATGTAAGTCAGTTACGCAGTTGTCAGAGAGATATATCAACGAATCTCTGGAAAACTTCCAAAACATCAAGGAATTGCATATAAGAAACGAAGATTCGGAGCTGATCGTTTTCGAATTTGCGTTTGCGCATACAAAGCAGTTGCAAACTATCATGATACGAAATAGCCGCATTCAGAGGATATACGAAAATACGTTCAAAGATTTACCATTGAAATTTCTCTACATTAACTACGATGGCATTGAGCAAATTAAAGCAGGAGCTTTCCAGAATTTGCCATCGCTGCAAAAAGTGGTGGCTAGCCACAACAAATTGAAAACTGTTCCAAGAGGAGTATTCAAGAATTTACCAGCTTTAACAACTCTAACACTGTCCCAGAACGATATATCATCCGTAGATGAGTCTGCTCTGGAAAATCTTCCTCGGTTGAGTAAGTTACACCTGGATAATAATAAAATCGCGTCTATTTCTATGCACCGAATGCTGAGCAATCCTGAACAACTGGAAATTCTCTGGCTCCACAACAACAGTTTGACCCTCTTAACTAATTTCATGCTACAAAAGCTGACCAAGCTGAAGCTACTGAATTTGGGATTCAACGACATTACCGCCATAGAAACCAGTGCTTTCGAACAAACTCCACAATTGGAGACATTAGTTTTGATCAACAATAAACTGAAAGAAGTGGACGGCAATATATTTCCTAGAAGTGGTATGGGCCAACTGGATAAACTGTACTTGGATAACAACGAACTGATGTTTCTACCTTCGAGCTTCTTCTTCAGATTGAATGTTTTGAAATGGGTTACCCTCGTTGGAAATCCTTGGGAGTGTGCATGTCTCGACAATATCTATAGAATTCTCTTGGAGAACGAGATTACAGAAAAGTGTCAATACACGTTTGTGGCAGGCCGAAGACCGATTTGCGTAAGCAGGGATGCTACGAAAAGAGTTTGCAGCTACAAATACGACAGCGAATTGAGTACGATGTATATTAATCATAAACGAAAGTATCCTATCAATGTTAGACCACTGACTTGCATTTTGTGATCAAGAGTTTGAGAACATATTGCAAGGTTGCTACCAGAATTTTTTTGTCACTGCAATTCTCGCGAGCAACATAAAGAGAGTGACTCTGAGTTAAGTGGGAACTGATAAGTAGTTAGACTATTTCTAATTTTCGTATTCATGATATTCACAGTGACTCCAGTTGAATTTTCATATTGCCTTTAATACCTATTTATTATTTACTGATGTTTGGAAATAATTCAATATGCTGTTGAGAAATTAAAATTTATACGTTCTGAAATTGAATCAGTTACTTCTTTGACCGAATTGAAATATAACTTGAAGAATTATATATTGACCAACTGACATATCACAAAATAATAATTGAATTCAGTCGTATGGTAATAATAATAATAATAAAAAACACGCTGAGGATCCTGAAATTATTGAATTTCTTTAATAAATATTTTACACTGTCAAAGTTAACTTTAAATACCGAATTATGACCAACGTGCTGCTTGGGAGCAGCAATTAAGGTTTTAATGGTCTATGTGATACTATATCTAGCATTTTCCTTATATTGAAGTTTATTAGTGGATATCTATTGCAACATTGGAAATCGATAACACTGAGGCTGCCAATTTGGTAGCTTCAAATTTGTGTAATATTAGGCGCTCTTTAGTTGTTAAGTTTAGCCGTATTTGTGAAAAGACAGCAGAAGTTCTTTAAGTGTAAGTGAATGGTTGAAAGTGTCATCATTTAGGCAGAGTTTTGTTCTATTTATTGGCCTTGTAGCATATTAGTCAAATTGATCTTGAAGGTCAGGACTTCCTCTCCGACCGCGACAAAGGACAGTTCTGCAGATAACGACCGTCCTCAAAGATGGCACGTGGACGTTGTGGCCGGAGTAGAGTCCAAAAGAGAGATGAAGTTAAAATAAATAACATCACGATCTCATAAAGTAAGTAGGTAAAAGACAAATTGGGAGGACTGGCGGTCCCCTACGCTAGTAACCAGCCCGGATTTCGACGGAATCGACGATGACGTCAGTTGTATAAGAAAAGTGAAAAATGTGAAATGTATGTTTATGTGGAAGAAAAAACCAGAAGATCTCCTGATGAGGAGACCTTCGTTTTTTTGATGAAAAAGTATGAAAAAGTAAGTAGGGTGGCAGTACTGTGTAAGGCAAGACCGCTGCGCCCCCCGACGAAACTCCTGTTGATTATTAACAGGATGAGTCTGGTCAAATGCGCCCGAGTTGGGAGCAACTGTCATTAAAAATAGAGGGAGAGAGAAAAAAAAGAGATCTTGAAGGTTAAATGCGTCTTCTAATTTCAATAGAGACATATGATGTTGTAAGGTGAATAATAGAGCTTTCTTACATTTTTCAATAATATATCTTCATCTAAAGCTATGAAACTTTTGATTTGAGATATATCATGTGTGGTGCTTTTTGTTTGCCCTCAGTAGTATCCCAACTTCTTGATACGAATTTCAAGAATGAACATTTCATCTCTTTTAAAAATCTTAAATATACTCACTTGTATGGTACCGCACCCCTTCAATGGCAACTCCAACTTGTAGCTGTGCTGCCCTTTTCCGAACACTTTGCACGCAGAATTCCTGTCGAACTGCGCATATGCTATTCCGTAGAACTTGTCGTTGAATTTCAATTCGATTTGCATGGAGCCGGCGGCGCAGTTCAGAGCTGCCTTCGTTCGATTGAGGAAAATCACGGGGCTAAGGTCGTCCAGTTTGGTGACCTTTCCGTCTAGAGTGGCCTGTTCGGGGAGACCTTCCCCTCGGTACTCGATGTTGTTGGCCTGATCCGCATAGTTGGATTGGGCTGCTGTTGGTGACGTCCAAGTCAGGCAAATTAAGCAGCATATGGTTGCGGCTGTCACCACCGCGTTCTGGGACATCTGAAAGAAGAAACGGTGACGTTAATTGGGTGCTGGTACGCATCGGATGGATTTGCGACGAGAAAGTTGCAATATAATTATAATGAATCTTTCATTGATTACCAGATGTACGAATGGCAAGTAAATGTCTGCTGGTTCAGAAGTGAGATGTATTCTGTTTCTGTTCTTACATCAGAAGTCACATATATATAAAAATGTAATCTTTATTGCGGGTATACTAAAGATAAGTTTGATCTTTTGACTATAGAAAAATACAAGAAAGGAAAAGAAATGATGAACATTGAAGACAGATGAAAAGATAGTAGTAGAGAGTAAAAAAAGTAGATTGAATATAGCCATTCGTGATTATTAAATAGATGACGTTTGTATACATTTTTGAATGATGGTGTGACATATCGAATGGGGATGGCAAGGTTGTTACGATGTTGTTGATGGTGGTTGCAATACAATAGCTTAAGGAAGGTTTGTTTTGCGTGTGTGTCACAGTGAAGAGTGATTTTCTTCGAATTTGGATATTATGTACATCAGTTCGGAACAGAGCTTACGGAGAAGTAAGGGAGGTGTCCACTTTTGAGGAATATCTTCCTGACATATCAAGTAATGCATTCAAATATGGGTTCAACTGATGAATATAGTTGAAATACTTTGCGTTGGATGATATGCCAGTTGGTTTTTTCAAAAATGATCTTGGTAACCGTAGGCGAAAGGTTGTTGTTGGATATGAAGTGTCTAGCTTTGAAATGAAATCCAGAGGAGTTCCCCAAGAGAGAATACTGGGTCCATTATTATTTTCAATTCAAATTGCAGATTTTGCTTCTTTTTGAAATACTGTTAGTTCCATCAATATGCAGACGATACTAAAATATATTTTTCATTTTCAACTCCTGCTTGTATGAAAATCAACGAAGAACTCAGAATGACTGCTTTGGTGTCGCACAAATTAATGCTCAACAAAAATAAAACTGAATTGATTTAATTTGGTGATTTCAATATGAATCTAAATGAAAACATTCTAATATTAGTAGTCAATATAACATTCTGGGAAACTTTCAAAGGGAGGAAAAAAGTAAGTTCGAAATAAAGCTGTTTGATTTATTTAAAATCTGTTTTTTCCGTTAACCAGCTGTCGCACCCCTACGAACGACAACCCTCAGAAGTCTAAACTTGTGCGAGCCAAGGATTAACGAGGTCTTACCTTTTAACGTGTGATTCCTAACACGGGTTGGACGATAGCAAGTGAAGATCGATCGTTCAGACTAGGGCTTGAACCACCGAACAACACGGCAGTCAATTCGAGTGAGTGAACAAAGCACCCACACCGAACCGCTTGGCTACCGACCTCCAAGTAATAAAAATAAAAATAATAATGTACAAATCATCCGTCCCGTGACAATAGGGAAGCCGTGGACTTTTGAGTTTGGAGTGTCTACACGACAGAATGGTACTGGATATAGCCTGTAAAGTCGTCAGGAGTGGGGATCCCCTCTATGCATGATACGCGACCACGAGACAGCAGGGATTGGAGCATTTCTCTTTAGGGAAGCTTCCCGAACAGCTAATGTACGAATGATTTATTCGGACTGAAGAGAAAAGGTGATCACAAAAAACTTCAAAGAGAAAGGAAGTATAAACCAATTCCATCTGACTAGCGAAACCTTCATTACAATACTGTATCATTATTTCAAGTAACCTACTGTAAATAAAAACCATGATAGTGATTTAATATAGTGTTTCGTTAATTTCACCATATACCGTACATATTATATAAAAAAAGTCAATTTCTCAAAAACTATGGGTGATACAAAAGAACTAAGACCAGATTTGGATTCAGCACACAAAAATCTATAAAAATCACCTATTAAAGTAAACAAAGTTTTCAAAAACATTTTTTGTTGACCTCTGATATTTTTAGTATCCTGTTCTCTCCAAAATAATTTACACTTTATTATGGGATTACATCAATTTCTATCATATCACATTGATAACTTGTTTTCTGACATTTTTGCAGCGCGCATATTTTTCAAAATATTTGAATGCTTTAGGTTGAAAGAATCACCCGGTATGCTAAACAAATGTACAGTCGGGGAAAACCGCTGGTGACTGGTCAATTCTGAAAGATTAGCTGTTCTGTGAAGGTTATGGCGTAGTATCCTTTACTCACTCTTGGTGGAAGTGTTCGAAATGTTGTCCTGCGGTCAGTATATCCAATGTATTGCTTTAGTATTGAGTCTGTTAGTTGACTTCGCTCACACGGGTTGTATCACAAAGGTTCTAAAAGCGGAATGTACTTCAGTAACGCAGTTGTCTGCAGAGTATTTCGATAGATATCTTGACAATTATCGAAATATACGCGAACTATATATAGCGCATAATAACTTGGAGTTACTCATTTACATCTCAGCGTTCAAAAATACTCCTAACTTAGAACGACTCGTAATATATAGCAGCCGCATCCGAAAAGTATTTAACGGCACCTTCGATGGATTACCGCTGAAAACTATCCTCATGAACAACAATAGTATAGAAGAAGTTTATCCTGGAGCATTCCACAATTTGTATCTACTCGAAAATTTGTCTCTGGCTTATAACAAGTTGAAAACCATTCCAAAAGGCATATTCAAGGACCTCCCAAAATTGGATTTTCTCCGATTCTCAGAGAATGAAATATCCTCTATTGACGATTCAGCTCTGGAAAATCTACCACTATTGGAGAATTTACAACTGAATTATAATAAATTGCAAACGATTGTGATACATAAAGTTGTAAGTCATCCACAGAACTTGAAATACCTTTTTCTAGATAGCAACTACTTGTCTAGCATAACCAAATACATGTTGCGAAAACTGACCAGTTTGGAAGATCTGGATTGCTCGTACAATAGGATTTCAATAATTGAAGCTGGTGCTTTTGAACAAACTCCAAAATTGAAAAATTTGAACCTACATCACAACATCTTGAAAGAAGTAGATGGGACGATTTTTCCAAAAAGGGGTTTGGTCAACCTAAAGTGGCTGGAATTGGACAATAATGAACTGATGTCTTTATCGTCGAATTTCTTGTCCAAATTTCCTTCGTTGGAAAGTATTTCCCTGTATGAAAATCCATGGAAGTGCGCTTGTTTGAGTGCTATAAGAAGAGTGTTATTCGATAATGAAATCAAAGAAAAGTGTGAAGAGGTGTATTCAAATGGAGAAAGAGCTGTGTGTGTTACAAATGTTTCAATAAATGAATGCAGTTATGAATACGATGATGGATTGAAGAAAATTTTTATGGATTATAAGACTAACAATAAGATATACATAAGTCGTGTCGATTGTAGTTTCAGAAAATCCATTTAAAACAGCTGATGATTAGTCGATTGTTTCATTAAATTTTGTTTTCTGATACCGCATTCACCAGACGATCAGAAATTCTTGGGAATGACGCTTTATAAATATCATGAAGTTACTAACAATATTCACAATAGCATCGATGTGTGATGTTTCCATATTTTTCAATATGAAAAAAATAAAAAGTTCTATCATCAAACCTACCCAGGTTTATGTGGGATGGATCTTTATAATTATATTTCTCTATGATATCAAAATGAAAGAAATTTGACTTGACGGAATTGTACGAAATCTGTTTTTATCCATCGAAAAAAACGAAATTTGTGAAGAAATTGAACATTTCTCCAGGTTTATTCGTTTCGTATATCTCATTCCAAATATCGACTTTTACATTTCCAAATTACTGTTTGTTTCATTGAACAGTCTGCAGCATCAAACATCAGATTTCGAATCCCCATGGAAAAATTATCAAGAAGGACTTGATCAAATCCAGCTTGAGGAAGTAATTGTATAGCGGAATATGTGTCGCGGTTTTGTAAACCTTTTATAGTGGAAAGAAAAATGAATCTAATTAGTAAGTTTCGATATGGATTTTGATCAAGTCTCTGACAATTCCATTCAATATTTTCCAATGAGAAACTATGAAACTACTATATATGTTCTTCATATAGTTATGTTGTTTTTGTATAGTGTGTTTTACCACATGAATTTCTATAATGCTGTTGATATGTTCTGTAACCAACAGGGTTTTGGTATCAAATGATCACTTCTGGTTTCAGTTACCTTTGATTGATAAAGTCTAGGTCTACCAGCTAAAAAAATACATAAATTGTAATGGTGAACTTTGAAAACGTGTAGAAATGGCAAACTATTTAGTTCACTTCGATAGATAACTGTGTAAGTCAAAAGTAGTGTTCACAAAGAAAAATGTACTATTCATAATTATAACTTCTAAAATGATATATTCTTTACTTTCCTTCTCATCTGGGTTTCTATATGATAAAAGCTAAGTTCGCCTTCTGTTTAATTTTGTCCTAATGTTTGTACCTACTTTGAATGCTCCATTAGATAGCAGTATTACGGATGTATATAACAATTATTTTGTTTTCGATGTGTTGTTGCATACAGTATTCCTTTTTATTGTACGTTTATTTTTCGTTTATGAAAAGGAAGACACTAAAAAACACAAACTTTGCAAACGATAAGTTCCATGACAATCATTTTTATCTTGGGAATTATCTGTACTAATTGAAATTTGAGAAATACAGTTTATTTTGAGGATGATTTTAATTCAATAAAAACGGTTTTTAATAAAAATACATTTTAGAATCAACTGCATACTGTTGAGAAGAAAATATTGAAAATAATTACAAAGAGTCTTGAACAAAATGTAGTCGAGCTTGATTCTCGTCCCCCAAAAAATCACTTAATTTCTGCATACACTTAATCGTCATTCCCCAAAAATAGCGAACCAGGAACACTTAACTTAAGCATCCTTACCTCCCTGCTCTCCCCAAATAATAATTTTTATTCGTTATATTTTTCAGACTGTGCTTATTTTTCAAAATATTTGAATGATTCAGGTTGAAAAAATCACCCGGTAAGTTTAACAAATCAACGGTCGGGAAAACCGCTGGTGACTGGTCCATTCCGAGAGATAAGTTGTTCTGTGAAGGTTATGGCGTAGTATACCTATTCAATCAGTGGTAAAAGGAGTGTTCGAAATGGTGTCCTGTAGTCAGTGTATCCAATGTATTGTTTTATTATTGAGCGTTCTAGTTGAATTTGCTCACACGGCTTGCACCACAAAGGATCTAATAGCGAAATGTAGTTGGGTTACCGAGTTATCTGCTGAATATTTCGAAAAGTACGTTGACAATTACCGAAATGTACGCGAACTACATATAGCTAATAACAAAAAGGAGTTACATTTTTACACCTCGCCGTTCAGGAATATCGTCAATTTAGAACGACTCGTAATAATAGATAACAGCCACATCCGAAAAGTATTTAACGGCACCTTCGATGGATTACCGCTGAAAACTATCGTCATGAACAACAATAGTATAGAAGAAATTCATCCAGGAACCTTCCACAATTTGGATCTACTTGAAAATTTATCTCTGGCTTTTAACAAGTTGAAAACCATTCCCAAAGGAATATTCAGGAATTTATCGAAATTGGATTTTCTCCGATTCTCGGCGAATGAAATATCCTCTGTTGATGATTCAGCTCTGGAAAATCTACCACTATTGGAGAATTTACAACTGAATTATAATAAATTGCAAACGATTGTGATACATAAAGTTGTGAGTCATCCAGAGCACTTGAAATACCTATTTCTAGAAAACAACCTATTGTCTAATATAACCGAATACATGTTGCGAAAACTAACCAGGTTGGAATATCTAGATTTGTCGTTCAATAATATTTCAATAATTGAGGCTGGTGCCTTTGAACAGACTCCACAACTGAAAGAGTTGCACCTTCATTACAACATCTTGAAAGAAGTAGATGGGTCGATATTTCCCTTGGTCTACCTAAAGCAGCTGGATTTGAACAACAATGAACTGATGTTTTTATCCTCGACTTTCCTGTTCAGATTTCCATCTTTGGAAATTGTTGCGCTTTATGAAAATCCTTGGAATTGCGCTTGTTTGAGTGCTATCAGAAGTATTTTATTCGAACTCGAAATCAAGGAAAAGTGTGCAGAGGTGTATTCGAATGGGAAAAGACCGATGTGTGTTTCACATGACTCTACGAATAAGTTGTGCAGCTACGAGTACGATGCTGAGTTGAAGGATATGTTTATGGATTATAAGAGGAATAACTTGATATACATTGATGAAACCGATTGTAGTACTTGAGGAATTCGTTTATTATTGATTTCCAAGTTTTCATGCACCAGACGATTGAATGTGAACACAACTATGTTCGTTTCTATAAACCCTTAGAAAGGAAGGTAATATTATTATTGTTTCGTAGATGAAAACAGTATTCACAATGACTAAATACCATTAGTGTTTTTTAATTTACTCTCTGATAATTTTACTCTCAGCAATGTGAAATATAACGGAACGAAACCAAATCTCTTTTCATTGTCATTTCACATAATTCACTTTGGCAACGATAATGGTTATGATTCCCAAAAGGTCAAAAAAATTCATTTTTTTTTGTTTTAATTGATTTCAACTACTTTGACTTGTGAAACTCAATTCAATTTGTGTAGTTGAAATCCAAATATCATTAGTGAATTAATAAAAATTACGAATCAAATTGGCTTTTCCATATTCTGTACTTCTTTATTCGTAATCTGAATTCACAACTCTTAGATAATCTCAATAAAAGAAAATTTATTATTTGTTGTATTTTATTTGTTATGAAGCATCATATTCCCGAATCTATAACAATACATTTTACTTAGACTGACTGACAGAATCAACTATACTCTGTCCATCCAAGCAACGGAGTGCTCCAAAACATTATCATGCATAGTACACGTCATCTTCCAGACAAGGCTGCTTGTACAGAGTCGCACTAAAGAAAGACCGAAATTATTTTTTTTTTGATAATATGCGGCTGGGTACAGGAAAATTATTCAAAGGAAAAAACATTTTCTGTATTCAACATGTAATTCATTTAACATGAACTACAAAAAATGAGGTCATTTCATTTCTGCAGGACAAACGGGTAAACAGTTTTTGATTCCAAAATGTTGTTTTGGCGTATATAGGTATTGAAAAAATGATAAATCCTTTTGTCATTTTTGACCAATTATTCAGATGCTGAAGATGAAGAAGAATCATCATTAAGATTAATTATCAACGGATTTCTGTCAACTAAATCATCCATTAGATAGTTTAATTTCAACATTTTCATTTCTACTTCATCTTTCACATGCTCTACGCAATTATTCAATTTCTCAGCGGTAATAGACGAAACAGCTTCCTTAAAAATATTTTTATGATCACAAAATTTAAAAGTAATATTTTTTTGGCAACATAGTTTTTCATGTTGAGCTTGTAGTGATAAGGGGGAAAACTTAAAATACTATTATGTGCTTCAGAAATTTCGTCAACGATGTATTTATTATATTTGGTGTTACGTTCATTCAATATCCTTGAAAGTTCTGTTATTACCATGTTATCCTCGAATGGTATACTTTTCAAACGCATCCAGTCTTTACAGCTATTTTTGTGGCAGTAGTAGGAATTTTTTCAGTTTTTCTGGATAGGTATGGAGAGTTGCTTAAAACAATTACACAATTCTCTTCTATTTATTTTTTCATCAACCCAAATTTTGGACTTAGTGTGACCTGCGTTTACCCACGTTTCATCTAGGTAATAGCCTTTTCTATTCTCTCTTCTGTAGGCTCTCATTTTAATTAAATATTGTTGTCTCCACGATATTATTTCTGATTTCTTGAGAAACAAACTATTTCCCCCCCTTTTTTATTCAAAACCTAATTATTTTAATAATTTGTGGAATGTCGACCTTTGTTTGGTAGATCAGTATCATCCGTTACAACTTTCAGAACTGAATATATTATTGGCATTTCGTTTGGAAAAATAAAGAGGAACTTTCCTTCTAACAGCGTTTAAATTGAAATTGTCTACTTTATCGATAGTTTTTTTTCGTAAGGGATATGGTTTTGGAGCCGAAAAAAAATGTTTTTGTGTATATTCTCTCATAACTCCATAGACACTTGAAGAAGACACTCCAGCAATGTATTCTACTTGTCTACCGGACAATAAAGGATTTAGGTTAGGTTGGGTTAGGTCCAAAGTGACTCACTTTGCTTCAATTTGAGTTTTGTGCATGTTCATAATTACATTTTTTTTATTGACATTGAGGTTCAGTTTTTTGTCCTTTTTTAAGGTGGAGTGTGGGGACACAAATTAGCAGTTTCTTCAGTCGTATCAGTAATTGACATTTTAAGAATTTAAACTTCAAAATGAGGTATATTTACACACCACAGGCGTTAGGACGTAACTGACCACTCCGCCACTGTAATATGAATTCCGCCAGCCGATTGCAGTTAAATCTGATTGGCCAGCGTAGGAAGGCTTGTTTCTTTCACCCAATAGATGCGAATGTGCCTGATGATCATTCTCTGAGTACGCATGTATCGTTGTTTGGGTTGCTTTGTTTGTTGGATGGATAGTTTAGTAGGATTACTTCACTTGTTCACTGGATTTTCTCTATAATGCTTCACAGGCAGGTCCTACTGCACCGGATGACAACGAACTCAAAGTCGAAAATTTTGAATAGAACACTGTTTTTTGTGATCATTTGATAGGGTATAATAGGGTATAAAATGTTCTTCTTAACGATATAAAACAAATGTCCATTTCAGTTTAAAATGGTGTCGTACGAGTTATTGCCTTCAAATTCAATATAAAATATGGAAATATCGTCAAATGACTTGATGCAGTGAGAAACAAAAGACGCAGTTTACTTCCACCTTCCATTGTTAATGGAATTAATTGCTCTTATGGACGATTATGTTGGCCGTAAAATGCAAGTACTGCGCGATACTTATTTCGAACAGGACCATGATCTTCAAAATGAATTTGCACAATTTGGAAGCGTTGCGTTGGTCAGGCATCAACCTATTCATCTTGAAATGCCAAACCAAAGTAAACATAAATCATTTGACAGCTGACAAAATGGCCGCCAGTTAAGAAGAGTTGCCAACTTAAAGTTTAATACCTCTATAAAAACACCCTTTATATTTGACATTTTCTGTGGTAAAAGAGGTACACTTCAATGGTAAAGTTACGTATACGCTGTAGAGGGCTTCTTGAAATTTGCAATTCTTGTCCACGACGCCGAAGTGATGCTCCTGGATTTTCAGCAACACTGTGTTTAGTATCTCCAATTGATTCCGCCACCCTGGATGTTCCAAATAATCTCTTCATAGTTGATGAAGTCAAAACATCATTTCGACCTTATTTTTATGTAATTTTCGAACAGCGGCCGCTAAACTTCCATTAATTTTGAGATAATGTTCAACAATAGAGACAATTCGTTTTATCATATGACGCTTCATTCCTACAATCCCTGAACTATCAGCTGGCAAATTGTTTTTTAGTGTTGCCAGCACAGCCCTGCACAAATGGCGGCAAATTCAAATATTGCATTAATTCTGGGGCACTCTTTGTATAATGATTGTTTTTCTTTGTGATTGAAAACTCACAAGTCCAATATATTTATTGGAAATCCGCCGATCACTGGTCCATTTGACCTCAGATAACCTCATCTCTGACGGTTAAGGCAGGATCATTCATTCAGTAGTGATCAATATGTTCAAAATGGTATTCTGCGGTCAATTTATTCTACTCATTGTTATAGAATTGAGTGTACTAGTGAACTTTTCGCGCACTTCGTGCATTACCAAAAATCGAATCGCGTATTGCAGTTCGGTTACAAAGTTGTCTGACAATTTCTTTAATGAGTCTATCAAGGACTATCAGGACCTCATTGAGCTACATATAGCGAATAACCACTCGAAATTATCTATTGGCACCTCTACGTTCAAAAATGCTGTCAACTTGAAGGTAGTCTATATAGAGCAGAGCCGTATCCAAAGATTATTGGAAGGTACTTTCGAGGGACTAGAGTTGGAGATGATTATCATCGACTACAATGGTATAGAAAAAATTGATCCAGGGTCTTTCCACAATTTGAGACTACTTGAAATCTTGTCTCTAGTGGGTAATAGGTTGAAAACTATTCCTAAGGGAGTATTCAAAGATTTACCTAGATTGTCCTTCCTGGACCTTTCGATGAATGAAATATCCCTTATTGATGATTTGGCTCTGGAAAATTTACCAAAACTGGATAATTTGCGACTCGACAGCAATAAGCTCGAAACATTTTCAGTGCACAAATCTGTAAGTTATCCTGGTCAGTTAGAATCTCTTTCCCTATATAACAATTCCTTGTCCAGTGTAACAGAGTATATGCTGCAAAACCTGTCGAGGCTGGAATATCTCAATTTTCACATGAACAAGATTTCAGTTATCGAGGCTCGAGCTTTTGAGCAAACTACGCAGCTGAAAGATCTACGTCTGAGTTACAATAACTTGAGAGAAGTAGATGGGACTATATTTCCAAGGAGAGGATTGCACAACCTGAAACGGCTGGATTTGGACAACAATGAGCTGATGTTTTTATCGTCGAATTTTCTGTTCAGACTGCCTTTTCTGGAGATTATTTCGCTTCATGAAAATCCTTGAAAGTGTGCTTGTCTGAGTGCTATTCGAACTATTTTGGTCGAAAACGGAATTAAAGAAAAATGTGAAAAGATATATTCCACCGGGAAAATACCGTCTTGTGTTACGAAGGATTTTACGAATAAGATGTGTAGCCATAACTACGATACTGAATTGAGAAACGTTTTTATGACTTATAAAAAAACTTATGGTGGTATATTTATAGATTTTACCGACTGTACAGTGACTTACTAATTCTTAAAAATTATCTCTCTGTTGCTGAGGATAAGTCAAAAAAAATCCAAATCTATATAGATGACATTAATATAGTACTGAAAATAACTAAGGCATCGAACAAAAAAAATCCTCTATCCCAGTCGTATCGTTTATGATATAATAATAATGAAAATAATAATAATAATAATAAAATAACTAAGGCATCGAACAAAAAAAATCCTCTATCCCAGTCGTATCGTTTATGATATAATAATAATAACAATTTATTGTTCGATGCTGTTGACACAAAAAATAGTTTATTGTGTTCATTAAATAAATAAAAAGTAATGAACGAAATTAGTTACATGGGTCTGCGTATGTATGTTGAACCTTTCTACAAAATGTAACATAACGAATCAGGGGCACCCATTGAGGAATCTGACGTTGCGCATGGATTTCTCAGTTATTAAATTACACAAAGCATAACAGTGAACATTCAGGCTCTATAACAGGGGTCGGCAAGTAGTTTTAGGTGGGGTCCGGATACTGTGAGAAAATTTTAATGAGGTCCAGAAAAAAAAACAACTGATAACAATGAGGTGCTACCTATGTATTATTTTGGTTTCAAATCAAATTCTGAATTATAGAACACAAGACCTAAAATTAATGTGAGAGACTACACCGACGGTCTTGAGCCAGTTTGATTCTCGAGAGGAATAGCAAATTCGAAGTGGGTCTTCTATTAGGCGTTCGTTAATCTCGAACGATATTTATCTTTCAAAAAATTCATCTTTGAGAAATATGTTTCATATACGTATGTCAAGCCATAGTGGCCAAATTTATAGCTAGTTTTTTGCAATTTTCATATTTTTCCGAGACATGTTTAGTCCAAAATTCTCATCAGGATACCTTTTCATACATTTACAAAGACACATCTTTTAGAAAATCGATTTTCTCTATTTGAAGTGATGGCTTTGACAGATTAAACGACTTGGCAGCCACATCTGTCCACATCGGCCAGATTCTCAATAACTGAACAATGTCCTCTTAAGATGACTTATTTATTTTGTAGAAATTCATGTTGAATATAAAATAAAGAAAATACTTTCGTCTAGTTTCTACTGTGTTTATTTATTCGTTACGACCGGTTTCGGCTTATAAGGCCATTTTCAAGTAACTACCACAAATTGACAAGTTGCGTCTTAAATAGTGTGGACAGATATCTGCTCTAGGTACCTGACCTAACACGTTACCAATATTACAATATGTCACGATTACCAACTATTGGATGGATCCTAAAATTCCTAAATTCAAAAGGGGCGAGCTGCATAGATCTAGTTGGTCGTTGAGCGTTATGAACTTGAGGTCCTTGTACAATTTATTTATTTCCAACGCTTCCAATAAATTCATCTCCCTTCCTTTGTTACATGTATGAAGAATTTTCATGTTTCTTTTATTTATTGTATGGTTTGTTTCTTTTAGATGTCCATATATGGTTGATTTTTTATCTGATAATACATGTTCTCGGTATCTTATGTCGAAATTTCTGCCTGTCTGACCTGTATAAGCTGCTGGGCAGTCCCCACATTCTAGTCATATTGCGTTGGTTTGTTATGAACTCAAAGTGCTTTCTGCGTATTTGAGTTTTGCAAGAAGGAGGTTACTTGTTCTTTAATTAGCCAGGCTAGATGGGAAATTAATCAAACCATATCAATTATAAGTACTGGTAAAACGGGTTAGCTAGGAAACTCAAAATAAAATAAGTATTGAGTTAAATTCAACGTGGCTTAAAAATATTTTTTTTATTTAATTAAGGTGTTGTATGCTTTATCTATGTAATAATTTAAACTTAGTATACTTGGCAGTCCGAGGTTCGACCTTTCGCGGTCCGCTAAAGGTCGAACACTGTAGGTTAATGGACTGACACCTATCAGAAAACGCCCTTCGTGGTATTAGCCAGAGGAATAGTTGTTAAGTTAAAAAGAACTTACAATTGTTGATTGCCACAAATTTCCTACGGCCAGTCAGGTAGGAGCTTAACACGGATAGGACGTTGCCATGAATATCGAAATTTACAAGCTTCACGGCAAGGGTCGGGTGATGAACCTTGTCAAAAGCCTCAGAAAAATCGGTATACACTACGCAGGTGGAGACTCCGTTTTCCATAGATTCTAGAACTTTTCGGATGAATGGAATTAGGGTCGTTAAAATAGATCTCTTACCGTAAAAGCCGCGTTGACAAAGGTTGATGGTATTTTTTATTTCAAAGGAGACATTTATGCAGAATTATTTAAAAAATTCTCCTCAAGTGGTTCAGTAATGATACGGGCCTGTAGTTGGCTGTGTTCTGTATCTGTATCTGTAGAGTAGGGAGGGTGAGTGTGAGCCCACAGTACTTAGGCCACATGTGACCAATTGTACATCCTCCCGAGGAGTTGTCCTCCTAGGTATCCTTTCTTGGTTAATTCTTTTGTGGCGATTGAGATACCAGCCAGTTCTGTTTGGACCACGCTGGTATTTCTTCCCATTCCCCACTTAATTCTTAGGCTTAGTGATCTGCAGTACAGTCCACACCCTGAGCCTTCTTTCGTTTTTGAGCCGTCTAGTTGGCTGTGTTATTTTTATCTCCGGATTTATGAATATAGATGATTTGGGCAATTTTCCATTTATGTGGGAAAAGACCCGTTTTCAGGGATTTATGGATGATTATGTAAAGCGGTTCTGCAAGGCTCATACTGCAGTTTTCAGGAATATAGAAGGTATACCGTCCAGCCAGTCCCTTTGTTAGTATCCAGTCTATCGAGTGTATCAAGGGTTTGCGTAGTGAAGAGAACATTTCATAATCACCAGGGTTGCTAAATCTTTTCCATTTGACACGATGTTTTTCTTTTTGTCTTATCAGATTTTCAATTCGAGCCGAGAACCATACAGGGTGTTTGGACTTCATGATTGTTTTAGTTGGGGTGTGGGACTGAATTAATGAGTCGAGAGTATCGTAGAGTATGCTAACGTTTATGTTGACATCATGGCTTGAAAGAGCTTCTTTCCAATTAATTTTTTGCAGTTCATCACTGATTATTCTTCAGTTTGCTTTGGCGAATCTGGGTTTTGAATAATAGTTAGGGGGCAACGATCTAGAAGGGCAGGATGGTGTTGATCCTCTTTGACGAAGGAAGTGATACTCTTTTTGACATCCACTATATTGGAATTAGACATGATCAGATCTAAGATTTTCTGGTTGACATTCTTGATTTTGCAGTATTGTTTCAAATTGAATAGACACATACGATCAATGAAATATTGGCTGAGGGTGTCAGTGATATCCGGGGTGTAATAAGAAGCCGGTTTGTGGTCGAACTGCTCAATGATATTTGATATGTTGAAATCACTAACACTAATACAGTTACTAGTATCGTGGTTGCTCGATATATCTTCCAACTTTTGGAAGAAAAGTATGAAGTTGTTCAGGATTGCGTGAGGAGGAATGTATACACAACATATAGAGCTTTTTATCATTGGGTATTGTCACTGACACCCATAACTCTTCAATGATACCCGCCGCATTGGAGATGATACGAGATGAACCTGTACACTTATCATTACGCCACCACCACCACTTTTTCACTGAAAACACGGTTACGATCTCTTCTATATACATTGTTTCCACAGGGAAATAGCTCAGGGTTGCTGATTCCATCGCTGAGCCAAGTCTCAGGAATGTAAATCACATCATACTCGAGGGAACAGCAAGACTTGAAGAAGACGTCGCACTTACTTCGTCATTCCCTTTACCAGAAGGAGAAAATTGGATTACCTAATGCCACTTTCCCTCAATAGTGAGGTCATTCCATTTGGAACGGAGGTGGAATATCCTGGCATTGTCCTTGATAAAAGACTCACCTGAAACGCTCTCTATGGACATGTCGAAGTATTTGTGGTGGAACTTGGAGTTGAGGTCCCAAACAAATCCATTGGATTTATGTGATGATTGTCAGACCAATGATCACTTATGGTGCAATTGTCTCGTGGCCGAAGGCTTTACAGAAAACGGTCCAAGCGAAGCTCTCTGGCTTACAGAGACAGGCCTGTCTGGCTATCAGTGGTGATATCAGTACCACACCGTAGCGGCCATGGAAATCTTTTCTAGATCTACCTCCTCTCCACATTCTTCTGGAGAGAAAGGTTAGATGGACTGCATACAGACGTGTGCACATTGCCAATTGCACAAATCAATTTAAGACAGAGTGCAACAGACTGTTGGTTGACACTGGAAGTTACAGCATTCTGGAAATGACCGCTGACGTTATGCCTTCAACTGTCAACTACGAACTGCCTCATAAAGTACTATTCCCGAGTAGAGAGGACTGGATCCTCCGGGAGAAGGAAGTATTAAGAGCAGATAGTTGTTGGTTCACAGATGGATCAAACACACCTCGCGGTTCTGGTGCAGGTGTTTTAGTCGCAGACCCAGGACAGAGATATCTACTTGCCTAGGAACTTATGCGACTGTATTTCAAGCAGAAATTTACGCTATTGAATTGTGTGCGGAGAGATTGAATAAATCCAACCCCATACACAAATCAATAAAAATATTCTCGGACAGTCAAGCAGCGTTGGAAGCTCTTGGCTCCTACCGAGCAAAGTTTAAACTGGTAGCAAATTGCCAAAATCGACCCTCCTCGATAGAAAGACTTAACAAATTGTCTATGGTCTGGATTCCTGGCCATACTGACCTGGAAGGCGATGAAGCTGCTAACTCCCTTGCAAAGGAGGGTGCTGCAAGCAGCTTCATCGGACCAGAACCTGTCATTGGCATCGCTTTAGGCTTTGCCAAACAAATATTGAACACCTGGATGGCAGGAAGATTCATGGAATTCTGGCAGAACCTTCTAGGATTGTCTCCCTCCAAGACGTTTGTTAACTCTTTGAAGCTTGATACCAAACATTTGTTGGACTACAGTAGGGATGAACTACGATGTCTACCAGCCCTTCTTACAGGTCACTGTCATTTGAATCAACATATGCAGAGACTCGGATTGTCGGAAGACAGTGTGTGTCGCCTCTGTTTGGAAAATGATGGAACAACAGAGCATATACTTTGTGCCTGCTTCGCTGGGGACCACATCAGGTTTTTAGAGTTCGGAATGAGCCGTACTCGCACCATCTGACCTGAAAGACCACTCACCATACAAACTAATCAGCTTCGTCAAGAAGCTGGGTTTATTTGGTCGAGTGTGAATATGTGTGAGCCACAATAAACCCTTGCGGATTGCGGTGGAGGGTCGAATAGACCCACCTAACCTAACCTACTTCGTAAACTCCGGGTATTCTGATGTAAGAGTGATAATGTAGAAGCGAAGATGATAGACGAATAAATACGAGCAGTTGCGTTCCCCGGAAGGGGAAGGATATCTTCATTTTTGACGTGAATTGCCCTACCTTCATCAGTTTCCTCAATGAAGTTTTCAACATCACGAACCCAACAATGTTTGCAGTTGTGGGATTTGCAGAAATCACAAGCTTTTTCATAAATGTTTTTGAAAAATAGAGAAAGGTACTTGTTAACATATATGGTTGGTTCTGCATTTATACTGGGAATTCTGAGTGGATTTCTTTTAGTTTCTCCAAGCCCGGCCATTCTCAATGAAGTGGTTTTTCATCGAGTTATTAGTGAATTTGACCACAATATTTTTGGGAGGGTTCGCATTACTAGTGGAAAATTGAATGGATAGAATATAAAGAACCATATTGACTGGTCTATTTCGGTAAAGCCTGACGATTGGTCCACTCAAGATGATGACCTTCACCGTGGCCACAGCCTCCGTGGTGGTCGAAAGGAAAACATTCATTCTGCAGTCGTTCTTCAAAATGGCAATTCGTATATTATTGCTTCTATTTATCAAATTCAATTCATTCAATCTTGCATGCAATTCGTGTGTTCTAACAAAACGATCATTCGCGAGGTGTGATTCAGTTACAGAGTTGTCAGAAATATATTTCGATGATAATCTTGAAAATGTTAAAAGTTTAACCATCGTAAATGCTCATTCAGAATTGTGGGTACCAGTTTCCGCATTCAGGCCTTTCAGAAACCTAGAAGTGCTCGATATAGAAAACATCCGTATTCGAAGACTGTATGGAGATACATTTAAAGACTTACCACTGAAGAAAATTTTTATTCAGAACGATGGCGTAGAGGAAATTTTTCCAGGAACTTTTCGCAATTTGTCATTATTGCAGACTTTGAATGTGAAAAACAATAATTTGAGTACTGTTTCCAAGGGAATATTCAAAGACTTGCCTATGTTGACCTCTCTAACACTGTCCAAAAATCAAATATCCTCCATCGAAAACTCTGCTCTGGAGAATCTATCAATGTTGAGTAAGTTACACCTAGATAATAATAAATTACATACGGTTTTCGTACACAAAATTGTGAGTCATCCAGAAAAACTGGTAATACTGTGGCTTCACAATAATTCACTGACTTTCGTATCAAACTACATGTTAGAAAAACTGACGCAACTAAAATTACTCAATCTGGGATTCAACAGAATTTCAGCAATAGAAGCGAATGCTTTCGACCAGACTCCGCAGTTGGTAACATTAGTCCTGACCCATAACAAATTGAAAGAGGTGGATGGAAGTATATTTCCAATTAGCGGAATGAACTATCTGGAGAAACTGTACTTGGATAACAATGAACTGATGTTTTTGTCATCGAGTTTCTTCCTCAGGCAGAATAGTTTGAAGAAAATTACACTCGTTGGTAATCCTTGGGCTTGCGCATGTCTCGATGTCATCAACAGGATTCTTATGGAAAATGGTGTCATGGAAAAGTGTCAAGACTTATATGTGTCTGGTCTCAGACCGATTTGTGTCAATAGGTATGCTAGCGATAAAGTTTGTAGCTATAAATACGACAGTGAACTGAGTAACATTTACTTGGATTATAGAAAAAAATTTCCGCTTTATGTAAATCTGCTGAGTTGTTATCTGTAGGAGAGTAAGCGTAAGGGATGAAATGGGGGTAATTACCACTAAAGGCAGTTTGGTTTTATACCTCCATGCAATTGATTTGTGTAAATATTGAAAAGTCTCGGAAAATACAGGAGTGATATCCAAACAGCAAATGGATCCGAATTTCCCAATATTCACTACACATGATGTCTTGATGGACTCCTAGGCTCGGTACTGAGACAGATTATGATGTAGTTTGATTATTCAAATCATTAGGCACTTCAAGTTTTTCATTTGGGACATTTTCATTCATTTATCTCTTCAATTTTTTTGTTATTTTCAACTTACGGAGTTGATTAGATGAAATATTTTTTGATCATTCCCATATTGATTTCAATTTAAGAGCCACCGGTAGACAGCTGTTTCAGTCTATTGGGCATCGTCAGTACCGGGCAGGCGGTCCCCGATTGAAGACAAAATGTGAAAAACTAAGAAAAGTACTTGATGAAAATAACTGCGTAAACGCAAGCGAAACATAATTGGAACCACCTATTGGTGTGACACCCAAATCAACTTGCCTAGTTTTTATGTTTCGCTCAGTTCCCCAAGGGGATCGTTACTGAACGCATATCACCCTGCGGCTATTCAGCTGCATGTTGTGCAGAGGCTTTTGGGGAGTTTTAGTTCCCTCCACCCTACTTGTTTCTACCACTGACCAGGAGTCCGGCGACACCGTCCGTAAGGCCACATTGGCTTCCCGGACAGGACCGTCAGTCTCCTGGCCGTTCCCCTATCCGCCACCTGGGGGAGGCCACCTCAATCTAAGGCGGTGGCTGGGGATTTACCGCTTGGAATGAAGCTGGACATAACAGATCACCTAGTGATGTAATACAAAAGCCAAGGCATAAGCGCATTTGCGGCGCCGAGGCCAAAAGGAGAAAGAGAGTGGAGGAGGCAGGAGTGGCAGCAACTATAAGTGCACCCTCCTCCTCCCCCACTCCACCTCCAAGGCAAGGACACTTGCTGTGGCGGGCGCCAAGAGCTCCGCTTTGAATAAAGACAAGCTGCTCCTGCAGGAAAGCTCCCTCACTTGTGCACCTCCACGGAGGGAACCCCAAGAATGTTGAAAAAGCCGAGCAACGACAGTAATGTCGCTGCACCTTCCAAAATCTTCGCGGAGGCCACCGTAAGACAACTCAAGGTTGTCAAAGAGAGTGTGTCTTCAGCGAGTCTTGGCAAACACCTGTCAATATAAAGGAGACGTCTCTTAGTGACCTATCCACCTTCCTGGAAAGGACAAGATGGACGATGACCTAGGAGGACAGGATTGTTGAAGATGAAATCTCATTGACAAAGTGTTACTATTCTAAGGAATATAAGATACACAACTTAAAAGATATTGTCGGAAATAAAATATTATTGTCAAAGTGTTATTATTTCAAAGAATATAAGTTATACAAATTGAAAGTAATATTTGCACATTTGGTGATTTCAGCATTTTGGGGTGAAAAAGTAGTCCGAAAGTGATAATATATATGCTACATATTGAAATAGATAATAATAATAATAATAATGAATATTCTCATGCAACACATAAATGTAAGTATGAGAATATAAAAAACTATAAAGCATAAAAATATGAAAGTGAATGGATAGAAAATAATAGTAAGAATCAACTTTTCTTGAGCTATTCTCGGGCAGATGGCGCTATACGTAATTTCCTTGATAGGTTGTTCAAAAGAAAATCAAAATAAAAAACATATTTTAAGAATTATAAGTGTTAGCGAAATTTTGTACTACAGATGAAATATAATCTTTTACAGCTGGTCTTGTGGTTCTTAAATCGTGATTTAAGGTAGAAATATCAACAGAAAGACTACTATTAGCAGTAGGAAAGGAGTAAGGGTTTCTAGAAGTTACGACTATTTTTATTACGCACTTAGAAATGAATGTAGGCTTTTTCGAACGAGCGATTGCGCATTTAGATACATTTTTTAAAATTCGTGGTAATTCTAGTGTCGAGGATTATGTCTCAAAGATTTGCCCTTAAAGAACCTTAAACCTCATCAGTTCTTTTGGGGTATACGGTCGATACATTCTTACTGTTCGAACACCGATTTTGAATACTGGGATTGAAAAAACTATATCTTTCCATTATGCCTACATTGACCGGCCTATTGCCATAACGCTGTTGTCTAAAGCCGATAACCTCTGTACAGATTGAGAGGGAGCATTATGCTATTTAGCTCTTCGCAATTGTTCTCGACGAATCCAAAATGGCAATACGTATTTTGTTGTTTGCCTTTTTTCTTTTTGAAGCGAAAGTGTTACTTAATTTTGTGACGGCTAGTTGTTATATGAAAGAAGTATCTCACGCAAAATGTGATTCAAACGCAGAGCTGTCGGACCGTTGGTTTTCCAAATCTTTCGATAATTTTCAAGATATCAAGAAGTTATCTATCAGGAACAATAATTCAGAGTTATTGGTACTCGTTTCTCCATTCAAGAGATTCATACATCTGGAAAAGCTCGATATAGGGGACTGTCGGATTCAAAGGCTTTATGGATATACATTCAAAGATTTACCACTGAAAAAACTCTTTATTGACCGCTGTGGTTTGGAAGAAATATTTGAGGGGGCTTTCCGCAATTTGTCATCACTACAGGAACTGAGCTTGAGAAAGAATCGTTTGAAAACTGTCTCTAATGGTGTACTCAAGAATCTACCTAAGTTGGCTCACCTCACCCTCTCAGGTAACGAATTATCCTCAATCGAAAACTCTGCTCTGGAGAATCTGCCCGAATTGAATGTGTTACATCTTGATAATAATAAAATTGGTGCGATTTTCATACATAGAATTGTGAGTTATCCAGAGCGATTGAAGATACTGTGGCTTCAAAACAACTCTTTAACTTTTGTATCTAATTACATGTTGGAAAAACTTACTGAGCTGGAACTGCTCAATTTGGGATTCAACAAGATTTCGACGATAGAAACAAATTCATTCGAGCATACACCAAAGTTGAGAACATTAGTCCTAACTCATAACAAATTGAAAGAGGTGGATGGAACTATATTTCCAAAGAGTGGAATGAACAACTTGGAGAAACTGTACTTGGATAACAATGAATTGATGTTTTTGTCATCGAGTTTCTTCTTCAGGCTAAATAGTTTGAAGAAAATTACACTCGTTGGTAATCCATGGGATTGCGCATGTCTTGAAGTTATAAATCGAATTCTCGATGAAAATAACGTTGAAGAAAAGTGTCAAGATTTATACGTCTCCAACCACAGAGCAGTTTGTGTCATTAAGGATGCTACAAATAGAGTTTGCAATTACAAATACGATGAAGAGTTGAGTGATACATTTTTAGACCAGAAAAAAAAGTTAGCACCTCATGTACCTCTGGGAAGATGTCTTTTGTAGTACATTTGTGAATATTTTTGGAAATGGGTCGGTTTTCAGATAAAATTTTCAACATGAAGTTCTTTAAATCATTACTTTTGATTTCGGTTACAACTTGTGTCTCTCTCTCTCTATATATATATTTTTTTGAATGATGCAACTAATTTTCCTTTATTTTCAGTATTTCCATATTAAATTTTACAAAAAGGATTTGAAGCTTTATATCTTCTATTAATTATCTGCGAGCGCTTTCGACAGTTGGTAGTACTGTCATCTTCTAGGCACTCCTCAAACTGAACTTGTCGTCCTGTCGTCTGCCTCTTTATACGGTCAGAGCGTCCCAACTCAGGTATTTCAGGTACTTTAGGTAAATTTTCCTGTATATAACACAAAGAAGAGTAGCTGATGCAGTACAAATACGACTTCTTCTAACAGTGTTTCCGATATCACGATGAAAATTCACCTTATTTTTTTAACTAACAACTTATCATCCTAAATATTTCACACTGTAATAATCAAACTATAGATACGTCATTTCATTAGAGTTGAAATTACCATTTCTCAGAAGTGAGAGATTAACAAACAAGATTAACTGACCTTTAAACGAGGACTTCGCAAACGACTGGATGCACTTTCATATCATTATGGATCTGAAATAAAAAACAAAAAATAAATGGAGGAAATAATCACAAATTATTAATAAAATTTCAATTCAGTTATACAACTTAGGTTAGTTCACGTTATATAATCCGCATATATATTCATTGCAAAATGTAGACAGTGTTAAACGGAAAAATATCTTGGTATCATCCATATATACTAAAAAATAATATAATCCACATATTAGTCCAAGAGACCGTGAATGACCTTGATCATCGTGGTTTTGGCAGGTAACAGGACCGATATTCTTGAATTCATTTTAAGAAGTACTCCGTTTCACTTTCTACCGCTAGTTTTTCTGTTACCTCAAAAAACATAATTCTTCTAAGAGAGTGAAAATGAAAAAAAGGAATCGAATGAAAATATTAAACATATGATAGCACATCAGCTATGGTTTCGCTTGACGTGAAGTAAGCACGTCCAACCGTTCGGCTACCGACCGACCGAATAAGAAATAATTATTTATCTAATCAACTTTGTACCTACCTATTGTTATATAAAAGACATTGTAGAATAGTTCAATGTACCAGTTCTACTGAAGAAGTTACTGTTCAGGAAAACGCATCTGGAATTGAATTTATATTGTGAAAATCTATAAATATTATCATTTTATTGGTTTATAAATTGGTTGTTTCAAAAGTTTCGTCCGTTTTCATGAGTTTACTCTGAACTATAATCGAAATAAAAGCCTTTTGAGTCAGTTCACGTAACACAAGTCGAATAATTCCTTCAGGCTTACAAATACACCTGCCGATATAAAGCAGAGGTCTCCCAGTGACCTGTCCACCTTCCTGGAAAGGGCAGGATGGACGATGACCTAGGAGGACAACTCCATGGGAGGATGTACAATGGGTCACATGTGGCCTAAGTGCTGTGTGCTTACACTCACCCTCCCTACTCTACAGATACAGAACCGAACTAGGTTTGTTAATGTTTGCAACAGCTGCAATCTTAGGATAAATGAAAGCAAATAACTTCAGGGATAAACTGCTTGCGAATCCCATCGGGTCTAGATCCTTCTGGTTCAATTGCAACAACAGCCATAGAAAAAGCAAATCTACTAGTCCCAGCCAATTTTCTACGAAAGGCACCATCCATTATTTCCATACTAGAATCTACAATACTGGAAATTACTTTTCGACAGCGTCTGGTTCGGCGAATTTTGAAACGGCTCAATATCAACAAGGCGTTTGACCCTGATGAAGTGCCCGTCATCGTACTTCAAAAGTGCGCAAATGAACTCGCACGTATTTTGCAGACTTTTCAACCTGACTAACAAGAAAGGGGTTTTTCTACTCATTGAAAGATTGCTCGCGTTAAGCCTATTCCCAAAAAGGGCAGGAAAAATCTTCCAAATAACTATAGACCATTCGCTTTGCTCTCAGTGATATAAAAAATCATGGAGAAAGTCGTGAACCACCATATCCTCAAATATTTGGAAGACTTCAACATCTTGACCGATCATCAATATGGCTTTCGAAAACAAAGATCAACAGGCGACCTTCTATCATATGTCAAGCATATTTGGAATAACGCAATCGGGAAACACGTAGAAACAAGAGCTGTTGCGCTGGATATTTCTAAGGCCTTTGACGGTGTGTGGCATGAGTGTTTGCTGGCCAAACTTCGATGCTATGACTTGTCGAATCATTTTTGTGTATGGGTCTTCAGCTTCCTGAAAGAACGTTCCCTGCAAGTGGCCGTCAATGGATATCTCTCCAATACTTCCACATCAACGCTGGTGTTCCCCAAGGATCCATATTGTCTCCAACTCTCATTTCATTGTATATCAATGATCTATTGGAAAAAAACAAGAATCCAATATATTGTTTTGCTGACGACAGCACACTTGTCTCGTCATTCCATTTGAATTCCAGGACATTGGCTGAAGGTGCACATCTTCATCGGCAGCAGAAAGTTTCATATCTTGATGAGGATCTGGAGGTGATTTCGAATTGGGGTGGAAGTAACCAGGTTCAATTCAATGCCACAAAAACCAAGGCATCGGTTTTCTCCAAGAAGATAAATAATCCGAACTGGGTTTAATAATGTCAGGTCAGACAATTCCGCTTTCTGCTTCGATAAGTTTGTTGAATTTCGATAAAGAACTGAGAAGAGAAATTTGCCTGTAGTTGTCAACTACTTTTAGGTCACCTTTTTTGTGCAGAGGAATTACCAATGCTTTTTTAAATGGTTTTAGTATTAAGTCATTAATATTTTTTATAACTATAATCGATAATTCATCATATCCTGAAGATGTCTTATTTTTCATTCTATTAAGACAATCAATAATAATATAATAAAAACAATTTATTAAATCCTTCATGATCACAGGTTGATATAGGATACGTCGACATTATACAATTATAAAACTCTTCACAAAACGTGAGACACAACAAATAAATACATGCAAGTGTTACACAAACACAAGGAAAAAAAGAAGGAAAAATAAAGTATATACCATACACTCTCATTGACTTAGATATTCAGCGACATTGTAAAAAGAACCGTTGATTAGGAATTTTTTCAGGGTTTGTTTGAAATTCATTCGCACAGGTACCGCTCTAAGAGCGCCTTAAGGATTTTCTTGTAGTGCTTGTGTTTTGTCATTAAAAAATGTCGCCTATGTAAGAAGATATGTCATCGCTCTCACTTATTGAAAGAGCACTGTAAAATTTACTTGACAATACTTTAACGAAAGTTTGGTTTTTGCAAATTCTCCGCATGGGATATTCTTCTAGAGAAAGATACATTTAATTTGTTTTCACTTTTTGGCTCTCATTGACTATGTAAGAGAAACGTGAAAGCCTTTGTTTTATTTCCAGCAGTTTCATCATTAAATGAACTGTTTTTCATACAACATGTATCTGGCCAGCGTTGAAAAATTACTTATTATAGAGGACCATTACATTACTGCTGTCGCCCCGATGCTGTATTCAATATCTCAGCTGGACGTTTGTATATAGGCACTTAACATGCAAACTTTCCGAAGTATATTTTTCATTACTTCATCAGTCGAACCTAGATATGTGCTTGATCATTAAGTTATTGGCGTTCCATGTATTTACGTAAGTTACATATGAAACGCAATGGGGTGTAGAAATGCAATATGATTATATGTCAGTTTGGCAAGAAAACTACAAATCTATGCTCGATATAAATCATTATCTATAAAATATTTTCTTGTTAGTAGAGGTGGAATGCGTATATGCTAGTGGTGAGGAGCTATGAACGGATGTATTCCTTGTATGGGGTCCTTTCATCAAGCGCTTCCTATCTTAAAAATTTATTTGAAAGTCCTATTGACGCCATTATGTGCGGAATGTAACATGTTCAAACGTCCAATTTTCCATGACCATGGCCTACGGATGGCTAATGACCAATGTAGTAATGCATATGGTGAATATTCAGAGTTTCAATCATGTCTGTTTTCACAAGAAATGTGAGATAATATTTGATATGAAACTAGTTCATAATACTGAATTCTAACTTTAACTTAACTATTAACTATTTTATTATTAGTCAGTGGGCTATGCTTGAAGACTGGCAGTAAACAAATCTAAAGACACAAACTTTAAACGTTCAAGCCAGTCTTGGTTAGTACCTCGTCCACTAGATGGAGTGACGTTTTTGATGTTCGCTCCAACTTAAGACGAGGAATAAAATACTTGAAAGAGTTTCGATTTTCACTTATGGAATATTATTGACTTTAGGTCGATGATGGTCACTATCTTGCACTGTGGTTAAGGAGCCCGAAACCGATCTGCAAGTGTGCCCGTTCCAAAATTGAAGATCGACTCTTTCAGTTGTATTGCCAATTGCATATGCAGGAAATTTTCTGTGAAGATTCCTGCACTCCAACCCCGTTCATGGTATTAGCCAGTGGAATAGTTGTTTTCTGATAGGCCATTCAACCTACTGTGTAGGCATACCCGAGACGGGCTTAAAAATTCTTTAGATTACCTATTAGGTAAGAAATGTCTAAGTAGAAGAAAAAGTTTTTGAAGTTTGATTACGAATTAATATTGTTTCAACTATGCGAAAAATATTTAGACTATAGAAAAATCGTGGACAACTTTGATAAATTTTGAAAAAATGTAGCTACAAAAATATTCATTCGGTTACAACTCGGTCCTGGTGAACTACCATCTTTTGTGAGTTTCACTGAAATATAATTGTTGTTTTCTATACATTGAACTTTCAGAAAAATTACGATGTCCCTCATCTGATCATTTCTTACTTGTTCATAAGTAATATTCGAGAGATATCAAAACTGAGTGACAATTTTGTAATGATTATTTTGTAGGTATTACTATTTATAGTGGACAGTTTTAAGTTTTTACCAAACCATTGTAAACATTAATTAGATATAGTGTTTTTCTTCCTGAAACTTGAAATAGAATGTATGTTCCATAGTCTAGACATGATCAACTGAAAATAAACTTTTTTGCAATCATTTTCCAAGATGATATTCTGAATAAGAGTTTCAATTGACATTTGTTTTTCTACTAAAAAATTTATTGAAGTGGTATCATCTAACTAGTTTTTTTTTACAAAACGAACAATTTTAAATGTTCATTATTTCTTGAGAACAAAGAAGAAACCTACTCATATACACAATGGATTGTAAGAGTTAATTCCATACGAACAGAGTTACAAACGCACTCTTTTCCTTTAAAACAAAAATGTGATTGCATAAATCCGTCTATAACGACTTCCAACAACTTTCTCTTTAGACAATCCCAAGAATTCTCTAAGCTGTATTTACTCCTTCCTTACTGAACAAGTATCTGTACATTGTAAGAACCGTTATAACATTTATATAATGAGGATGATGATAATTAAGAGGTATGTCCAGCATTCGTGAAGTTTTGTTAATTAGAGGTCTTTGTTACTTTCTATAATCTGTAATTTGTCAGTTTTTGTCAGTGTTAACCAGAAACAAAGAATTGAAATAATAAGTGGAAATAGGAAATATAAAAATATCCAG